TGTCTTATCCAAACACCACACTAGCCATAAGTATTCAGATTAACCAATAAGCTGGTGTCTAATTATGTAAGTCAATGGAAGGTAGCAAACTTGCGACTGGGAAAGATGTTCATTCATGCAGTTCACCATTCTGAGCACGTTTCAAGTGGTTTCGGCTTTTTTGGGCCAAAGTTGTCAAAAGTGAACCCCCCTGGCACTGAAAATGTGACCCCCCTTGGCAAATCCTGGCTACGGGCCTATACTAGGAGGTGTTTTGATATACAGGTTTAACTGTACATGTACATGAAATAAGTCTACTGTTCTACTCAGAGAAGCAGGCTAGAAGTTGGTAGGTCCAACTAGATAAATCAAGATATCATCACCTCTCACCTTCAGAAATACTCCTCTTTGTAACAAAAAACCAGCTTTATTTTTTCAAATGAAATAAATGGCCAGCTTATGAGTTGGAAAATATAGTTCAGTTTAAAAGTAGAAAATTGAAAAAATGTGTAATGAGTAGGGATTATACTAAGAAAACGTGATATCCTAATTTGAAGAATGTTTTGAGGAAAGGGAAGGCCTCTAGCAACCACTAGGGTTCCAGGCAGAATTACAGCTTTGATTAGCTTCTAATAACCCCCTGTTTTCCCACATAGATTTGACCCCATGAAATTAACTCTCCCAGCTGATGAATCATACATTCTGGAACTGACCCTTTGTTAGAGCCCAATTTCGTTATAGCATATGCCCTCTTTAAATGAGAAATGATTCTTAAATATTAAGCCAAAAATCACATAACAGTAGGATCTGTCTAATCTGAATGCTACTGTGATGGCCAAAAAGTCTTCAGATTTGTAGGTGTTCACATTTTCAGATTTTAAACAATGCTTAAATTTATCAAATTAAAAAATGGGACCAAGAAAGTATTCATTATGGGAAATTAATGAGGTGTTCAGATATACAGGCTTATTCTATCACATTCTCTCTGGCTATAAATAGCTAACATTCATATATAAATATAAATAAATTCATAACTAAACTCCCATGAAATGTTCATTTAGATCTTGTATACATCAAAACTACAAAATCATCCATAATACTCAGAGGTGCGGTGTAGCTAGTCAGTGATATTAAAGGGTAACTGAAACTAGGTTTAGTGGCCATTAGTGGCTCAGTTTCTTTTTATCTGTATGTACAGTGTATTAATATCCTTAGTAGTAATTTTTTAGCTCTGTAAGTGTTTGTGGTACACATTTACTTTCGGGTCTTTTTGAGTTTATGAAGCTAGATGGAGATAAATCATTTAAGGCGTGTAGGTACATTGAACAATTTGCTGATTTTTAGAGTGACCTTAGTAAATGTATTGATCCTAATGTTGACCGTTTGTATACCCCATGCCTGTTCAGAGATAGCCTCATTTTCGAGAACAAGTACTGGTATATATAACGACAAAAATAATTATTAAGCATATTTGGCGAAGGGTGCCTATGATTGTTTCCTGGAAAAATTTTTGTTCAAAAGAAAGCAACTTTTATTCAGAGAATAAGATCTATGAATGTTCAGTTATATTTTTTTAGGGAACGGAGAGGAGGTGGGTCAATTTGAAATTATTATGACGACATTGACCACATTTTGTGAATAATCATTTGTTTTCAAATTGATCTGAGACAACATTAAATATTGATCTGCTCCCTCACAGGAAATGCTGTTCTGGTTAGCCAAGTTCCTAATCAGACATATCTGAAAATCTGTAGGGGAACTATCTCCCTGTACATTTCAAAAAATAAAAAAATACATAACATAACCCCCCGCACTCCCCCGGGGCTATACCTGCTATGTACAGAAATCATGTCAGTAATTTCTTAATGCGATGTTTATAAAACAAATATTTGTTCCTGGCTTTTAGTATGAATTAGTTTGTAAAATCTGTGGTAGATGAGATCATAAAAAGCTGAGTGGGCTCAAACTTAATTTATAAGTTCATTGTGATATACAGTACTACCCTTTTCAATATTGATAAACAGTTCCTCTACTCTTTGTATAACAGATAAACCTTTGAATTTGTTGAGCCAATCAGAGCTTGTTATACCTCGCAGAATAACAATGATCCCACAGTGCTTGATCAAAATAAGATCATCAGGCCAGTTATTCAATTCTAAAGACTATTCCTGCCAGTCGTGGTGTCATCCTTCAAGACCAGCCCTTCACTGTTTCATAATGTAGTGCAATGAATTACTCTTGGGCCAAGGATTTGCCATGTTTCTTGAAGTGACTTCTCAAACGCTTCTGTTGATGAAGTCAGTAAAACCTAAGATAATTGTGAGAGTCTAGGATTACCATTGTTCATAACAGCACTTATAACTACATGCACACTCCCCTCCATAAGTTTGGCAACTGAAAATCTTTATTGATGAAGTCATTAAAACCTAAGATAATTGTTAGAGTCTAGGATTACCATTGTTCATAGCACTTATAACTACATGTACACTCCCCTCCATAAGTTGGGCAACTGAAAATCTTTGATATTTTTGGCAACTGAAAATCTTTAATATTTTTGGCAGCTGAAAATCTTTGATATTTTTGGCAACTGAAAATCTTTGATATTTTTGGCAACTGAAAATCTTTGAAATCATGGTAAAGCCTGATATTGTTTGAATCTTTATTTTGTCCATTAATTACAACTGTTCAGAATTTTATGACAAATTTGATGAATTTCTTTAAAACGCCAAATAAAAACAGACTTTGATATGTGTATCTCGAGTTGCCAAACTTATGGAGGGGAGTGTATATTATCTTTAAAATACAGGCCCACATTGTTGTGGCTAATAACATCCTGTGTCACAATGTATGTGTGATAACAAAACACGATCTTAACTTTACATGTTCATAAACATGTACTTAATATATGTCATTATGTACACCCACATTATGACATTACCGAGACAATGATGTCATGATGTTAGACAAGTAGAGTGAACGTGTATATCTGAACACCTCTCCAAATTGAACACCTTTCGATATGAACACTTTTCTTGGTCCCAATTGGGCTACTAACTATTGACTCACATATTATGAACACCCTGAAATATGAACACCTGTTAATCCGAACACTTTCATCTAATCGAGCAGTGTTCGGATTAGATAGGTTTTACTGTATAATGAAAACAGAAGTCTAAAATCTGCTTGTTAGTTTTAATGTTTACATCTGAGATAGATTCCAGGGCTGTTGATAACAGGTTGATTCGAGCAAGTCTGGTTTCAGATTTGGGGTATTAGCTTTGAGTTCCAGAAATTGTAGAAGAATGGAAGAAAAGGCATTTTGACTTTGTATTTAGAAGTTCCATTCTGTGTCACTGGAGAAGGAATTTGAAACTTGGGTTATTATTGGTATTACATGACGTTGAGTCTGACATTTTCTTTCCATTTGAAGTTGATAAAGGTAGGCAATTTAGGCATAAGCCTCCAGTTTCAAAATTTATGGAAGTATGACTTTGTACAATGTACATGATGGTTCCATTGTGTTATTATAATTATATTGCTATTTGAAGATGAAGATCTCTTTTAGAAACTATGACGAACGAATGTGCAAAGGGTATGAAGCTAGCTACATGGCATGTAAAAGCAAACTAGAGATGCCACCGTGCTTCAGTCTAAATTCCCAGCAAGCACTCTGATAGGTTCAAAATATTTATCCAGTCCTTCCAGAGAAGTGCCATATATTTTGTTTACCCATATCAAAATACTAATTTGTAATAATTTAGAAGTACTCAAACATATGGGTTAGAGTTGTTTCCTGTTGAGATAAGGTTTATTAGTTGAAAATGAAGGACTTAGCTAGGAAATGTTGACATCCGAAATAACGCATAGGCTGAAAGATTATGAATTAAAGGATGGCATACAATTATCAACAGTCATGGAACATATAAGTCGATTTTGTTATGGTTCCTCCCCCCCCGCCATCTAAAGAAATTTTGAAATGTTGATTCGTCTTTCACTTTGAAAAATCAAAAACTCTTCTTCAAAGAAACCATCATCTTAGCATATATTCACAGATTAAAAATTTGGCCACAAAAATGTTCTTATAAAGGGTTGTTCAGATTAGACAGGTGTTCCAATATTCAGATTCAATTATATAGGATATAGTTTTGACTTGTTGGGACCTATGAAACATGTATTTTTGTCTATAGAAAATATGTGCTCAGAATACTGAAAAACATTTTATTTGAAAAGTAGACCAACGTGGTAACTAACTTTGATAGTAACTGCCATGAGTTTAATATGTTTTCCTTTATTTGATTGCATGACATAACCCTACACTAAGATTATATTTGTTATTTCTATATATTATGCATGGTATGACTTTGATAATTGACTCAGTTAACATAATTCACCCAGTTATAAAGCCAGTAAGTCACCAGCTTAACATAACTGTCTAATCAGAAAATTGTGTGGCATTCAACAGGTGTTAACAGTGATATATTACAAAAGCACAGGTTGAGCCATGAAATATGACACTGTAAAGTTTGATAAATTAGTTTGGTGTTTATTTAAAGATGGCAGTAATAGCATGGTTAGAAGTCTTATATTGCAGGATTAGAATCAGACCACATTTTAAGGAACATAAATATTAGTATTATATGGGGAGATGAAAATGTATACTAAAGCACATTCTCATATCTAATAACCATTCTGATACTCATCGGAACTTCCTGCTTATTGGTGAGAACAATAAGATGTTAAAGTTTATCATGGTACAAAGTGTTATAATGTATCGAGTCAATTGAACCACCCTTCCTATATTTACTTTACCTGGGGGTGGGGTCTGTAGGGAGAGTGGAGTTATATGGGCCTGAAGTAAGATCAACATGTACATTTTGTATAATATATTAATACCTATAAATTGAATCAGTAGATTTGTATTCTTTTAGGTATAAAATGGATTGACACAAGACTAGCACCTACATACATTTTCTTTCACATATTTATCCCATAAATTAAATCGAATCATCGTGTTTTTGCAGATGTAAGTGCAACGGCCACGCCAGCGAGTGTGTTAAGAGTACAGGGCAGGGGCTAGAGGAGAGACTGGTCTGTCGATGTGAGCACAACACGATGGGACCAGACTGCGGAGAGTGCCTCCCATTCTATAACAACAAACCATGGCAGAGAGCCTCTGCTACTGACGTCCACGAATGTGAAGGTAAATTTAGGTTATTATTTAATTATCGAAATATGTGTTATATATATTGTTTATAATGGTGTGAAGGACCTTGGCTTGAGAATCCTTATTGGCCCAACCCCAGCTTTTGGCACAAAAACTTTGATAATCGCCAAGCCCTAGCCCTATTTATAAACCCTAACTCTAAAAGAAGAATCTGAAATTTGCTCCGCTATCTTCAGTTGTCAAGCATCAGTGCTCTCTCATGAAGGTAAATGTCATACAGTGAAACCTGTCTTATATGAACACTACTTAAACTGGAAAAAGTGTTCAGATTAACAGGTATTCACATTGTGAGCTTTTGTTTTGACATGTGAGTCAATGGGAGATTTCAAAGTTTGAACAGAGATAATATGTTCACATTGAGCGGTGTTCAGATTAGAAGGTGTTCTGATATAGAAGTTTTACTGTATATCCAAACATCTTTCTAATCCAAACACCTTTCGATGTGAACATTTTTTCTCAATTCCGAATTTGTCATCTCCCAATTGACTCGCATATTTAAAAATACTTATGTAAACACCTACTAATCTGAACATTTTTTGCCAGACCCCGTGGTGTTTGGCTAAGACAGGTTTAACTGTATATATATAGGCACACATATTCCTCTAAAGCTCATAAATAAGTCATATACACTAGACCATAAACTCCCAAAATTGGACATGAACCTAATAAAGATAAGACGTAAATGAGAATAGCAGAATGTTGCTTTTAGAACTGAAATTAAAACATGATGGTTGACTTGAGTAGAAAACCATGATAGATAAATATGGGTCTCAATTTATTTTCCCGTTTGTTCTGCAAAAAAATTCTTAAACTAATGCATAAATGTGAGTCTACACTTATTTTGACAAAAGAAATTTCATAATGTTGCACAGAAATGTCTTCAAAGCATATAGTGTTGGGGTAATTTGGAAAAATGGGCTTTGTTAAGCTTTGTTAATTGAAAATTAATGGGGTGAATCTACTCTCCTAGGGCTAGTATATGGGATCAATTTATTTTAATGTACATACCATGGATTGTGTTTCACCTAGGGGGTTATCTCTATACAAAGTCTAGGACATGAAGGGAGATACACTGACATACATGTACATGGTCCTGAGTATGCAGTTTTAGCTTGGAAAATAGGCCAACACTAGGATTTGCAAAAAACAACAAGAAACAATGAATTTACTACAAATTAATTTATAGGGTTTATTAGATAAGTCTCATGTAATATAACAGTTTTTCGGAGTACTATAGAATATATGTAATAATAGGAAAAATATGGATTTGTATCAGTTATTATTGTGTGTTACTCTACTGAGCATGTTTCAAGTCTCAAATGGATATTGGTATCGGAAAGATGGAAAATGGATGCGTAAGTCACTTCCCTCGTAAAATTTGTTGATAAAAATGATGCGAAAAATTGCATATTTGGATGTGATATCCATTCTGCAAGCCTATGCATGGAATAACATATACATGATATCTTCTAGCTATTGTTATTCTATGGCAGGATCACAGGATAAATTTAATATTTACATATTTGTTTCTTTTACTGCTATCAGAGGAAGCTTAGGTAAGTACAGGATCATCAAAATTGATTAACTAAATTAAAAATGAAATTGGGATGCTAGAGTAGGGAGATTAGAAAAATAATATCCTTAATATAACTTCAGCAATTGCTGCTCTAAATAAAGCTGAGGGAATACAAAGAGAAGAAATCATTGCCATCTATGATAAAATGGGGTTTATACTACTCAACATAATCATGTCTTTGACAGATCTGAAGTATTTTTTCAATTTTTAAATTTCTCTTTGAAAAATTGCTATGTTGCTGTTGTCTTGAACTGTTGGGCGAGCATCTTGGAGGGCATACACCACATAAATCTGGGAGGGCATACACCACATAAATCTGGGAGGGCATACACCACATAAATCTTGTCATAAAAATTCAAGGAAAACCCCTTATCCATTCAACTTGAAATTTTACAAATGCAAGAGCAGACAAGTGCCAGGATCTGATTAGGTTTTGGGCATGCTGGGATATATCACTCCTTGCCCTGTTTATTTTTATTTTATTTTTTTGTGAAAGTTGATATTTTGACCTCATATACCATAACCAGACCCCATATAATGAGGATGTTTTATTACTTCACTATAATATGAGCTAAATGTAAAAAGAATATCTAGATTATGTCTAAACTATTGGTATAATAGTGAACACCTGTTGCAGGCCATGATCAAAGGCATCAGATTGTCAAATTAGTTAAAACATTGACAATGTTAAAAATTTAAAAGCGAGACCATAATGTTATTCAGATCAGGCCATTTAATTAATGTTTTGAGTTTTCAAAAGGATTATGTTTATTTTTAATTCTTGGCTTACATAAAAGATGAAGCATCTATGAACTCTTATCATAATTAGATTACATTTGATTTTGTTAAATGGGAAAAGGTGCCATCATTTGCAGATTTAAACATATCAATTTCAATTCTAAATTTTAAGATACCCTTATATGCTGATCAGTCAACTTTAATGCTTCCAATGGCTGCATTTTAACAATGTTTATTCAGAGCATCATATAAACTCATCTATATCATGCCTATTCTGACCTCAATATAGAAATAAATATTTGATATTTCTGAGAAATGTGAGCCTTACATGACCTGAAATACAGTAAAACTGGCCCTTCAGTAGTCCAAAACACCCCTGAATATGAATACTCCCATTCCCAATCTTGTTATATCCATGACAAAGAAATATGAACACCTAGTATTACAAACACTTTTGGCTTGTTAAATTAGCGTTCGAATAACAGGTTCACTGTACTGTATACAGTAAAACCTGCCAAGTAGAACACATGTAAGTAGAACACCACCATAAGTAGAACACTTTTCAAAGTCCCACAACCTATTGACTTATTAGGGAGTTTAAGCTTGCAATGTTTTTCACAACCTAAACGTGAACAGAAAATATTTAAGCAATGTATTTATATGGGTGATTGGTCATACATATAGGTTGGTGTTTCGATTTTATATGCTAGCTTAAACTCCCTATTGTAAAATGAACCTCTGTAAGCAGAAAACTTCCCAAGTGGAACACTTTTTTTTGTTGTCTCAAGGGTGTTCCACTTACACAGGTTCTACTGTACTATAATGTAAGGTTTAATATAGCCTTGAACTGAGAGATTTGTGAGGAGGTAGCCTTGGAAACTGTGTTGTACTAAGTTAACATGGAATAGCACTCCAGAATCCATCAGTCTTATTGAACATACTGTGAAGAAAGATGGAAGATTGAAGAATGGATGTATGTGGTTAATGTTTTAGCTCCATTTATTTATATTGTCTACACAATATGAAGTTCTTGAATATGGAAATGCTGAATGTTTCAAGAATAGACGATGGAACCAATTACTTTTTGGTCTCATGTACAGAAAATAGTTACGAATTGTTGAAAGCATTTTGTCACAATGAAAAAATGAACAGCTCAAATTGAGATCAAGACCTTTTCCACCATTGTTATATTTGGGTGTTCCTTTAAATCCATCACTGTCTAAATATAGACATTTTTGACAGTTACGGTAATACTGATTTCTTATTGGCCAATGCCAAGCTAAAATGACATTTCTAAACAATATGATATCTAACGCAATGTAATTATTGACATTTCCAATATGCTATAATATGGATTATGAGATACTAAGCCAATGTCAAATGTAAAAAAAACAATATTTAAAACCCTATGATATCTCTACTTCCAGCTTGTGATTGTAATGGCAAATCCAGCCGTTGTTACTTCGACAATCGTCTTTACGAAGCTACTGGTGAGGGTGGCCATTGTTTGGATTGCCGGGAGAACACCGCAGGGCCTCATTGTGAGCGTTGCAAAGACAATTATTACCTCAGTCGCGAGGGACGTTGTGAAAACTGCGCATGTGACCCAACAGGTAACCCCATTTATTTTGATATCATTTACTTTTTCTTACTTTAAAAATGATTAACCGTTGGACAGTGCTTAATTTCATCACCATATCCAGGCATAAGGAAAGTAAAAAATTTGTCTTGCCAATATTTTACAGTAAAATATTAATTTTTTTTTTGTATTTATTTCATATTATATATTTGTACATTATTTCATTCATATTTAATACAGCAAATCACTTTTTTTTAATATAAAATATTAATGCTGACAATCTTTCCAGTTGAAAAAATAAAACCACTTAATGTTTAATATTCCCTAAAATTCCAAAATGTGATTTGTTGCATGATTATGTATGTCATGAGAAATTGTAATGAAATAGACCTAATGTTTAAAAATGTACTGTTTAAAGGTTCTGAGTCCATGCAGTGCGACAATAATGGACGTTGTCGCTGCAAGCCTGGTGTAGGAGGTGACAAGTGTGACCGCTGTGCTACCAATTTCTACGATTTTAGCATCAATGGCTGCAGGTAAAGGAATTTGAGAATTTTAAGCTTTTATTGTACTTAAATAATGGGGCAGAGTTTAGTTCTTCACTTCCGAATAGTTAACACAATTTAACAGTTCAGGCCTTCAGGGGTCCCGACCCCATCATTGGCGGCCATCAAACATGGGTCAAAAATCAAATACCTCATGGTGATTATATTTTCTAAACCAATCAGTGTGCAGAAAGAAACACATTTCGATAATGACATTAGAAGACCATATGACCATATATAAAAAATGTACTTATATTGTTGACAAGCTCTTTTAAGGAGCTCAGTCAATGAATGTAAAGGGTAACATTTTTATCCTGTAAGTCCTGTAACGTTGATGAAGCGTTTTGGACAATAGTCGTTACATTTGATGAAATTGTGCTTCAGACGATGTGAATGTTTGATTGCCGGGAGTCTCGATGGGCGGCCATCTTGTCAACCCGACTCAGGAACCTGTCGTTGTAAGGAATTCGTTGAAGGCCAGAACTGTGACACCTGTAAACCAGGCTACTTCAATCTTGATGCCGACAATAAGTACGGCTGTATGTCTTGCTTCTGTTACGGCCATACATCTGAGTGTATGAGTGCACCAGGCTACTCAACTAAGAGCATCGAGTCTGTGTTTGATACTGGCAAACAGCGCTGGACGGCAGAGGACAGAGAGGGTCAAAATATTGATCTGAAGTTTGATGGTTTCACTAGCAACATTGGCATCTCAGCTGGGTCGCAGATTGCCTACTTTGTGGCCCCTGGTAAGAAGACTAAAAGTCCTTGTTGGAATTTAACAAGTTAACAATTATTAAACATTGCATTTCTTACGTTATATCAAATAGGAATAGGGGATTTTTGTGTTCATCCAATTTTACATTTTGCTTACATGTTCATCCAATAATTGTTCAATTTATATGTTAATTGTAACCATGACATTATTTGTATGATGTTGCAGTCCGTTACCTTGGAGACCAACGCAACAGCTACAACCAAAATCTGAAGTTCTCCCTGAATGTTGGTGAGGAGGGCGCCAGAGCCTCTGCAATTGATGTTATCATTGAGGGTGACGGACGCGCAATTCGTGCCCCAATCTTTGCCCAGGGTAACCCAACCCCTAGTACCAGGAGCCAGGACTTTTCATTCCAACTGAACGAGCACCCCGATCTACAATGGAGCCCGAGAATGGATGGTTTGGAGTTCATTAAGATCCTTGCTAATATTACGTCTATCAAAATCAGAGGTGCTTACACACAAAGCGGTAAGTCACGATTTTCATTTTTTTGAATAGTCCTTTATGGAATAGTCCTTTAAAGTTACTAAGATTATTTAGGGTAGTTTATAGGGGTCAAACGATTCAAAATTCCAACGGTTCGGTTCGGTCACGGTTTTTAGGTTCACGGTTCGGTTCTTTCACGGTTCTCGCAGGTCTCGTAAATTGGTAATATTTCCTTATAAAATTGTAAAGACAGCTCATAAAAAACAGGTTTTAGCTTTCTTTCTAGCCTTGCCCAAGTTGGTCACTTTCTGGTCCCACTATCCTTTTTTATTAAATTGACTTGACAAAGCAAAGTTTATTGGCCTAATGGCCCACTTTAAATTTTAAACTTTAGAATTTTCCGTCCTTGATAAGATTTCTGTCAGATAAGAGCTGAGATCTACATGTAGCACAAGCAGTAACAATAGCCCTGCATAAAAAGATCGAGTCGAATACACCAAGTAAAGAGATCTCTTTTTGGTGTATTCAACTCATCTTTTTTATTATACATTTTCCCGGACCTATGAGCAGTAACTTGAGGAAAAAATTTACTTCATGACCTCCCTACAGATTCTGCATATTGATACATTGTCCTCTGATTTCCCATTTACGATAGGAAAACCCCAAAAATTCCAAACGTTGCTTTTGTATTTCAATAATTGAGATTTAATCTCGCAATTCTTGTAGTCTGTCAAAGCAGCTGAATCAGCACAGATGGCGCTGCGATTGTGCGGGAGATTTAAACACAAATATGTTTCAAGTTTTAAAACAAAGACATTAGTAATGTTATAATTTCTGTAATTGCAGTATTTTTTAAATAATATTGATTAAAAACTAACTCATTATAACAGACAAAACAACTCCACGAAGCAAAATTAATATTGTACTATGATTCAAGTATGAATAGCGTAATCTGGCGAGTCCAACTTCCGGTCTATTTAATGTCACAAAAATGTAAACAATTACTTGTCTATCGATTTGTGAGCGATCTGTTTCATATCTAAGGTAAGAATTGAATGTTCTCTATTGCTATAAACATGTTTTTAAGGAACATATACATGAAGAATAAGTTCATGTCGAACGAAAGAGAGAATATTGAAGTCTAAAAAATTTCATTTTTCTATTTTTCCTTGAACCGTGGATGAACCGAATCTCATATTTATGAACCGAAAATACCGTCCTAGCATCATTAACCGTAACCGCGTACCACGGTTAACCGTTTGACCCCTAGTAGTTTACTAAACTGTGATGAAATTCATGAAAGCTGGCTTATAAATAAGCTCAAATATAGCAGTTTTCCCAGTTTGTATGCAGTATTGAATCCAGAATCTGAACATTCTTCCCTAATGAACAAAGATCTTGATTTGCATCATTCTCCTTGCAGGTGTTGGCTTTTTGGACAATGTTGAGCTTGAATCAGCCAAGAGAGGTAATGGTGGCGAAGAGGCTTCCTGGGTAGAGCAATGTACCTGCCCTCCTGGCTATGTTGGCCAGTACTGTGAGTCATGTGCCCCTGGGTACAGACGTGATCCACCTAATGGTGGTCCATATGCCCGATGTGTCCCATGCAACTGTAATGGTCACTCAGATGATTGTGATGTCAACACTGGTGAGTATGAGTGTATTGTGATGTCATCATGAGTATGAGTACATTGTGATGTCAACACCAGTGAGTAAGCTTGGCCTGTAATGAATGCCATAAGGCAATTGGCAAGCAATTTATGTAAATGTTTGCTTTGCGAAATAGATAAGTCGCCATGCAAATAACAAAAAAAATAAAATAAACTGATTCCTCATTGCTCAGAAAAATCGATAAAACATACATTTAAACTTTGCATAGGGCCTTTAAGGACTTCAATCTGTTCCCAGTGACATACATTTTTTAACATTGTAGGCAAGTGTATCTGCCAACACAACACTGCTGGTGACAACTGCGAGAGGTGTAGGCCTGGTTGGTATGGTTACGCACTGGCGGGAACTGAGAATGATTGCAAACAATGTCCTTGCCCAGATGGTGGCTCCTGCGCGGAGATGATGAATGGTGACGTCGCTTGTACTAACTGCAAGGAAGGATACGCAGGTATGGTTTATTTCTTGCTTCATCTTAGCTGTGAATAACATATTTGACTTGAGCAATTTATATTTTTATCTCAAGTGAGAGATATAGAGAATCGGTCTGTCTATTCCTTTATCTGAATTTTATATGCTGATGCCTAAAGGACAATGGACTCTACTCAAGAAGGATATTTCAAGATGGCTGCTCAATTCAAATTGGCCACTATATTTTATGTATATGCATTTTTAATATTTCCCTGTATATTTTAGGCCTACACTGTGAAATTTGCGCTGATGGTTACTTTGGAGACCCCCAGGGTAAATATGGACCCCGCAGACCATGCCAAAAGTGCCAATGTAGTGGCAACATTGATCCCAACGCCATTGCCAACTGTAACACGTAAGTTGCTTTTGTCGAATAGCAAGATGCATTTTGAAAGAGAGTGTCATATGATGATTATATGTGTTTATGGGAGAATTTTATTGAATGAGAAGATACAAATATGAAAAAATATAGAAAATTAATCAAAATTAAAATACCATGAAGATCACATTATAGGCTCGTGAATTCTAAATTCTAACCTTAGTTATCAACAGGTTTCTGTGGGTTTCAGGAAAATATACAGTACACTGTAGAAATAATTTATATCTAGTACATAGTATAAGAATGGTTTGCTCTATTTTGCAGGACTACCGGGGAGTGTTTGAAATGTATCTACAACACCGCAGGCTTCTATTGTGATGCTTGTCTACCAGGTTACTATGGTGATGCTCTTGGTCTTCCTAAAGGACAATGTAAAGGTAATGACCCATTATCAATAATTACATCACACCTTATTTTTTTCTTTCACTATCCGAAATTACGATCTTCACAGGATTGTAATGGTCAGGGAAAATCAAAATGTGGACATGGGCGTGCCTGGGAATTTCAGAATTTTCTCAAAATTGATAAAACGAGAATTGTATCCTGTTTTAGCATATGACCCCAGAAATACTAAAAAATAATCTGTTGTGCTTCATATATGTTCATTTTTTCAGCTTGTGAGTGCTACCCACCTGGTACCTACCAGCCTGGTAACCCTGGAGATACCTTACTCTGTGAGTCAGGCACTGGCCAGTGTCGGTGCAAGTTCAATGTGATTGGACGCAAATGTGATATGTGCCGCGAAGGCTACTGGAATGTCGATAGCGATAATGGTGAGTTTGAATAGATATAATATTGCAATTGCAGTACTCCTGTATGGATAATAACATTTACATCTGAAGGATTTTTATTCTCCTTCCCATTCAGATTTTGTTAGACCTAAGATTAGTTTCAAAAATTCTTGACAAAATATAGTTAGAACTGAAAAATATTTAAATATCCAGGGGGTCATTAACAGAAACGTCATAAAGTTACGAATTCGTAAATCAATTGTTGTTACCATGGATATAATGACGTCACAGTTAGAGAACAATGGACTTTACGAATTCTTAACTTTGTGAAGTTTCTGTTAATGGCCCCCTGGACAATAAATCAGATCATAAGTTTATATATTTTTTCTGTTTGGAGTGAATTTTACGATTAACACAAAGATCACCCTTGTTTTTTCTCCATTTGTAGGTTGTGAAAGGTGCAACTGTGACCGTATTGGCTCATACAATGGTTCCTGTGAGATTCAGACTGGCCAGTGTAACTGCAAAGATGGCGTTGGTGGTAGGACGTGCGGTACATGCCAACCTCGATACTTTGGATTCTCAAATGAGGGTTGCCAAGGTGTGTTTAAAATTCAAACTATGGATAAAAAACTTCTTAAGTGCAAGTAGGATTCGGATATATTGATTCATAAAGTAACTATGATAACTTTTTTTTTTATTATTTATTTATTTATTTTTTAACCTCTTGAATCACAGCCTATAAAATCGGTTGAAACCAGAGAATTTTATATACACAATTTTAGATACTCAACCCTAGTGAAATTAAATGGCAGTGATAATTTCTACACATTTTAAAACAATTTTTGTGTAAATTGGATGAAAATTGTTCAAATAAGAGCAATTTTAGTGAAAAAGGAGGAGGGAAGTTAGTGCAACAGATTTTGGACAGTCATATGTTTGATTTTAGCCATTTCCTGTGGATTTTAATAGGTGCATATGTTAGGCGAATGCATTACCTCCAGGAAAATCACTTCTAGAGATGATAAAATAATTTCGACTTTGAGACAGGGTAGATGCAAACAACCAACCCACATGTTTTTTCTGAAACGTTTTCCTGATTTTCAACCCCTTCCATCCCTGCTTTTTTATTTTTTCTTGCATCAGTATGTTGCGTTTTGACACACAGTTAATCCCTTAAAAGGAATAAATGATTCCTTTTATATAAAGTGGAAAACAATATTTCCCATGTTATTTTCCCATTTTCCCATTGCTTTCAGCTAAGTTTGGTCACCCATAATGGGTATCTTTAAAACCCCTGAAGGAATCACTTATTCCTTTAAAGTGGTTAACTATGTGTCAAAATGCAACATATTGATGCAAGAAAAATTAAAAAAGCAGGGATGGAAGGGGTCGAAAATTAGGAAAACATTTCAGAAAAAACATGTGGGTGGGTTGTTTGCATCTACCCTGTCTCAAAGTCAAAATTATTTTATCATCTCTAGAAGTGATTTTCCTGGAGATCATTTCTGAGATGATAAAAAATCTCGTCACTTCAGGTAGTCAAAAGGTTTCACTTAAGGCACTTAAAATAACAGACATCTTTATTCAGTCTTTGATGTTAATTCCTTGTTTTTCAGTTGGTTCCTGTTTTTGTATTGACTCCTCATTTTCATATTTTTCAGGTTGATTTCCCTTTTCCTTTCTTAATTCTCTATCTTTCATGTTAATTTCCAATTATCACATTAATTCCCTATTATATAATTCCTTTACTATTGCAGCCTGTCAGTGTGACCCTGATGGCTCCCTTGACCTCCAGTGTGACGAGTTCAGTGGCCAGTGTCCTTGTAAGGCCAACATTGAAGGCCCCAAGTGTGACAGATGTCAGGAGAACAAGTACAACATCACTGCTGGCTGTATAGGTGAGTACTGTACATCATTGTATATTCAAGTGCTGTACTTCATTGTATAGGTGAGTATTGTACTTCATTGTATATTTGAGTGCTGTACTTCATTGTATAGGTTGAGTATTGTACTTCATTGTATATTTGAGTGCTGTACTTCATTGTATAGGTTGAGTATTGTACTTCATTGTATATTGGAGTGCTGTACTTCATTGTATAGGTTGAGTATTGTACTTCATTGTATATTGGAGTGCTGTACTTCATTGTATAGGTGTATAGGTATATACCTCATTTTATATTTGAGTTTGTACTTGTATAAAAAGTTCAATAAAATACTCTTTGTCTACAGTATTGTCCATTTGGCCATTGTTGTACATTGCCCATTGTTGTACATTGCCCATTGTTGTACATTGTCCATTGTTGGGCTAAGTTTGATGAATAAAAACAATGTTATAGAAGTAGGCCTTGTTAGTTAACTTAATATAATATTTTGAAGCTCATACAATATTTTTTCTGTTTTTCTCTATCAGATTGCCCACCCTGCTACAGTCTTGTGCAGGAGAAGGTCAACATACACAGACGCAAAATTAACGAACTTCGCATCCTCATCAAGAACATCGGCAAAGATCCATCATCAGTAGATGACGCAGATTTCAGAAGGAGGCTGGAGGAAATGCAAATCATAGTCGACGAACTTCTGCAAGATGCCAGAAATGCTGTTGGTATGAAAACAATTTTTTTATTCTTTTTTAATCATGATATTCTGTGGTTTTGTATTTTGACATTATGAGGCAGCGTGTGCATTGATATATATGGTGAAGTACTCCACAAGAAATAGCAATAATGTATTAGAATTGCCCATTGACCCATAATTTGTATATAATGAAGTCCTCCCATATTGTTGATAAACTTGCCAGTTTCATTGGTAGACACATAGAGTGCATTTATTAATCAACAGTTATGGGACATTTTATTCATTATTTGTTTAGTTTAGAATAAATCTGTGAGTTTTGAAAAGAGCAATCATTAGATCTTCATTTTAGAGGTTTATTGAGAATTGACCCTTATTACCAAAAGTATATGAAGAATTTAAAACATCAGTGAGCATGCTAATGATGTTACAGGGGTTGACGGACCACTAGCCGAGGAACTCCAGAAATTGAAGGATGCGGTTGCCATGGTAATTGATCGATGTGGCTCCATCACAAATGACGTCACTGACGCTCGTGATTTCAACGAAAAGGCAAAGGAAGGACTTGAATTGGCTGAACGTATCCTAATGGATACTGAAGAGAAATTGATGGCCTCTGCGGAATATATCGAGAATGATGGAAAGGACGCGATCAGAGAGGCGAGAGAAGTTAGAGACAGACTTGAAGATGAGGCTGGACAAGGTTCTAAGAGAATGACTGAAATTGCGAAACTTGCAAGAGATGAGGCAGACAAGTATGTATATAAGAACACCTCTGTAATGTGAACACCTCTCAATATGAACACTTGCAGTTTAAATTTTTTATCAATGTGTCTTTTATCACTATGTCATTTATCAATGTGTATTGTTAGTACCTCAGTGTAAATACGCGCATCTGATTGGTCAATTAGTGGTCAACATTTTTGCCTGTACCTCACCTGTGCATCATGGGATATCATATTATTGACCGCTTATGTTACTGTACTACACTTGTGAATTATGGGGAATATGACGTCATAATGTTTACAGAAAAAACATGGTAGATGGACATTTCGTAAACGTTGATGAAAGTGATATTTTGACTTTGCTAGAAGACAAGTATAGCAAAAATACAAAAAGAAACGAAAAATTAACATTAATTTACTTGTGAGTACGCTGCTATGTGCCAAAAACAGAGAGTTTAACTACCACTGTCTTCAGATTTTCTTAAAAAATTATTGCTGGCGTGGTTCGGAGAAAAGGTTGTGAAATGAAGCCATGATTGATGACTGTCGTCTATATGTGTATTATTAGTTTCTTCTGACTAACAAAACAATTGTAGACCTCTCCATTCGGTCAACCGTCAAAATCATATACCTCGACTGTAAACCTTGAAACTACTGTTGACCTCGACCTTCGGTCTCTGTCAACAGTAGTTTCTCGGTTTACAGTCTCGGTATACAATTTTGCCGGTTGACCTCTGGAGAGGTCAACAATTGTATATTGTATCACTGTCTCATTTATCAATGTGTCTTGTTTATTATAGGCAAACAGAGCAGGCCATGTCGATCATGATGACTGCCCAGAATGCACTCAACACCTCCAATGAGGCATTGAGACTGGCTAGACAACTGCCTGGTATTCCAGATGATGTCGCAAGAAAGATTGAAGGTCTGGGATTAGAGTAAGTTTGCATTTCTTGTGTGTTTATGTTAGGTGTACAGCAGTTCATAAGTAGAATGGTTACCTCAAGAAGGTAAGTAATAGCCATGGTTACCTAAAGTAGGTAATAACCATAGTTACCTAAAGTAGGTAATAACCATAGTTACCTTAAGAAGGTAATAACCATGGTTACATAAGGGAGGTAATAACCATGGTTACCTAAAAGAGGTAATAACCATTGTTTCATGAATAACTATACTTACCTGAATGTAGTTAACCATCGTTTCCCAAAGAAGGTAAAAACCATGGTAACCTGAACCATGGTAACCTGAAGGAGTAAATGATAGTAACCATGGTAACTGACGTGACATATTCTTGTACTTCCAGTTTCCAAGACCTTCAGGATCTGTTTGATGTAACCATGAAACAGGCAGAAGAGGCCAGAGAGAAGGCTAAAGATGCCTATAAAGACTCCCTTGACATTTATGCCAAGTCTCGTGATGTCAACGTACCTGAGATTGATGTTCCAGCCCTGGTTGCAGAGGCCGAGGAAATCAAAGAAGAGGTATGTGTTAAGCGTACTGCATGGCATAATGTATGCATGTGTGCTGTAGTATTTTTGTTCAAACATTTTTTTGTATTCATTATCATGTCATTTTATGGTTTTAAAGTAAGAATAAGTCCAGATTATTTAAATTGATTCTTAACCTGATTATTTCTCTAGTTTTTTGGAATCTTCATTTCGCTAACATTAATTGGAAACACTGCTGCAGAATCTTGGATTCTCTTAGAAATATTTTGAAACTTCTATGCCTATACAAATGAAGTACATGTATCTTATCTGATGTTTTAGGCAATGCGTATCAAGGCTGAGGCAGACCGTCTCATCGACCAGTACAAAGACCTCATTGAAGATGTGAGTGTTCAGAAAGAAGAGGCTCAAGGACTCCTTGATGATGCCGAGAGACAACAACAGGTAGATAAACTTGAATTGAATGTACATTTATTGAATGAATATACATTTTATTAAATTGTTTAATTGTCACCCTTATGAGGCCATTAGTGCAAACAAATTTCAAATATTACTTAAACACTCTCACGCAGGTTGAATATATTTAATGATTTCATATTTTCATCGCACCCTTTCAAAGCTCTATATTGTGAACGTCTTGTGCTGCTTGGGTCTGCGTCGGCAGGCGTGACATAAGTCATGTCATTGAAATTCTTGATTTTTATAGATGCAAGAGAGGACTTTGTGCGCCCAAGAACTGATATATTCCAGGCATGCTGGGTAAATTACTGGGTGGCCATTTTGAATTTTTCAATAAAAAGTATGATATCACTGTAGTATGTCTTGTCCTCTTTTTAGATCACAGATGAGCTATTGGCTGATGCCCATGCTGCATATAGCGAGGGACGTGATGCCGTCGAACGTGCCGAGGAGACACTTGATGATGCTAAGAATACACTTAAGACCCTACTTGGTGAGTTCTATTTCACTTTAACATGCATTCCACTATTTATTGATTTATTCTTCTTTAATCAAATTTTCCTCTGAAAAAATTCTTGTCTGTCCCTCTCAATGTATGCACAACTGTTTTTATAGTCTCCAACACTTTGGTGGATGGTGTTCGGTTTTTGGTGTTCAGTGACTGTAACAAATAGCAGGTGGTGATATTTTGCATGTTGATGCCTTGTTTAAATCAATGTTTTTGGCTTGCATGGTGTCACTATGGAAATGAATGATTATTTGGATTTATGAAAAATGAAATGTTTTTGTGCAAAAATGACATGTTGCTGATAGATCTTTTCTCCCCTCTACTGTATATTTCCTCACCCAGTGTAAATGATATATCTAAGTAGGGGTACACAAGCTGTGTCACTCTGGTGGAAGGCATACACAAGATGCCAGTAAGGGGGAGTTCAAAAGGAATTTTAGTGTGGAAAGGGCACAGAGGGCCTTGTTACAAAAGTGACCTAAGAACAGAATATCAGAATTTTAAAGATGGCCGCCAAATTCAAGATGGCCACCATTTTTGATAGCTTAAATACATGTTTGATTCGAAGAAGATCATGTGAATAGAATTTTTGCTGATCGAAAAAAATCAATATGGACACTCAATTCAAAATGGCCACCATTTTTGGTAAAACATCTTATCTTTTATTTATGAATCTTCAATTTCAGAATTTGACGAGAAAGTGAAGAGAAGCAAAGAAGAAGCAGATGAGGCACTCAAGAAGATCCCATACATCGAGGGATTAATCGAAGATGCTGAGACAAAAACATCTGATGCCAACCAGACTCTAAGTGGAGCCAGAGCTGATGCCCGCAAAGCTAGAGATTTTGCTAAAGAGGCACAGAGAATCGCTGAGGAGGCTTCCAAAGTAAGTGGTGTATTTAAAAGAGGTTTCACACATCTGAAGCCCAACGTATCTTATGTACCACATTCACCAGATTTATGCGTAGTAGTTCAATTAAAACAAGATGCAAAATGGCGGATATGTTTTAGCTATAGCCCATTGTGCGAAACCTCTTTATTATATAAATAGGATGTATACATATTACATATTGAAGCTCTCAAACATTGTGATCACTTGTTTTTGTGGTCATGAATACAGTTTTAAAGATATACTTATTGATATACATACAGGGTGTCTCAAAAAATGTACCCAAAGAGTATATCAAGAGCACAGATAAACCAATCAATATTTTCAGACATTTTTTGCATGGTCATGTAGCCAAAACAAGGGGGCTATAAGACTTTGTGAGGGCCTCCCTATTCACCATATTTGACGGCCCATACTTTTTTCTCTGAGGCTATTTGAAGGACCATTTTTATGCTAAACCCAAGCTAAGAGACCTAGAACTACTTAAGACCAGCATTCGAACAGAAATCAAAACATTCCACCAGAAATATCAAATGTGATGAACAATGTAGTAGTAAGGGTACAGACTGTCAACGAAATATGAGGTTACATTGAATATTTGGTGTAAAAGGTAACAGGTTAAAGTATCAAAAAGGCTAAACTGATTTAAAAACTGTGTATAGGGGAAAAAACTTTCATCTTTTATCTACAAGACCATGCAAAAAATGTCTGAAAATAATGATTGGTTTGTCTATGGTGTTGATATACTCTGGGTACATTTTTTGAGACACCCTATATGTGTACATACATTATTAAAAGAATCAAAACTGAGGAACCATATTTTCCTTACTAGTGAGATGTCACTCAAAAATGGTCCACATTCTTAATGTAACATCTCAAAAAGTGACACAAGAAGTTATTAAAAAGTACCATTTAGTGCCATATGTGCAAATTACATGGGTATGAACTAAAAAGTGCCATGTTACATGCACGTCATAGTCTTTCATGTTAAAATGAAATCTCAATATCAGTGGGACCAGCTAAGAGTGAACATATTTTCAGTTGTTTTTATTAAGGTTTAAGAAGTAGGAAAGTCCAATAGAAAAAATGAGACTGGGAATGAGTTGGCATTATGAGGTGTTTAGATATGCAGGTTTTACTGTAATCTTGTGTCAGTAATGTCTTATTAGATGCCAGCTTGATAGTCAATTGGTCCCAAGACAACTTGTCCCCAAGATGACAACTGGCGTCCAAGACAAGTCTTCCCCAAGACAACTCATCCCCAAGACAACTCTTCCCCAAGACAACTCTTCCCAAGTCAACTGGTCCCAAAGACAACTGGTCCCCAAGACAACTGGTCCCCAAGATGACAACTGGCGTCCAAGACAAGTCTTCCCCAAGACAACTCATCCTCAAGACAACTCTTCCCCAAGACAACTCTTCCCAAGTCAACTGGTCCCAAAGTCAACTGGTCCCCAAGACAACTGGTCCCCAAGTCAACTGGTCTTCAAGTTTATTTTCAGGTTTATGTTTTAAGTATATGACATGAATGATATATGATTTCAGGAAGCTGGAGTCATACGTACAGAAGCAGGGACAACAAAGGTCACTGCGAATGAACTAAATGATTTATCAGATATCCTTGTTGGTGATGTTGATGCTGCACGTCGTAGACTGGAAGCCTTAGAAGCTCAAGCAGAAAAAGATTCTAAACTTGCCAAAGAGGTTAGTTCATATAAGCTAGTTTAGTTCATATAAGCTAGGTTAGTTCATATAAGCTAGTTTAGTTCATATAAGCTTGTTTAGTTCATATAAGCTAGTTTAGTTCATATAAGCTAGTTTAGTTCATATAAGCTAGGTTAGTTCATATAAGCTAATTTCATCTTCCTCAGATGTTCAATTTTTGCAGATTTTAGTCCCACAATGAATCATACTTTAAGCTTCAGAGTATTAAAGAGGGAATCAGATATAGCAAGCAGGCTAAACAAAAAATTGTTTCAATTTTAGAATATTTTTGGCTCATGTCATTCCTTGTCATGTCTATTTTCTAAAAATCACAAAAGTGCATACTTTATTCCAGGAAAACTAAAGATTTTTACAACTAATGTATTATTTTTCTATAAGAATGGTTACCATTCTTATTATTTGGGAGAATTTAAACATTTTTCGCTCATTTTTGCACTTTGAATCATTAATAACTTCACCAATTTATAACATATTGTGAATCTTTTGGGAGATATTGTATTTGATATTATAAGGAATAGATTGGTAGGTCAATTATACATGTTGCTTGTAATTTTGTCACCCCCTATAGATCAGATTCTGCCTTTAAGCTCATAAAATCCACATATTTATTCACGTTTAAATATTTATAGATATATATCTGAAATGGTTTTGGGCATGGTGGGTAAATTACATAGCAGCCATTCTGCTCTTGAAAGTACAATATTCATTGCTGTGTGTCTTCTTCTTATTTCATTTTAGGCCCTAATGAAGGCAGAGGAGGCCAAGAACAGTGCCCAGGACTCCAAGTCTAAAGTCAGTGGGGCTCTGGATATGGTCAACATGATTCTAGACCAACTTGGTGAGTGAGATTGTAGTTTCACTTAAGTCATTAATATTATATAGAAGTTAATTTTGCGTGATAGAAAAATGTTTTGTCAGCTGAATGAAACTATTTGGTCTGTCTTTTCAGCGGGACTTGATAGCATAGATACCGAACGTCTGAATGAACTTGATGTCGGTCTTAAGAATGCCGAGACCGAATTGGTGAACATTAACTTTACGTCACGCTACAACGAACTAGAGGCATCAAGAGACAGACAACGTGGGTGGGTCAGTGAATACACCATTGACTACATCAACATTGAGAGAGATGTAGAAAATATCCGCCAAATAAATGCAACTATTCCCCGAACATGTTATAATGACGTTGACATTGAAGTAGGAGTTACACCCGCTCCGGGTCGGTAGGCAGTAATTTCATTGGTAGACATTATTTGTACAAGTTATATCATGCACAGAACTGGATCAAAATTTCCCGTAATAGTGCACATGTATTATAGAGGGATAATCAGGCTGGTTGCGACATATCTCAACTCCATTTCCACTCGGACTTCAGAGCATCAACGCAGTTTTCTTACATGTACCATTTTTACAAATCAGGAATGAGTAAAACTCCCATTTACAATGTGTATATAAGCACCAATTTGGGGGTGTGTCCAACCAGTCTGCTGTGAGTGGATGGAGTTGGGGGCGTGTCCAACCAATCTGCTTTGAGTGGATGGAATTAGAGGCATGTCCAACCAGCCTCCACAGTGAGTGGCCAGACCAGTGTCAGTATATTAGTATCATGTATTTATAATACTCAGGCATCAAGTTCAATGTTCACCAAATGTGTAAAGTGATAAAAATCTGGGTTTGGTATAGCCTGATATAGGGCCTGGTTTAGTGTATTGATTTAAAGTATGTCTTAAGGGGGGCACAGTGTTTCTAATGATCGACAGCATACATTTGATTATGCAGTAAAACCTATGTAAGTGACACATAGAAAAAGAGTTCCACTTAGGAGGTGTTCAACATATAGAAGTGTTACATTGTACATAATGTTGGATTTTGAACTGTTCCACCAATGCAGATGTTCCACTTTATAGGTTTTAATGTATGGCAATCTGCAATACCTGTATGTCTATACATTCTGGAATCACTGTAATTGGCTTACATTAATATGGACCTGTGTGTATCCCGAAACCATTTTTGATTTTAAAATCCCAACCAATCTGATATCAAAATAAATCTGTGGCTTCCCAGGACTTGTAATTAGACAAATGCCAGGCCTAATCGGGCTCCGACCAGATATGTTGTATGTTTAGTGCATAAATGATCCATTTTTCATCACACAATGCAAATCAAAATTTTATCTTAAATAGTGGTTGGGTTTTCAATAATTATTCAATCGCAATTGACAAATGATCACAAAAGCTTCTGTAGAAAGAACAACGATTTTCTACTTTTATATATTAGGTGCTATCCACATTGTAAATACAATAGCAAGCATTGTAGCCTTTGAGTATGTAATCAATCACCAAAATCGTCATAAAAAAATTATGTAAAAATCACTGCCAGAATCTGACACAGTAAGGACATATAACCCCCTAAAACTTAGATTTAGATTGAACTGTAAGGTCTATTTTAGATTTAGCTCAATCACTGCCACAAATTTTAAAAATTATTGTAAATACTGAATGATTCAATGGTATGATACAGGGTGTTCAAAAATCAATTTTTCAGACATCAATTACATATATTTTGGACACCTTGTACCTCATGTTAAAATTAAAAGATTTGCTGAAGTTATTTGTTTAAAACTTGCAACTGAGCCAATTTTATAGCATATTGCATTATGGCGAAGGCATATTCATCAAACAGTGTAATTGTTTTTAATCAATGGGTCACATTTCATTTGTATATAGTATTATATCAATATGTATTTTAATTACAGCATTATATGTAAAGCATGACACTACTATTTTACTGTATCATTTTTACCGTTTTCATTGAAATCATATTTTATTTTTAGTTCAGTGTTGATATTTTGGAGCATTTTCACGGGATATTGATATTAATGAGATAACCTACTAGTCAATAAAAACAAACTGCTTATATGCTTCCATATATGGTCATGTTCTCATACCATGCCTTATTTGGGTATCATAAAGTATGAACACAAAAATTCGGAATTCAATCTTGTTTCTGTAAGTTTATTTTTTTAAATGCATCGTGTATGATTTAATTTCATTTAGACGTGACGTGTCTTCACCTAACAGTGTCTTGTTTTTTCATATGAAACTGTTTTGTATATTTCTTGTATAGAGCATGTATTCATGTAATATTTTACGAATCCAGAGTATGCATTTAGAGATATTATAAAGTGTATCAAAGTTTCCAATTAACTACAGTTGTTTTTGGTGGTTCAGTGTAATGGATTTGATGTTAATACTACTCAACATCTGATTGGTTGATAATTCCATGACACACCACAAATATAATTCATTACACAGAAACATTACCTAACAACATGAACTAATAATGATTGCCCTTTCAAAGTTGTTTGGAGGGAGTGGCAGTAGACATTAAACATTGAAGGAGAAATGAATAACACATAAATGAACAAACTGTCACATAAAGTTTAAAAATTGTATTTTATACGAAAGTGAGCAGCTGGTTTTTGTGGAACTTGTGTACATTTGTAGAAAAATAACTATAACATATTTATTAATCACAGTAGTTCACGGTAGAAGACACTTGCACTGGACCCTGTTGTTAATAATTGAAAAGATAAATGTGAAAGGACTCAAAGTTTCATTATTGGAAATTCTAGAATAAAAAGTAGATCATTATTACAAATGCTACTGTCATTCTAGTTTTATTCTAATGAAAAAATAGATCTGTAGCATGACAGCCCTCATTGGAAATTTTCAGAATAGATAGTTATTTGAATTTCGATCTACATTGTTCTTGCAAGGTCATTTTAACTTTTTAGGATATATGAAATGAGTCCTGCGTGCCATCTTTAAATTAATTTTCAACGGGGTTATTAGCTATAACACAGAAATCAAACTGAGCTTAAAATAGTATTTATTATATCGTTTATAGTCTGCATACATCTCTATCAGCCGAACTACTTTTTTGTAGTCTATTTTAGATATTTTCACAATAATGGAGCGCAAGCGTAGTATTCATAATAAACAGTGTAAAATGAAGTGATTTCAATGTTCTTTTGTCTCTATATTAATCTGGATAAACACCACAACTCTCTTTACAATCAAAATACAAAGTAATTTGAAGTTGATTGAAGCGTAGAGAGAGAGTTCATGGACACCATGTATTTTGATGTTATTTTTCATATTTCATTTAACATCATTGCCCAATTCACCATATTGGAATTCAGTACCTAAACATCCACCTACCCATCCATCCACCCATCCATCCAACCACCCACCCAACCATACACCCATACATACATCCAACCACCCAACCATACACCCATCCATCCAACCACCCACCCAACCATACACCCATACATACATCCAACCACCCAACCATACACCCATCCATCCAACCACCCACCCAACCATACACCCATACATACATCCAACCACCCATCCATCCATACACCCATCCATCCATACACCCATCCAACCACCCACCCAACCATACACCCATCCAACCACCCACCCAACCATACACCCATCCAACCACCCACCCAACCATACACCCACCCATCCACCCAACCATACACCCACCCAACCGTACACCCACCCAACCATACACCCACAAATGAAAACTGCTCTGTCATTTCCAGAATACATATCCTAGTTTCGTATCAAGCCCCTGTGTTGCCATTACCCCACATGACCATATAAATAAGATAGCTAGAAGGTGGGGGGAAGGAATGACCAGATACATTATACAAAATACATGGCTCTGCTATTCGAAGACCCCCTGTAGAACCTATGCTAGCTTGCAGGCATGAAGTTAGGGTCTAAATAACTATAGTCTCCAGGGGTAAATCCAGTATAGTCTCTGTCTATATGACTGTCTTTGGATTGAGGTGGTTCCACTTGTTTTAATCTATGGCTGGAGTTGTGCTGACCTATCTCATATTGACTGAAAATAGAGAATATACAGAAGGTCAATTGATGTGACATATTGTTGATTGATGTCAAATGAGATGACACATTCTTGATAGATGTCAAATGAGATGACATATTGTTGACTGATGCAAAATGAAGTGACACATTGTTGATTGATGCCAAATATGGTGACAAATTGTTGATTGGTGTGAACTAAGATGAAACATTGTTGATTGATGCCAAATGATGTGACACATTGTTAGCTGATGCCAAACCAGAACAACGGCAACGCCAAAGCGTAGCGAATCCCATCGAACAGCCATGGATGGCATTTTTACAAACAAAGTATATAGCAAAAATGGCAGGCATTTTTCAAAATGGCTGCCTTCTACCAAAAGTGCCATTTGCCATACTTATAGTATTCACATACCAAATATGAACAAAATCGCTCCACTACTTTTCGAGTTATAGTAAAAGACGTTAAAATGGCCACCATTTTGAAAAATGGCCGCCTTCTACCAAAAGTGTCATTAGACAGTGTGCCATGCTTACAGTATTCAAAATGGCCACCTTCTACTAAAAGTGTCATAGGATAGTGTGTCATACTTTTAGTATTCACATACCAAATATGAACAAAATCGCTCCACTACTTTTCGAGTTATAGTAAAATATGTTTAAATGGCGGCCATTTTTCAAAATGGCCGCCTTCTACCAAAAGTGTCATTAGACAGTGTGCCATCCTTATAGTATTCACATACCAAATATGAACAAAATCGCTTCACTACTTTTCGAGTTATGGTAAAATAGGTTAAAATAGCGGCCATTTTTCAAAATGGCGGCCATTTTTTAAAATGGCCACTTTCTACCAAAAGTGTCTTTAGACAGTGTGCAATGTTTATAGTATTCACATACCAAATATGAACAAAATCGCTCCACTACTTTTCGAGTTACAGCAAAAATCGTAAAATAATGAGTAAAGGCCGCTATTTTTCAAGATGGCTGCCATGTGCTTCTTTAATATCTACATTTCTAGCTTTATTAATGTCCTATATAATTTTTACATCTAAAACATATTGCTATTACAGTTTTACATATTGCACCTAAATTACTGTAAATTCGGCACTAAAATGGCCGCCATTTTGAAATGAGCGGCCATTTTGAAAATCGGCTTTCACCAGAACTTCTACCCCCATAGGGTATATGTGTACAAAATATGAACAAAATCGGGCCAGCGGTATTTGAGTTATTGCCCGGACGGACGGAGGCGTTCCCTATATCCCTCCGAACTTCGTTCGATGGGATAAATATGCCAAATGAAGTGACACATTGTTGACAGATGCCAAATGAAGTGACACATTGTTGACAGATGCCAAATGATGTGACACATTGTTGACAGATGCCAAATGATGTAACAAATTATTGTTGACTGATGCCAAATGTTGCCAAATGACTGATGCCACATTACATTAGTAGTGATAATGGCTGCCTTATAACTGGTACCGACCTATCAGCGCAGTCATCACAGAAGTCAAAGGAATCTGGACTACAGTCAATACAATGCCATCGCTTGCCAATGATAGGATCACAGTTACACCTGTCACACTGGAATAATCAAAATCATGAAAACTGTTCAATATAATACAGGGAAACCTGTTACGGGAACACCTCTATAAGTAAAATTCCTCCATAAATAGAACACTTTTTTAAGTCCATTTACAATAAAATGAAGCACTTGAAGTGCAACACCTTCCAATGAATAAACCCAATGTACAAAAGTATAGCTACAAAAATTATATTAGCAATAATAATTTATATCACAGCATATAGAATTCATTTCTATCTTCCAATATTGATAAGAAACTACAACTTAGATACAATAACACATCTTATCTTTGCCATGGTTAACCAATATTAAAGGGTTCCGATAAGCATCCCGTATAAAAACAATATGGCGGCTCCAGGCGAATCAACTGGATCAGTCCATTTTTAAGAAATAAGGGGAGTTCTGTAAAATCCAGTTTATTGAAATTGTCTTTGAGATTAAGTAATCCGTTTATAATGATTTTGAAAACGTTATCCAAAGAGTGATTGCGTTCAAAGAATACATGTACAACAGCCAATATAAATCCTTGTATTAGAACTGCTTTGTTTCATTTGTAGGATATTTCATATGCCAAGCTGTGTGCTATTACGTTATGGGGAAATTTAGATGCCAATTTTTCCTTATTATACACAAATAGAAGATCCTGAAACTTCACCCATAAATGTGGAATTGATTTGTCAAAATAAAAATCACCCTTTTATAAATGTGTGATGATCTATAATATACTTATGCTATATAACAGTTAGAGGTGTTGGCACAACGACCTCGAACCTGTGAACCCTTGAGTATTATTCCGGGATCGGGCCTTTTATACTAAACGGTGAGCAACACCAGAAACGAGCGTTCGATTTGCTAAACGATATGCGTCACCCTTTAACCAAATTTTTGATCATGACAATCCCGCTGGAGTTCATACCTTAAAACCTTTGTGTTCAAAGGGAGGGGGTCCTATCTCTTTTATCTTGCGCTTTCTTAGAGACTTCAACTGCATTAGTTCCAAATATTCATTAGTCGATGCAAGGTGGCTGGGAATATCATCATCCTGGAGAAAAATCAGTGCAATAGGTAAATTGGGCATGTTTATAAAAATAATTAATACAATGCACTGAACTGACAACGGGCTCAAGAGGTGAATTATTACAACTCATGATTCGGTGAATTCCTTGTTGAAAATCAGAGAATTACATGTTTCCCAGTTGAAAACCTGAAAATTACATGCTCCCAGTTGAAAACCTGAGGAAACCTGAAAATTACATGCTCCCAGTTGAAAACCTGAAAATTACATACTCCCAGTTGAAAATCTCTCTGTAACCTGCCAAAAGTGTGAAATCATGAGATATTTTGACCAAAAACAAATATATGTAGAATGGAGATTTATCACCCATTTTTGGAAATATCCTGGGAAGATCACTGGACTAGTGAAAATGTGCATACTTACTGAGCTATCATCGTCTTTGCTTGGTAAGCTATACGCATCCCCCATATAACTCTCCCCATCATCATCAGACATATACACAGGGGGATTATAACTCTGCATAAATGTGGATGGCTGGTAGTATAGGTGTTTATGTCTGTGGTGATGATGAACAGGTTTATTCTACAAAGAAAAAAATTATGATTTTTTTTTTTTTTTTTTATTCATAGAATTTATTTTACAAATACATAAAGTACATACACATTATACACTTGTAGTGGCTTTGCTGAAGGCATTATCAGCCACTTGATTAATAATATATATATATAATATAATAATATGATTTAATAAAATCCATTGTTGCACAAAAACCCTGTAACCCCCCCCCCCCCCATCCCCCTCCTCCCTTCCCACTTTGGTGTTATGAGGAGGGAAAGGGGACAGGGTTGAACATTACATATTAACAATACACGTAGAAATGAATATCCAGGGGTTTCATTAGAATTCCTCACAACAGACTAAATAAATGTAAACAACAGGCAAAATCTATGGAAATCATGAATTCAACTTGGAAAAGTTGAAAAGTCCCTAAAAACGTCAGGCAATTTTGTGAAAACAACCAGTGAAAATGGCCTGTTGCTAATGAAACCCCTGATATCGATTTTTATCGAAAAATTCAAAATAACCCCCAAGTAATTTACCTAGCATGTCCAAATACAATACGATACAATAAATACTAGGTCTGCTGTTGTATTTGAAAAAATTCAAATTGAACAGGTTTTTTCTTGAATTTTGATGACAAGATTTATGCGGTACGTGCCCATCCATCCAGAGAGACGCAAACACAAGACAATGAGAACTTTGAAAAAGTTTGATAAAAACTTGATGTAAAATGAATTAAATACATACTTTGTCTTTATATGCTTTCATGTTTGGCATACGTCCTGGGATTGGTAGTCCAGCCTTGGCTAGCTTGATGAAGTATTTCTGTACCCTGCTTGCAACCTGAAAAAAATCCAAATATAAGTACAGCGCAGGGTTCTCACTAGGAAATTTTTAGACCCCGGATTTATCGCGGTATCGCGATTTCTCCTCTCCCATGTGAGATCAGTGATATCCTATTAAAGGTACTTTTCAAAATAACTACTTAAAATTATCTTCCTATTTTAATCACAATATACATTTCTAAAAGGTTTCTGACTTCCTATTCCTTATTTGTATCCAATTTTATGTATTTTCTCCGGAGTCTAAAAGCCTAGTGAGAACCCTGCAGAGTAATACTCAAAAAGTAATTTGTCACATGGGAATATAACATTAAATTAAATCAGCCTAAATTATTATAACAAATTTGAATAGAATGATCAAATAATCAGAGTAGTTTCTTTTGATGAAGTAAATTAGGAATGTTTTTTCTAACAGCCCAGAAAGCATTGCCCTCACTTAAACCAAACATAGCCCTCACTAACAAAGACCAAACATAGCCCTCACTAACAATGACCAAACATAGCCCTCACTAACAATGACCAAACATAGCCCTCACTAACAATGACCAAACATAGCCCTCACTAACAATGACCATACATAGCCCTCACAAACTAAGACCAAATATAGCCCTCACTTACCTGATGCATGGTACGGTTCCCAAGAGCATATGCAATCTTCTGGTAGCGATGTGTCTCGATCTCCTCTGGAGGATACTCGATTAGAAGAGCCTCTAACCGTTTCTGCTCCTCGTCCGTCCAGAGTTGGTTAAATGTCTGAGATTTTGACTCGTCTTTTAGACGTCCCCGGACAATGATATTGTCACTCGATTCTATATCATCCATTAGGGGAGATGGCACTTGAGTATCTAAAAACAACTTTATGTTGATAAATTTTTATAATAGCATTATATGTAAGTGCACAGCGATACTGGAAAACATATCTCAAAATGACCAACGTAGACTATAGATGCACTGCCAAAAGATAATGTGCCATATAATTCTTAAAATGTAATTAATGTAAATAGAATAACATACCCAATAAAGATTTATTCGTCCCCTGTAACGTTGCGGCAAGGCTATGGCTGTGGTCTCCTTTTTTGCCCCGTGTCTTGTGCCTAGTGGCCCCTAGCCCCTCGACTACCTTAGTATACTGGGCCCAGTCAATCTCGGGCAATTCCGCTATCTTACGTTTTGGCGGGAGACCAACATCTGCTTTCCTCTGTAATTTTTGTACAAACTCGATTGGGTCTTTCAGTGCTTCCTCTTTAATGTCAATAATGCGGTCTAAGTCTTTAATCGACTGTTGACGTTGAGATTCAAGAAGAGATATATTACGGAGGAGTCTCCGATAATCTGCGTTATCTTTTAAAGCAAGGTGATCTGTTTCAAAGTAATACGTAGAGTCTTCCAGATCTTCCAACATGTTCGTGGAATCCTTTACTACAGTAGCTGTTGCCAAACTATTATTGATGTCATCTGACATCGACTCCATTGGTTCAGTCTTGATTGAAACTCCACTTGCCATCTGGAAAATGTAAAATCAAATGCAAGTGCCAAATTTTCTCTATGATGCATACGCTCAGGTGAGGCATGGACTTAAAACAATTTTATTTCACATGCATTTATTTCATTTACTAAATAAAATAAATTTGCATGTGAAATAAAAAATTTTAAGGCACACATCCTAGTTTTCTGCATGAGAAAAATGCAAATTCTGCTCCAAAATTCTGCATGAAAAAGTCGACTTCTGCGCCAAATGGCAAATTCTGCACGGAATCCTGAATTCTGCAATAAATTCTACAAGCAATGGTTTCATCTGCAATTATAAAATTGCAGGGAATTCAAATTTTGTGACATACAAAGACGTAATATTTAAGTGCAAAAGCCAGAAGTTTATGAATTTTAAACTGATTTCACATTTCCCCTCTGAAATCCTCATAAACACCAGTTTCTGATGAAAAATGACTGTCTAAGATGTCAAATATGAGATGAGGTGGTTGAAAATTTCATGGTGAAAATTCCATGTGAAAAAATCAAATTCTGCATATTTTGTGAAGCAAAATTCTGTGGTTTTTATGTGGCGACGCGGATGTGATTTATGTTTACCAAAATTACAGCTTGCTACTGTATGAATGGATGATAGTATTTATATGATGTTTGGAAAAATCTATGTAAATGACCATGTAAAAAATCTGAAAATTGCTTTATTTAACGATCTCTACAGATTATGAGGAGGAATGTTGAAATTCAATTTCTTCATGCTGAATCTATCCATTTTTGACTGATCTGTCATACGTATAATTTAAAATCCCATTGTATTAGCGGAAATTCAACAACCAATACTGATTGCTTTAGGAAACTTTTAAGTGATGGAATGGGGATGGAATTTTATGTAGTATGTATCCAACAGACCGAATATAATATTCGGTCTGTTATGATTGATACCCCTGGCATGGAAATCTCGGCGATATTTTGTGCACATAAATTTCTCGTTTATTACAAGAATGTTCACCTTGAAAATTGGTGAATATGTTGAAGAGATGTTCATCTTAAACTAGAAGCAAAAATATTTGTATAAGGCGGGTACAAGTTGATATAAAATAATGAAATGTTCAGACTCACCAAAACTTCAGGATGTGTTCATAAGTAGATCGCGAAATCAATGTCAAGGACGTTTGAGTTCACGAGATCCAAACGAGATATGCAAATTTTTGAACTTTGACAACACATGACCACTTGATTACCTCGGCCTTCTTCATGAATATTTCCGCTCTATTTACTATAAATGACGAAAATTAATCGGGATAATGATAATAAATGACTAGATCTAATAAATTCCCTCATAAATGGAATTTATCAATACGCTTCCGTAATGTTGCTCCGTCCGCTCCACGTGTTATTTGTTTACAAATAGACTGACGTCACTGGCTAAATCTCGTTTATCGTGAGAATTGGCATTGCCAAAATGGCTTGACCTAATCAATGGCTTCGCTACAAGAAGCGTCTGTACATTTTATGAATATCTTCAGTAAGAGGACAATATATGAAAAAATAATATTGTAAGTTCTTTATAAGGTAATCATTTTATCATTAAGCAAACTTATTTGTAACATTTATACAACACCACATTTTACAATAGGTGACTTACAGTCTGAATTTATTCAGACGAAGGATACAGTCTAGAATTTTATGGTGAAATTGTACTTGTACTCAATAATATGATTGATTGCTGGCCATAAACAGACACTCAACAAGTACAAATATTTCGCAACAGTAAAAATGTGATTCTGGTAATTCTGAGTGATTTTCATGAAAATCTGAGATTCTTTAAAATGTGGAAGTTTTGGTTAATTCCTTCCATGGCACCATGGGCATTCAATCGGATTGAAAGCCCAAGGTGGTAGAGCCCATGATAGAACTCAACTATTTTTTCGGGACGAAGCTGTTATCTGCCGATACAAGATGTCTGTGATGAAGAAATAAAATAGTCAGCAATATTGATTTACTATAAGCTTACATGTATGAAATACCGAAAAGCATTGGCTTCAAAGATTTGAAGAGAAATCCCTGACTGGGTGAATGGACATGAATGAGTTGAACAACAATGACAGTATTTGGTAGATGCGAACTAAATGATCAGTAGATATTACAGTAGATATTGCTTCACAGTCAATATACGGATATGGCAAAAATGTATTTAATAATAGTAGTGAAACATTTGGACATATGAACACGATATACCTACCTTATCAAAATTCGTTTTTTGAACAATCAAAACATGGAGGCTGACATTTTGAAAATACCCGGATCACATGAATAACTAATCGAACAACTTATTTGTAACATTTTAACTTATTTTCCCCGAATAGTATATTATATAGTCCAGTATGGTATAGTTTTTAAAAGCAATTATAATCTTATGTGTTGGATTAAATGATCTACAGAACATAAGTAGACTCCAATTATACAAATTAAATATTGTTGATTGACTAGTTTTTCTGGTATTGAAGTTGACCTAGATTTTGAACCAAATTTGAAGGTAAGAAAAGTTTTTGTATTTAGAGATCTATATCTGCGATTCACCTCATTTTCTGGTGCTTTATTATTATTCTATATTATTTTGAAATCCGGTGACTCGATATGTTATAAATCAGCAAAAAAGCAGACTTGGTCTATGTCACATTTGATTATTAAAAATGCATACAATTTATCTTCTCCCAAAATGGCTGAACAAGTCTAAGACTTGTCTTTGGAGGGAATTTCAAATCTTTTCAAGCTAACAGTTACTGTGTTTGTCACAACCAAAAGCCTCGATCGCCAGTTCTTTTATTATTCTCCCCTATATTTTGGACAAGGACTCCCATTACAACCCTCCATCGCTTCCAGGGGCGGACCCAGGATTTTGTGTTAGGGGGGCGTGTGATGATAACTGTGAGCGAATAAAAAAAAATATTCAAATTTTGTAAAAAGCAATGAGAAAAAACACGAATTTTCCGACTTTTTAGGGGGGGGGGACCCACGCCCCCGTCTATATCCGCTGGTGGCTTCATCAACATATTTATATTACATTAAACGCAACAATTTAAAAAAAAGTCCTCGCAATTCTGTTCGAAATTGACCAAAACACCCCGTTGTCTTCCAAAACGCCCCGCAGATTCTATGACTACAAACGTGTACAGTACTGTCAACCCCTAAAGATTTTCTCGCGGGACAGATTTTTTAGACCCAGTGCCCAAAATTTGTGGGATTTTGCGGGACATCTACTAAATTTGCGGGATTTCGCGGGACATTTAAGGGATTTGCGTGATTGCGCTAATAGGCCAATTTTTTTTTATCAAATTCGCAGGACCATTCGAGGGACAAACACCCTAATTGCGGGACAGTTGACAGGTGTACCACCAAAAACTTAATATAGGGACAGATTTTTTAGACAAAGCGCCCTAAATTTGCGGGATTTCGCGGGACATCCACCTAAATTTGCAGGATGTCCCGGGACATTCAAGGGATTTGCGTGAATGGGACTAATGTAAAAGCGTGTAAAAGTACTTAAATCAAACTTTCAGATACTGATTAATCAAATATAATGCACCTCGTTGCTTTAGCAGAGAGGTGACGTGTGTTAATTTACATGATTCAACGTGTAAGATTTTGATTATTAATCATAATTTAAGTTATCCCAATTTTCGACAAAATGTCCACTGAATTGTAAATTGTTATGTCTTACAATGTCATAGGCGTAGCCAGAAGAGGGTGCGATGGTGCACCCCCCCCCCCCCCATAACCAATGAAAATATGGCCATGACGATAGAGGAAGAAAAGAGCCTTAAAATATGCTTTTTATTTGAAGCTTCTAGCTCAATTTTGAAGGATGTTACATACATTTTTGTAAATTCACAACAAATCTTACAAGCTTTCTCATAATCTAATTGTTATATATTCGTATTTTTCGTTTTTTGGGTGCCCGTTTTTTGACCGGGTACCAAGTTTGAACCCAGCATGGAGGATTTACTACCCGGTACCCTGTTTTTTCTACAAACCTTTCTAGATATCAGCGTCCATTTATTGTAACTCGGGTTTGCTAACATTTGCTCAGTTCTGAGATGAAGGCCACACGGGTAGTAAAAAGGCCAACGTTGGAACTATTTGTGACCTACGTCCCTATTTTCGTAATTAAAATGAAAGTTAAACCCTTCCCCTTTATTTTGATACCAAACAACAGCATATGCTAGGTACTTAAAATTAGGTAAACTTCTCAAAAGTGCAAAAACTTAGCTTCTTATATAAGATAAGATAATCACAATATAGGGGATTGCAACAATTTCGGAAATTCGCGGAGGTCAAAGCCACATTTGCGGGACTTTGCGGGACATTGCAGGACACGCGAATTAGCCTAATTTTGATCAAATTCGCGGGATAATCCCGCCATTCGCGGGACACTTGACAGCTCTGCGTGTATAGATAAGGTTTATAGATCTAATGGGCGTTTTGGAAGAGAACGGGGTGTTTCGATTAATTTCGAAAAGATGCGTAGGACATTTGGAAATTGGTGCGTTTAATGTAATAAATATGTTGATGTGCAGGGATGGAGGGTTGTAATGGGAGTCCTTGTGAAAAATATAGGGGAGAAATAATAAAAGAACTAGCTATATATCGAGGCTTTTGGTTGAAATTTCTGAAGATTTGCATCTTCTCACATCTGGGGACCAAAACGCCGCTAAAACGAGTGACTCTGTACACAAAAGCAATGTCTCGACTGAAAGGTATTTCTGTGAAGGAATTTTAATGGAACAAATTTGAAGAAAAATGGTGTACTAAGAGACTCACAATCATTGATTCTCCAAAGAAAGGGTAGGTTTGAAATTCAAATTAACGGTTTTGCGGGGCGTTTTGGTTTCGATACGCCCCGTTGAGTTTGTACCGCATGGATTTAGCATATCGAAAATATTTTCAACCTAAGTGACCTCATCGTGATATCACTTAGGTGGCAACATTTTAACAATGCTAATCTTTTCTAAATATGCTAAACTTAAAAAAATAGACCAATGTTGAGGCCCCCAATGTTGACCGCCTAACTAGGTTAAAACAGTACTGTCAACCCCCAAAGATTTTCTCGCGGGACAGATTTTTTAGACCCAGTGCCCAAAATTCGCGGGATTTTGCGGGACATCAACTAAATTCGCGGGACATTTAAGGGATTTGCGTGATTGTGCTAATAGGCCAATTTTTTTAATCAAATTTGCGGGATTTCGCGGGACCATTCGAGGGACAAACACCCTAATTGCGGGACAGTTAACAGGTTTACCACCAAAAACTTCATAGAGGGACAGATTTTTTAGACAAAGTGCCCTAAATTTGCGGGATTTCGCGGGACATCCACCTAAATTTGCAGGATGTCCCGGGAGAATCAAGGGATTTGCGTGATTGGGACCAATGTTAAAGGGTGTAAAAGTACTTAAATCAAACTTTCAGATACTGATTAATCAAATATAATGCACCGTTACATTGTAACTTAAATAAACGTCAACACAATTTCACAAAATACGCATAGGAATATTATTAAACTTTATTGTAATTTATCAAAAAAACATGCTTCAGATGTGAGTACCGTAATCTAACACAAAATTCAAAAATTCGGAACAATACTTTGCACTTCTGGCATCTTGACCAACTATGAAACGCTTATCCCCATAATGTTATATATTAAAATGAACCTATTCATATATTGTAGCAGTGTTTTCAGTAGGCTTGTCCAAAATTGCGTCCCTTGGACGTAATGATTTTCAAAAAATGCGTCTCCCTTCAAAAAACTGCGTCCCTTGAAAAAATGTTCCCGGGAATTCAAAAGTCACGTTTTTACACTGGATGAAATAAATTGATGAAATTTTGTACCACTGCTTTTGCTATTTATCAGTCTGAATCAGCGTTCTTGCAAGTCTAGTATGTCATTGAATGATACAGATACCATCATAACTTATATTCTCCCATTTAAAACACCTTTTCCTTGCGAATTTCGAAACAATTTGCTATTGATTTTGCTTTAGCATGTTTAGTTTAGGGGCAATCTGCGCGAGGTTCAACTTTTTAGTTCAGTTTCTTGCGCATATGCAGTCTCAAATAATGATCACGTGATCACACTTGACCAATTGAAAATGGTTTGAATCAGGTCTTAAGCTACCGGCCAATCGTAGGACTCATACTGATTACTGCTCGGAAATCGAGTATTGTATAAATTTTTGTCCTATCACATGCCTTGTACTATTTCGATCAGAAATCAACTTCCGGGAAGGAAATTTCGAAAGAAAATTTTATTTCTTTTAGAAATAGAATTTTCTTCAATTATTTATTGGATTCTGACGAAATAAAGAGACTGAAGGTAAGATCTTTATCAAATCATTCATCCAAAGTTGATTGTATGAGTATGGCTTGCACTGCGTCCACAAAACGCAATCACTTTTTATTTCCGGGTCCATGGATTTTTCATTACGTTTTTGCAATACTTGGACGGCGTTATTGAAATAGCAGTGTAGGCATTGGCTTTCAATTGAAAGCCCATGATATAGGGGTTCGATTAATCTACATCAAATTATAGGGAATGAGGTTACTTTTCGATAGGGTTTGTAGAAAAACCGGGTACCGGGTAGTAAATCCTCCATGCTGGGTTCAAACTTGGTACCCGGTCGAAAAAACCGGGTACCCAAAAAACGAAATATACGAATATACAACCAATGACCATAACCAATGAAAATATGGCCATGACGATAGAGGAAGAAAAGAGCCTTAAAAAATGCTTTTCATTTGAAGCTTCTAGCTCAATTTTGAAGGATGTTACATGCATTTTTGTAAATTCAAAACAAATCTTACACGTTTTCTCATAATCTAATTATGTTATATATTCATATTTTTCGTTTTTTTGGGTACCCGTTTTTTTGACCGGGTACCGGGTACCAAGTTTGAACCCAGCATGGAGGATATATTACGCGGTACCCTGTTTTTTCTCCAAACCCTTTCTAGATATCAGCGTCCATTTATTGTAACTCGCGTTTGCTAACATTTGCTCAGTTCTGAGATGAAGGCCACACACAGGGAGTAAAAAGGCCAACGTTGGAACTATTTGTGACCTACATACCTATTTTCGTAATTAAAATGAAAGTTGAACCCTTCCTCTTTATTTTGATACCAAACAACAGCATGCTAGATACTTAAAATTGGCTTTGTATAAAAAACTTCCTACCTCATATCCACCTACCCATTTACGTGGGACATGATACAGTCTTTGAAGGGTTCAATTTTAAAGATCTTAGTTTATTAAATCATAGTTTATGATGAATTATAGATGCATGCACGACCCTTGATAGCAAATTGCTTCTACATCCCAGCTGGGTTCGATTCGCACTCGGGTCATCGAATTTAGCACACTTTCTTTCTTTCATTTCCTTATCTGGATTGTTGGACCTATGTTCGCAGTCATTAGTTATTTATTCCCCTGGTGCGCCCTCGGGTCTACATTCTAAAATGCATCCATATGCCTTTATTTATGGATCTGTCTAGTCATAAAATAAAGCCGGAATTGTAGAAATGTTAATAATTTGAGCTATTTTGAGATTTAATAATCTTTAAAATTGAACCCTTCAATGACTGTATCATGTTCCACGTAGGTTGGTAGGTGGGTATGAGGTAGGCGTTTTTTTATACAAAACCCTTAAAATTAGGTAAACTTTACTCCTCAAAAGTGCAAAAACTTAGCTTCTTATATAAGATAAGATAATCACAATATAGGGGATTGCAACAATTTCGGAAATTCGCGGAGGTCAAAGCCACATTTGCGGGACTTCGCGGGACATTGCGGGACACGCAAATTAGCCTAATTTTGATCAAATTCGCGGGATAATCCCGCCATTCGCGGGACACTTGACAGCTCTGTTAAAAGGATGAATATATTATGTTTTTTGATATTATTTTTCCATTGGTTTCTATGAGAAATAAAATTTTCAAATGCATCTTTTCCTGAACCACTTTCATGCATGGATGAGTTCATTGCTCGCTTATGTATCAACCAATTTTCTTGATTTTGTCGGCAAAAAAAACAAGTGAGGATAAATGCTATGCATCTGTGTGGATTATCGCTTTAAAGAATAACTGTGACCTCTAAAAGTTAGTTTTAAATAAATCAAGATATTTTGAACAAAAAGTCCTTCAAAAAACATTTTTGAAATTATTAAAAAGTTTCACTTCACTCTTTGATAACATAGGATAAGACAACAAAGAAGCCAAAGTGGTTTAAACTTTATATGGGGCCTTTATGTTATGTTATGTTATTTTATTTACCATCTACAAGATGAGTACATATACATAAATATGTTACAAAAATAAATGTACGAAAAATACTACAAGTTTATGTATGTTAGATGAGCAAAATTAATATGCTCATATGTCAGAGCATGCTATTATTTACAAGGATTTAAGAAGGTAATCCCTTCTTTTGTGCATTTCATATATCGTGCCCAGCAATGGAAGCATTATTTCAGGATCATATTCGCTCCCTCCACCGAAAATGAAACATATGAATTCACAAAAGTTGTTGACTCCTAGTTTATATAATTCACTAAATAGATTGTATCTTATATCTATATACGCTGGGCACAATAGTAAAAAATGCTGTACGTCTTCAGTGACATTTAAATTGCATAGTAAGCATACACGTTCAGACATTGGTTGTCCGTAATTACATATCCTGTATGTTCCTGATATCATTTTCATTATAACTTTACATTGTGGTAAGCGTCTTGGAAAACGCCTGGCAACTTCCCACCATAAAAATGGTTTTAAAACAGTGAAACATCTCAATATTGGTCTCAGTGTTGGATATAAGGAGCTAAGAACGAAAAAGCGTCTCATCTCAAACGACTTGACAACGTTCATGACTTTTCTCTTCCAGACACATTTGAGTGGTGTGTTAGCAGTAGTTATCATATTCAAAACGTCCCCATGAAGGTTGTATTTCATTGTTGTTTCCCACATTGAGACCAATGGAGATTTACTTGAGCGATAGGTTCCAATGTGGATTATACTCAACAGTCTATAAATGCATACAAATTTATAAATACATTGTACCGGTAACGATAAGACGAACCAGATGAACATAAGGCGATCTACATCGATTCGCGCTTGAACTGAAAGCCATCCGAGTGGTTTTATCGCCATCGGGTCAGGGGTATTTACCGGGAAGCTTTGTATTCTCTTGCCAATGGATCTATGTGCATCCTCCATAGACTCAATTTCGGTTATTGAATATTGCGTTACAGAGCTGCCATACGTCATTGTTGGGAAGCAAAAACTCCAGTATAACTTGGAAGCTATCAGAGGATTTAAGCCTCCTACATTTGCTCCTAAACCAAGCAGAGAAAAGAATTTTCTTTTACTGCGTGAAATCAAATTTGATACATGCTCTGAGCTTTTGCCTAAAGGTATGCCAACATGTGTAGCAGCTTTTTCTACTTTTAGAATATTCTCTCCTAATTTGCATTCACAAAAAGCATTTTTGTTTAGACCAAATCTAAGCACTACACATTTTCCTGGATGGAATTCAAACCTCCACCTTTTACTATACATGTCAGCAATGCTCAACAGAGCATTTAGATTTTCTGGAGTGTTTGCAATTAAGGCAATATCATCAGCGTATGCTGGACATGCTACAGACGTTTCACCAATTCTTACTCCTTTTGCCGAATCTACCAGTTGTTGCAAAAGGTCTGCTATAAAGAACTGGTAGAGAAACATGGAACATATCCCGCCCTGGTGAACACCTCTATTAACAGGAAAAGTATCCGATAAAATACCATCTACAAAAACCTTACATTTATACTTGTTATATGATTGATACAAGAGCCTCCAACATAAACCATTTATACCACAATTATATAACTTATGGAACAGGCCTCGTATCCATGTACTGTCAAAGGCCTTTTTAATGTCCATTAACGCCATAATTGTGCCATTTTCTTGATGAGATATGGCTTCTTGCACTATTAGAGATGTTTGCAAGGATGAGCAACCTTTAATAGACGCACCTTGTAATTGCGGTATGCGACCTTGCAGTACACCAGTAATTTTCCAAAGAACAATATTATCAAAAATCTTACGAAAAATTGTCATGAGAGTTATCCCAAGATGGTGATCCTTATTAAGAGAATCTTTGTTACCAGATTTGAGCAATGGCAGTAAGATCCCTAAGCAGAAGTTCTCAGGTATATATACATTTGTGATCATTGCATTAAATAAAATGGTGAGCAAAGACACAATATTTTCACCAGCGTATTTTACATGTTCAGAATTGATACTGTCGTGGCCAGCTGCTTTTTTCATATTTAGTTTCCCTATTGACTTCTTAACATCACATTCGGATATACCATTGTCAAAAATGCCATCAAAATTATTCATACAATTCAATTCCATCCTTGAAATATCATCATTTACATATTGTTCAAAGTCTGAATTAAAGATGTCTCTTTTGTCGTAAGAAGCTAATCGACTAAAATACAGTTTCCATTCTTGACATACTTCCACTGGATCCGTAATTACTTGACCATTATCATTTCTGATTGATTTACCCGATTTTTTAACATATAATCTACTTTTGTTTACAAGGTGCCAGAACATATTCTGATCTAAGTCATCAGCATAGTACAAGTTGTCGAGCTGTGCCAGTTCATACATTAGATTGTACAATTTTGAAAATGCACGTTTCGCATTTTTAAAAGCACGTCTAAAAACATTTGAGCAATCTCTGGGCCTACCAGCCCGAACCCATTCGCGCCAAGCAAGCTTCCTTTTACGCACAAGTTCAGTAAGCTCCACATTCCAGAAGGGTTTCTGGTGCTTGCAAAATTGCTTAATTGGCACGTATAAGTTTGACTTCTCTAATAAGAGATTTTCTAACCTGGAAAAGTAGGCATCAATTACTGCCTTATCGATAACATTAAGCTTGGAAATATCGCTAATTAATCTCTTTACCTGAGTATCGACATCATTTGTGTAATCACCCTTTAATTGATCTGTTAATTTATGCCATGCAAAACTTGGCTTGATTGACGCACAAGAACTTTTTTGCATTAAAATAGATGGCAGATCAATTTCAGATTCTATAGCAAGATGACCACCTCCAATTGTAAAACTATCTGCCAGTACTTTACAGCTTAAACATGCAGGTAGTAGTTCTTCGGACACCAGTATATGATTTGTACCCAGTACCTGATTCATATGTATAGCAAGGGCCGCTTGTTCGACTTTGCAAATCAAGAGATGTTAACCCACTACGCAACATACAATTATACATCATTTTACCATTTACAGTGCATGTACCGTGCGCTCTTTTGGTTTGAAATAAGTTTCCAAAGTTTGCATTTATATCACCAAGTAAAATTACATAACCCGTAGCTACACATTTATATATACAGTTTTCTAAATAAATAACAACATCCTCAAAGCTCTCATTTTTACACGATGCCTGAGGCAGATATACCGAAAAGACATACAGAGGCGTATCACCTTCAATTTTTATGCATGCAATTCTATCCGTGCAGAATTCTCGCACTGGCGATATGGCATTTTTAAACGTTTTACGCCAAAAAAGCGCTATTCCGCCATGTCCCCAGCTAATTCCACAATTCATAGGGTTAAGTAATGAGCTACTATATGCTAAGCACTCAAAATCACGATCAATATCATTAAGCTTGTTTAGATTACATTCATATAAACGATGTTCTGACACTGCGACAATATCACTTCTTTTTAGCAATTCACGCAAATAAATCTCTGATGAGTGTATACCATTTGCATTCCATTGGGTAAAAATTACCATTATTAATATACAGTATAGAATGATCAGGTGTTTCATTGTGATTTTTTGATATTTAGCGTTTATTGACTTATTGATCATAGGCATTAAAAGTTCCACCTCTAATCCTTCGATATTCATTCCAGTTTTGCCATTCCCTACAAACAATAGGATCTGGCCAATTAATAATCATAGTCTGTTGAAAGTTGGACTCCACTACAGCAATTTTACATCCCACATGGGTATAAGACATTCTATTGTGGACCACATGACAGTACATTATCTTAACACCGTGTTCATAGCCAAATTTTATGACATCATCACAGATGTCATCATCAGTGTCGTGTTCATCTTGAAAAACATTTTCCAAATAGAGATATTTATAGCGTTCAAACTGTTTTCCTTTTATAGTTCTCTTGGAGTAGACATTGTTGTCTACAGGTGCACCTCGTAGAGCTCTTGCGTTTTGTGATTGTGGGGCTGGTTGAGTAGGTGGTGAGACGTGAGCAGATTTTGCGGCAATTTTCTGTTTTTTATACGTTTGATTGCTTGCCCATACCATCCATTCTTTCCCTGGTAATTGACTGGCATTGTCCGATACATTAGATGGCGAAGTTAACACTTCACTGAACGTTGAAGGGGTTTCTTTGATTGTCTTGGACTAAGAAGAGATCTTGTTGGTTCCTGGGACTTCGATGGGCGTTGAATCGGTAATAATATATGTATTATGTGGATCGGGCGCTATTGCTGGGGTCGGATGATCAATCTTAGAATAACCATGGTCTTTTGCTTTAACAGATGATGCGGGTTTATTAGGCGTGCTGGCACCCGTTACACATGTATTGATAACAGTTTCATTAAGCGACAAAAACGAGTCGCTTGTTTCGGGATTAACAGTCCTGGACTTTGGCATTATTGACTTCATTAACGCGTTGTTTGGCAAAAGCGAGCATTTGTTGTTGTTCACTCACTATTTCCTCAAGAGTAGTCGCCTTACTAATTGGGATTGTTTGTGGCTTGGAATTGGCTTGGATCAGGGGTTTTGGCAGAGTACCAGTTACTGGCACCTCGGATTGTTTACATGTACAAGTACATGTTTTGACGAAATTGGTCACATCGACCTGAAGTTTAGAAAGTTTCGAAAATAGCGTTCCTACCTCATCTTTCAAGTCCTTTATCTCCTTTTTATGGCTATCTCTATCTGCTTCAAGTTCCACAACTCGCTGGGTTAGCATTGTTATGTTTATATCCACTGTTGCATTACGCTCGTTGCGATACGCATTTTGACGCAATTCCTTATTGCCGATGACATCGGGTAGGAAACTGTTTGTACTGAGTATAGATCTGGGGAAGCTTTTGTTATCCGTTATGAACAGATATAGATCCGAAATATCATTCAAAAGCGTGACCTTTCTATTTTTTCCTTTTCGCAGCTTTGGTTGTAAGTTTATAGGAACCTGATCTTCCTCTCGATCAGCAAGTACACCATAGAGATTATCACATAACTCAGATACTTTTACCTTCCCCTTTTGGAACAGATAATCCCTGAGAACATCGCACTCATCTTCCTCAAGCTCTCGATCTAACTCTTCTATCACGTCCCCTCTCGGGCCTTCAGTCAGCAGCTGAAGCGTTTGCTCAATATTGGCTAAATCCTCCCCGCTAAGCGGAGCTGTTGATTTCACGTCCGACGCCATTGAAACCGGAAGCCTAAATTAACTGATTAATACAATTTTACACCCATTGGAAAGACTGTGACTAGTTGTACAGAGTTGTATCAATCATACATGTAACTCCATGTCCAGTGAGTTCATCCAAGATTGATCATTTGCATTTGTAATTGTTGTTTTTTGAGGAATACGAGGGGTGATTCAAAAGTAATGGACAAAATTTTATAGGCACGCTTACCTTTACCAGATTTGAATGAAACTTTGTACAAATAAAGATTAATCAATTATCTATTAGATGTTAAAATTTTATTAACTAAATGCAAATACATTTTGAGATAGAGCACTTCTCTTGGATCATGGTGCATACACCCGGAATCCATTTTTAAGGCTATTTTCATCATAATAACAAATGGATTTTCAATGAAAAGTTTGCTGGTGCAATATATTTTGCAATGCAAGATGTATATGAAAAGCATATCGCAGTAAGTTCAATAATAATCCATATCATTCCTTATTATTCCTGATGATCATCCATTTGAATTATATTCAATCCTCAATGTATTCTCCTCCAAGTTCAATTACTTTCTTCTGTCGGCGCACCCATGCAGAGAACACATGCCCAAATCCATCAGCTGTTTTTGTACAGCCATTTGCAGCTCAGCTAATGTCTGAAAGGATTGTCCCTTTAATGCCATCTTAAGGGTGGGAAAAAGATACAAATCACAAGGAGCAGTATCAGGGCTATATGGAGCATGTGGAAGTTGAGGCATGTCCATGAATGCTGCAAGAGTATCCTGAACTAGCTTGGACCTGTGTGCTGGGGCATTGTCCATGTGTAACAAACGATTGTCTCTTGTGTCTTTCCTTTTCTTTTGAAGTGCCTGTCCAAGATTGCATTTTAGAACCTGAAAGTGAAATATCATTATTTATTTATTCATTCATTTATTTATTTATCTATTTTCAAATTATTAATCTTGCTTAAAGCTATTATGACTTCATTCTCTCCTTTTAAATTGACAATGATTAAAACGGATGAAAATATCATGTTTACCTTGGTGAAGTATTTCCCCGTGATAGTCTGATGAGGAGGAACATAGTGGGTCAGGATCACGCCATCATAATCGAAGAAGGGAACAATCATCACTTTGTCAGAGGATCTGCTTTGCCTAGCCTTTGTTGGGCGCCGCTCACCCTTTTTGATATACTGTGTAGATTGTAGTTTAGTTTCTGGATCTCTAAAGTATAGTCATGATTCGTCAGTAGTGATTATACGTTTTAGGAATCCTTCTCCTTCAATGTTGTATTGCTTCAGAAAACCCTGCGCAACTTCGACACGTTGTTGCTTTTGTTCTTCGGTAAGAAGCTTAGGAATCCACTTGGCACACACACTTTTCATATTTAGGTCGCATTTTACAATCCTTTGTACTGTAGAGTAGGACACATCTGTAATGGAACTTATTTCTCTCAGTGTCAATCTCCTGTCTGCATTTAGGATGGACTCTACATGGTGAATAGTGTTATCAGTGCGGCCAGTCTTGAGCCTTCCAGATCGCTTTAGATCTAAGACTCTCGTATCCCCTTCACTAAAGTGTTTGTACCATCGCTCAATGGCTTGCCTTGACAAGGCCTTGTCTCCATGTGTCTCTTTTATTTTCTTGACAACTGCCTGCCTTGTCTCTCCAGTAGCTACCGAATATTCAATAACAATCCTTTGCTTAACTTTGATTTGTAAAGTAGACATTTCTTGGATGTGTGTGAGTCTAAGAGTCTGATCTACTTTCTGACTCACTGTGACTCATCATTCTTAGAAATATCATTGTGATGTCATAGCACAATTGGTTGCTGAATTTAGAACTCAACAGCAAACACATGGGCATGTGAGTCTTGCTTGACAATTGCATTACCATGCTTGTTAGACATATCATGTGTGGTAATTGAGTCATTAAAACGAAATCAAGCAAAAATGACAAAAACATTCAATTATCATTAAAAAACCAATTCCACCCATGCTTACCCTTGTTACCATGGTTACGCATGCTGAAACAATTTCAAATGCATTTAAATGAGAATTCGACACAAAGTAGAGAATTGATTGATCTATTCACTGTGAAAAAATTAGACTGATTGGGTGAAATTTAGTATGCCTATAAAATTTTGTCCATTACTTTTGAATCACCCCTCGTATATTTTGAAAATATGTCAAAAATATGAAAAGCATGAAAAACTCTACAGATTGAAATTGATACTTTGCCAACTTGACTCTCACAAAAGGTTTCATTGAAAGTATGTTCTTTTAGTGTGCTTAAATTCTTAATGAAATGTTTATATTTGCTCACATTTTCATACTATTCCCCATGTTTTCCTGGAGGAAATTTACATGTTTTTTGAGCCTTTTCAATATCATAGATTCCTTTCTTCGTCATCTTATTCCTGAAATATCTATCAGCACCTACATGATTTAGGTTTGGGATCATACAGTCATGTTTTATTTTTAAATCATCTGTTCTTTTCAAATTAGTTTTCCTCTGAACAGTGTCACATTCTTTCTGCTTTTTTGATTTAGCGATTTTGAGTTCTTCGATTTTTATAGCCATTTTGTCACGGCCAAAATTGTCAATCTTTTCCCATAGAGTTTTATTGAAATGATTGTATATCATTGAGTCAGCTAAGTTCCATTGGATGAGGTTCTCATACTCATTAGGAGTTAAAATTTGTTTTGATTTTTTAAAGTTCCTGACATTTGCATTTTTCAAAATTACTACATCTTCAGTTGTTAAATCCGAGCATTCTGTCAACAAAATCAGGCTCTCCTCTATGTGCTCAACTACTATAACTAAGTCAAACTCCTTTTCGATCTCTTCGATTTTTTCTTGTATTGCTATGGTGCTATATTGTTCCTCCTGTTTGATTCCAAAACATTGTGCAATTGGATTACTAGGAGGCATGTGATGTATAAGTTCAAGGTGCGGCATGGTTTTAACATTATCTACAAAATATTTGAATTTATTAGGCTCTTTGAGATATCCTTCATAAGTGTTCTCCATTTTGTAAAAGTTATAATATGAATAGAAATGTGAAAATGGTTCACGGATGGAAGCTATGAATACACTCCCTGGGGCCATAACTTGTTTGATTTTTGAACTGTATTTTATATGCTCATTTAAGTGTTCCCAATGTGTGTAGTTCTTGCTCAGAGGGATTAAATGTTCTGGTTTAAATGGTTCAGGCCATCCCACCAAGTGTCTCTCAACACCAGAATTACTGCATGGCATTCCAACTATTTGGTCGTGTTTATCAGCATATCTATTAAACATTGCTTGGAGTGTGGAGCTCCCCGCTTTGTTAACTTTCAGATAGAAAACACCTCTGCTTGTCTGATGTGCTGTATTAACCTTCCGCCTTTGTTGTGGAACACCCTCTTGTTGTTTATTATCCAATGTGTTGTTATACTGTTTTTCAGGATTCATTTGCCTATCATTAATCCACGTGTTTGCAACTGGCTTTTTAAAAGCTGGGATGTCTATATTCCCCATGGATTTGTCTAAATTGACAAGGTATACATATACAAGTAAGATTCCAAAAGCAACACTGGTGATCACTGCCTTAACTTTCATTCTTACTTTTGCTATTGGCCCATGGGCTTTAACAGTAGTAGCTGAAATGTCTTAATTCCTTTTGGATCTGTCTCTGTTAGTAAGGTAAACATGTATGTCTGTACACGAAAGCAAGATTCCGTATCAACACTGCCTAAATTCCCATTCTTTCTACAGATAAAACAATACATAAATCAATAATAGTGTTTTTATTAATAATATTGATATAGGGGTCTATGTATTTTCACTAGCTTCATTATTGTTCTAGATAAAGAACGAAACATTATTGATTTGGATATTTTTGTCAATAATTTTTGTGTAGAGAAACCATAATAAAGCATTTATTTTTTAGAAAAAGATTACACATCTACACTGTTCCATTACTATTAGGGTTGGTGTCGAATTATCGAGTCATTGAAAATGACTTTCATTATGGTTTGAACCTCCTCCCCTAGCTAACATTTGAATATTAAAAAATCAACACTATTTCGCTAACAAAACCATCATTCACTCCCACCTCACAAACAAAACTAACTCTGTCATTCAACAACTATTTTCTTCCCACAACAATTGATATTTGGGCACCATCCTTAAATAGACTGATTCGACCTACTTTTTTACTTACATTATTTTGTGAGAAATTCTGCCTAATGTCCACAATAACGACTGCAATGGATTGACCAGATTTTCAAAAGCAGAATATGAACTTCTATAAAGCACTAGAAGAGATTAAGTAGACTTAAGCCAAGAAATAGCCATTTGTTTCTGTGAACAATATGTGATCCGTTATACATACATTGTACCTGTACATAAGAAATTTTGATAGGCTTATACATGTATTCATAAAACCGTTACCAGGTTTGAATTTGTTACATATACATTGAAATGGGTGGCAATCAGATATAACACCCTGCTGCAAACTTTAGAACACAAACTTTATAGATTGTAATCTTATTGAAGATATTTGGAAAAATGTTGGGTTAAATAGGGAAGCACAATTGGTTTGTTAAAGAGGCTCTCTGCCATAGGATAGCACAATCAAGACCCCTCTGGACTTTTTTGCATATTGAGTTTCACCACATACACGCGGTAGTATCTCTTCGGGACGTATCGAAACCACTCCGTCCCGAAAAAACCGTTAATTTGAATTTAAAACCTACCCCAGTGTTTGAAAATCAAGGATTGTGAGTCTCACACTTCACCGTTTTTCTTCAAACTTGTTCCGTACAAAGCTTCACAGAAATACATTTCAGTCGATACATTGTTTTCGTGTACAAAGTACCTCGTTTTAGCGGCGTTTTGGTCCCCAGCTGCGAGATAAAGCAAATTTTCATAACTTTCCACTGTAAGTCAAGTTATCTCGCCAGTCTTTTACCCATTCTCGCTCATAATTTCAGAATGGACTCCCATTAAAACCTTCCATCGCTACGTTTTGATTTTTGGGCATCAAACGCAGCAGTTTCTAAATCATCCACACATCTCTTAAAATTTGACTAATACGTCCCGTCACCTTCCACTACGCCCCGCCGAGTCTATGACTACAAACGTGGAGTTGTATTCTAAAACATTTTGTTCATCGTTGTGTAATTTTACATAGGTTTGCCTTGGTCGATTCTTAACACCAGTCTTAAGTTTAGCATACATACGGAGTATAACTATATAACTGATTGCATGAAATTGATAATTTAAATGTTTGTGAAGATGTTGCTTTTTAACTTTAATTATATGTAATTGTCCTGTATTTGATTTTGTGAGGAAACCAAGAATGCATCATCATACAACACTAATTGGTATATAAACAACATCTACTGACTTGGTCTGATAATGTAATATAAAGATTTTAACTGTTGTGTGTCAACCTTTCTTCTGTATGATTCCATTGGATTACATTATGAAACGTGTACCATATAAAATGATACATGTTTCTAACGTTATGCTGAAAATAATATAATTGTGTGAGTGAAAATGCTTAAAGACAATTTAACCTCCAGAAAGACATTTGTTATTCAATCAACTAAAGTTTGAAGATTAACTTGCCCTAAAGTTGTTTGTATGTTCATAGTATTTTCTGAAGCGAGATGGTTTTGGCGTTTTTGCCTCTGTAATGTAAACATCAATATCATGAAGTGTCTTTCTGGAAAGTTATGATAGTCTGACGGCTTCAACAGCTCAGCCAGCCGAAGGAGGTGTTCCAATGCACAATTTGTAAACAATTTAACACAGAGTAGTATGGCATTGGGACATCTCCATGACTGGGGACAGACCTCCTGTGGTGTTTGTTTATGGAAGAAAAGTTAGAATCTTCCATCTCAGAAGAAAGTAGAATTTCTGACAGAATTTGCCTCACCAAAAAGAATAATCCGAGGAGGATATTGTTCAATTCAATTATAGAAAATTGAAAATAAGAATTTTAGACTGAAATAATAAAGAAGGAAAGACAATAAAATAATTTAGGCTTATGTTGAGGAAGTTTCGTAATATAATAGAGAAGGGTCAAGACGGACAATTGACATCACCCATCCTTTCGCATTTTAACATTTTTTCAAGGATAGGGCACTTTAAACGTTTCTTAAAAATATTTTCAATTGTTCAGTAATTAAAATCTTTATATTGCAATATCGGGAAGTCTAAATTTTAGGGAGATTTTGGACCACCCTATTATAGGTATATTGAAAATGGACAAGAATGGGTAAATCTTAAAACACAATCCGATTGGTATTTAGAATCGACAATGGCAACCTACAAACGGACACATCGATGGACAAATTGTTTTAGAATGCAACTCTACGTGTATAGTGATAGACTCGGCGGGGCGTAGTGGAAGATGACGGGACGTATTGGTCAAATTTGAAGAGATGTGTGGATGATTTAGAAACTGCTGCGTTTGATGCCCAAAAATCAAGACGTAGCGATGGAAGGTTGTAATGGGAGTCCATTCTGAAATTATGGGCGAGAATGGGTAGAAGACTGGCGAGATAACCTTTCTTACAGTTGAAAGTTATGAAAATTTGCTTTATCTCACAGCTGGGGACCAAAACGCCGCTAAAACGAGGTACTTTGTACACAAAAACAATGTATCGACTGAAAGGTATTTCTGTGAAGCTTTGTACGGAACAAGTTTGAAGAAAAACGGTGAAGTGTGAGACTCACAATCCTTGATTTTCAAACACTGGGGTAGGTTTTAAATTCAAATTAACGGTTTTTCGGGACGGAGTGGTTTCGATACGTCCCGAAGAGATACTACCGCGTGACATATATACCCATCTACTTACCAAGGAAGAAGTCCCAAATCCCCCTCTTTCAGTGTTAATTCTGCGATTGTGCTGGCCAATCTAATTATTTTTGAAGAAATTAATTCAATCTGAAGTTTGAACATACCGGGAAAGTCCTCCTGTTATATGATTGGTCGTTGAATTTGTTTATCATATACCTGATTTGCTGCCTGGTTCAAGGCGCTTGTATGACTCAATGGGGATTCCCCTCGCTAGCCGAGGAATCGATTGTGTTTAATTCTGGAGTTTGGTTGTTCTGTTGATTATTTCCGATATTTTGGCAATAATATACCCAAAAGTTATTCTCAAGATATATCCATGGTATGTGAGACATTATATGAGCAATAACAATAGGACATCATTGATTGTCTGGGGGAGAAACCTATGGCATAATGCATCTTTAATATCTAAGAAATGTGATACGCCTATGAATGAAGTCATGTAGACTGCTGCTTTGGTATAACAGACTTGCCAACATAAAATGAAAAATTTTCGGGAGATTTAAAAAAAATTGCGGTACTTTTACGGGAGTTTTTTTCAAAATCCGGTATTTTTGCGGGAGTTTTTTGAAAAAAGCGGGAGTTTTTACGGGAGATTTTTGAAAAAATGGTAGTTTTTGCGGGGAGATTTTTTAAAAAAGGTATTTTTCGCGGTAAATGTTAAAAAACGTGACTTTTTTACGGAAATTTTCAGAAAAAACTGGAGTTTTTGCGGTAGGTTCTGAAAAAACGGGAGTTTTTACGGTAGGTTTTTGTGGTAGATTTTTTAAAAAAACTGGAGTTTTTACGGTAGATTTCTGAAAAAACAGGAGTTTTTACGGTAGATTTCGGAAAAAACAGGAGTTTTTACGGTAGATTTCGGAAAAAACAGGAGTTTTTACGGTAGATTTCGGAAAAAACAGGAGTTTTTACGGTAAATATCTGAAAAAACAGGAGTTTTTACGGTAGATTTGAAAAAAACGGAAGTTTTTACGGTAGATTTCTGAAAAAACAGGAGTTTTTACTTTAGATTTTGAAAAATCTGGAATTTTTACGGTAGATTTCTGAAAAAACAGGAGTTCTTACGGTAGGTTTCTGAAAAACTGGTGTTTTTACGGTAGATTTTGAAAAAACGTGAGTTTTTACGGTAGATTTTTGAAAAAACTGGAGTTTTTACGGTAGATTTTGAAAACGAATTGATCAAAGCTAAGTAAAATGTATATGTGGCTGAGGTTTCATTAACGGCGTCCTCCAATTGAGAGGACGTAAATCAAGATTGGGTGGACGTAAATTAAAAAAATAATTATGTTTTTGGGACGCAATTTGAATTTCGTAAATCACTTCGTGAATCCACTTACCTTCGGTCTCTTTATTTCGTCAGAATCCACTAAATAATTGAAGGAAATTCTACAAAGAAATAAAATTTTCTTTCGAAGTTTCCTTCCCGGAAGGTGATTCATGATCGAAATAGTACGAGGCATGTGATAGGTCAAATAGTTATCCAATACTCGATATCCGAGCAGTAATCAGTACGAGTCTTACGATTGGCCGCTAGCTGAGGACCAGATTTAAACCATTTTCTATTGGTCAAGTGCGATCACAAGATCATTATTTAAGAATGTGCATGCGCATGCGCAAGAAACTGAACCAAAGAATTGAACCTCGCGCAGATTGCCCCTAAACTAAAGCAAAATCAGTCGCTAATTGCTTCGAAATACGCAAAGAAAATGTGTTTCTAATGGTTGAACATAGGTCATACCTCACAAGTGATGGTATCTGTATCATTCAATGACATACTAGACCCGCCAGAACACTGATTTAGACAGATAAATAGCAAAAGCGATACAAAATTTCATCAACTTTATTTCGGTTAGTGTAAAAGCGTGACTTTGAATTCCCGGGAACATTTTTTCAAGGGAAGCAGTTTTTTGAGGGGAGACGCATTTTTTGAAAATCGTTACGTCCCAGGGACGCAATCTTGGACAAACCTACTGAAAACACTGTGTGGCATTCACTATATGCTAAGGGCAATCTGCGTGAGGTTCCATTTTTAGGTTCGGTTTTTCGCGCATGAGCATTAAATCCAGCGATTTAATTGGTTGAAATTATTATGACGCATGCGCAGTTAATAAATTAATTAGAACTTATAATCTAAGATAGATGTCACTTACGTTCATTATTTCACACCAGTCCCTACCCATAATGCGCCTTATATTGCGGAAATATTTTGTTTAGCGCCATATAAAAACAAAATGTATTCTCCCGACAGAAGTATGACAGAATATGAACTGGCCCCCATTTGTGGACATTTGGTGTGCAAACTTACACCAAACTGTTCGCAGAAAAGCAATTTGAATCATGGGAATGAAGTACTTTTAAGTTATTTATGAAAGTGAACCATGGGAGCCAATGCTTCTTGGAGTAAAAGAAAGAAGCATGCCTGTAATAATCAAGGTCACAAATTTGTCAGATTCCTTTTAAATACGGTAGATTTCGACAGCAAAAAACGGAGATTTTATGGGAGTTATACCAAGAATACGGGAGATTTTACTGGAGTTATACCAGAAAACGGGAGATTTTACGGGAGTTATACCAAGAATACGGGAGATTTTACGGGAGTAATACCTGAATACGGGAGATTTTACGGGAGATTTCAGCAAAAATACAGGAGATTTTACAGCCATATTTTTTTTTTAAATTACGGGAGATTTTAGTAGAAATATGCTGCGGGAGTTTACGGGAGTTTTTACGGGAGAAAACGGTACGGGAGTTTGGTATTTTTTACTGAAAAACAAAATATTTACGGGAGATTCCCATAGAAAAACGGGAGGTTGGCAAGTCTGTATAAGCTAATGAATGCATTTAAAACATTTTCTTTTAAATTGACTTGTTAATTGTATACTGGTTCTTAAAAAGTTCATATATTGTATGCGCAGTATATTGGTAAGGTCGCAGGATTTAAAGAGAGAATCAGATATTATATGCGAGCAGGTTAAACAAAAAATTGTTTCAATTTTAGAATATTTTTGGCTCATGTCATTCTTTGTCATGTCTATTTTCTAAAAATCACAAAAGTGCATACTTCATTCCAGAAAAACTAAAGAGTTTTACAATTATGTATTATTTTTCCATAAGAATGGTTACCATTCTTATTATTTGGGAGAATTTAAACATTGTTCACCCATTTTTGCACTTTGAATCATTAAATAACTTCACAAATTTATAACATATTGTGAATCTTTTGGGAGATATTGTATTTGATATTGTAAGAAATAGATCGATAGGTCAATTATACATGTTGCTTGTAATTTTGTCACCCCCTATAGATCAGATTCTGCCTTTAAGGTTTTTTGGCCATTCTATTGTTACACTGAGTGGATTAGCATCTTTAGTTCGTTTAACCCGTGCAACTATAGGGTAATACTGCCACAGTTTTTAATGCCTTTCCCAGTCACTCGCCTCTTGGCTGTTTGGACCTCTTGAAAATATTGAGGACCTAGTCTCATCACAACCTTGGGGCGCCACCCTTTTTACATCATTTTGGACATAACCCCGAACATTTGAGTTCAAAACCCTTGAAGGGAGTTTGACTTCTTGTATTTGAGGATTGGTCAGTTCTTGTACTACATCAGAATTGTAACAGTGGCAGCATGACCCCATCTATAGGCCTATGACAATCTTTAAATATTAACTTTCATCTCTTACCATGAACGACGATAATATCAATAAAGTAAGAGATGTTCCTTAAATCATTTTTTTGTAAGTCAGACTTTTAGAAAATTAAAAAAGTTGTTAAAGAAAAAGTGACCCTTGAACAATTCTGTCCGGGCTACTATATATTGACTCAGATCTGACAAGCACCTCATATCAGTGCTACAAGTTCCTGTGGGAAGTTCTCCATTATATGTAATACAGGCCTAAAGTCAGGATTTGCCAAGGGGGCCTGGGGGTCCACTCCGTTTAATTTGGGTAGGTGTGTGCATGCAGCATGGCCAATTTTGGCTTTGTGCGTAAACCATTGAAACTGGCCAATTTGAGACGAAAAAAAGACATGGAAAATTTGTTGAAGTACCTAAAAGTAACTGGGTCAAAAATCAGTATTTCAACAAAAAATGTTATTAAATCAGTTGCCGAGGTGACAAATCACTGAAATGGTGATTTTTTTAGAATTTTTATGAAGTTAGATGAATAAAATTGACTTTTATAAGTATAAGGGGAATTAACCATGGAAACTTTCAATCTTGAGAGGAAATTGACATGGAAAAACATGCTCAAAAAGGGAGTCTTTGGCGCGGCACATAGGTATCAAGAGGTATATTGAAGTGAAACCCCCCAGGCAAGGGGGTTCGCTTTTTGAAAATTTCCAGGGGGGTCACTTTTGGCAAGTTTGGTCCAAAAATGGCCAAAATCACTTAAAAGTGCTCAGAATGGTGAAAACTGCATGATTTTTAAAGAATTTTTGGCCAAGAGGGTTTACCTGAACCCATTGAACCCCCCCCCCCCCTGGCTATGGGCCTGCATAACCTACATATAACATAAGGGGGGGGCTTCTGTTCACTATGGCCACGCCGCATAAACATATATGCTAATAGAAAATTATCCTTCCTCCATGAAGTATGCACATTTTTATGATTAAGGTTCCATATCATAGGCCCAGGGACATATTAGGACTCACTGCGCCCCTGGGAACATAACATTGACATAACATTGACACTCCAAGGGTTGTATAAATTACCGCTAACCCGTCAATCAAACTTAGATATGAATGTAAGAAATATACAAAGCTCTCAAAAATTACAGTTTTCAAGTAACGATTTTTCATTTTCAAGTAACGATTTTTCTAAAAATATATAAAATCCAATTTTAATGTTCCAAACACATTTAAAAAACTTAATTCAACTTTGATTTAAGAAATAATTCCAAAACTTATGCCTGGCTTTAACACTGCTTGTGCTGAGCTATATGGCTCAGTGCTTGCTCTGAAATTAATCAGCTCAATTTATTTTCAGGATCTATAAAGTAAACATGCCTAGATGTTAAAGATTGATGATGGTCCGTAAAAGTGAGCGTACCCCTCAGGCAAAAACGCGTAGCTATTCTCCAACGTTTCAGCCCACTTTTAAACGCAAGAAAAATAAGACGGCCAAAAGCAGGTCTAGCCAAACGAAGAATGCAGTTGTTCGTCCATATGATAAACTAGCTAATGGTAAGCTTATTGATCAACGTTTATTCTTCTGAAACATCATTGCCAATTGGGGATTTTCACTTTTCTCATTCAATGACACTTGAGAAAAACTATCATTCATTGGAGAAATATCACTTGATATTATCACATGATCTTAATGATGAAGATTGCATTGCATTGGATCTGTTTACATCTGTAAAGAAGGAGACAACGAATGAAGACACTGATGCAGCACCAACAAATGATGTCTGTCCATCCATCCATCCTTTTGACTGTTTACAATTTTAATACGTATAAAAACTGCTTTTCTGTCTGAACAGATTTTCATATTCATTCTATGGGGTCCATGCTTATACTTTACACCATTGGTTGCGGCTTCTACTTTTACCTCATTTTGTCATCAAAATATCACATATTTACGATATCATGAATTTTCATTTTGCAAGCCCCGAACCTCCATGTTTGAATATCCTAAATTATCCAGAGATTTCCATAAATCTCCAAAATACTTGAAATAAAGGTTTGAGAAATTTAAAAAGCCTGTCTATTTTCATACATTTCTGTAAAGTTTTGCAAAGGCCTCATAAACTACAGTGAAACCTGTAAAGTGGAAGAACTCTAGAAATGGAACACCTCTCTTAACCCTTTCATGACGATAGGCTCCATATGGAACCCTATATAGGCTCCTTTTGGCACCATTATTTTTATTTATATACATCAATGAAATGGCAATATCTCCAGTTCTATTCAGTATTTTTACACCAAATTTTAACAAGTTTAACAACTCTTAGTTATCCGTCACCAGGGCCAACATTTTCCTCTTATATTCATGTCGGGAAAGGGTTAATGGAACACTTTTCAGAGTCCCAAGGCCAACTGATTTAATGTTAAATAAAGCTCTATAAGTGGAACACCTAAGTGGAACACTTTTTAGAGGTACAAAAGGTGTTCCACTTATACAGGTTTTACTGTAACATGCCCGACTCTACTCCTGCTTTGCTTTTGCTTGGCTATAGTACAGACTTGATGTTCTTCAAGTGTGTGGCTATAGACTCGTCTAATAAATATTTCTTTCTGATTAATATAGGTGAGCCGTTTAGTTGCAGTCTGTGCAAATCTAGGTATGTGTGTAACCCAAGGAAGCGGAAGAATCCAGGCAAGCAATCGAACCATCAACCTACCCCTGTGGAGAGGGTGGACAAAACAACAGGGGAACTGCTTCTTTTGTGCAATCGATGTGGTAAGGAAAACCCGTCTTAATGAACGCCTCTCTCTAGTGAACACATGTTTCTCTTAAACACCTTTGAAAATTTATTCAATTTTAGGTTATGTCCTTATGCATTTTAATTTAGGGAGTTGAGTCATGACAGGTAACTAGCAAGTCACATATTTGGAGCTCTGCATACTTTCACAAATATATGGAATACAGGGACTAGCAAAGCGATATGCTATGGATTAACCCATTTATGAATAGTTCAGGAATGGATATTTAACACTGCTTGAGGATTATTTTCTATATCTGGAACGTAGGAGTTGTTGGAAAATTCTGACACATACATACAGGTTAGAAATTTCAGTAGCCATCTTTTGTGATCGTCCTATTATTTGAACTTTTGCTAGTGTACAAAGCCAATACACAGCTAATAACATTTGTTTGTTGACGTTTTTGAAAAGCTAACTTTGGGATATACTTATAATCTTACTACCCAGTCAGCTGAGTGATCTGAGTTTATATTCATAATCTCATAATGGCAAGTCCAATGGACACACACCAACCTGCAAACAGCCTTGATCAATCAGCCAACCAATCATGGAGCAGCCAGTTTAGTGGCAATATTGATTATTCACCACAACAAATTCCACAGACAACGTCAACCACAACAACGTTTACAAACTCTAGGGTCTCAAATGTCAACATGAATAATAATACAATGTCAAGTAGCTCACCTTTACCGCAGAGACAACCTTTTGTTATAAGACCCCCTGCATTCATCCCCCCAGTACAAAATGAAGGTGGTATTATGGTCAGGGGGCCAAGAATGCCTAACAACAGTCCTATGAACATTCCCTCCCACACACCTCAAGTCCACCCTGTACATCAACTATCTCCTCAACAACAACCCTCACAAGAAGATCTTAATAGACCACCTACAATAAGAGACCTAATTAACCTCCAGCAACATTTTGATGGGATGTTCCAGTCTCATCATGCCAGTGTGGAGAAATATGTTAATGCAACTATTCAGCCTATTCAGAAAAAGGTTGTATCCTTAGAGACTCAAAACGAACTTCTTAAAGCTGATGTGGCATCCCTTCAAGTGGAAGTACAAGATCTCCGGTTTGCATGCAATCACAATGCACAGTACAGCAGACGCTCAACCATACGTATTCTGGGCATACCTGAGACTGATTCGGAAAACTGTGCAGAGAAGGTTGTTAAGGCACTTATTGACAATAATGTCCACCCAGGTATGAAAACTGATGATGTCGAGGTCGCTCACCGTGTAGGACGTGCTAACAGGCCGACAGCTGGTGCCAACCCTAAACCACGTCATATCATAGGAGGATGAAATTTCGTGGGACAAAGGACTTAATCATCAAGAACAAGAAGAACTTAAAGGGCTCTAATATTCTTGTGTTTGAGGATCTTAGCCCCTTAAATAGACAATTACTTGATTTTGTCAAAAAATCCTCTGAGATAGAGAATGCATGGAGTTCAAATGGGAAAATTGTCGGAAAGCTTAAGACTGGAACAATCCGACGTTTCGAACTCTCTGATATGGGGCTTTAAATGTCCCATATCATGATTTCCCAACATTTGACAGTAACTGAATCATCCCTATGGTAGATCCTTTAGGTAATTATGTGCCCTCTTAAACAAGCAAGTTACATATTTTGCAAGTTACCTGTAGTTCTCTCGGATTTTAGGGCGCCTGAAATCCTATGAGCATCAATATGAATTAAAATCATAATTTTAGACATCCACATTTAGAGAACATTTATATTCTAAATCATTTCAATACTAACATCTTAAAAGGACACATATTTATCACACCATAAATATTGGTACAAAGATGTATGCATATTTATTCATTTCTGCAATTTCTTATTAAGAGTTCTTAGTACTTGTACATAAATACATCTTACTCTCTAATACCAGATTTAAGACTGATATAATAGTGTGTGAAGTTTCAAGATTGTTTCAAATGTTTTGTTGTTGAAGTTCTTTTTTCCATGTTTGCAAACTCAATGAGGAAATTGGCAGGTTGCCATGTCAAACTAGTGTTTACTTATTGAGCTTGTTCAAAACATATAATAAGGATGGGATTTGCCCTTTGAAATCAAATTTCAATACGCTTCTTGTGTAGCTAGTAGAGCCACACTGTATATAATTGACTTTGCCATTACTCAACCTAAATGCCTGCCTAAACAGTTATTTATGTATATATCTTACATTGTTTTAATCTAGTTTTAGAATGTTGAGCTTTGCCAGAGACTGTGTATTACCAACACTGAATGGACCTTACAGTGTATTGATAAACTCAGCTACTTTTCTTTGCAATTGAACAGTTAGTTTGTTTTCTTGGTTTTAGATTGAGCAGCTTTGCTTGAGACTGTGGGCAATTATATGGAATGGTCCTAACTTTGTATATACAGACTTCAGATGAGGATAAACGTACTGCTTATTTCATTTTGCTAGTGATTTTTGTAAATCAAAGGCAATGCACTGAGCGTTTTTGATTTTGTAAATCTGTGTAACATTGTCTCAGACTGTTGCCAACATTATTAAATGTTTTCATTGTGGAGACACACAACCATTAGATCCTTCCGCCAAGTGGGAAGACGAATAGATGGCATTATAAAAACAAAAATATAGTCCAATTATTGTAATTACATTAGCATCACCAGTGGTTGGATTTTGGTAAGTACATGAATGAAAAAGTGTATGTGTGGACCAACTCTGAGACATGATTTGATGTGATTAAGGTGCATTTTCTTTAAAAAATTTGACCTTTTTGACCTGCCTCCATCTGTCAAAATCAGAATGACATTTTTTGACATTTTCTATAGATGGCGTCTTCAACAGGTGAGATCTTTTGATTTTCGTGGGGAGTTTTGATTCAAACTTTTTTGACTGACAGAGGACATACTGGGGTATGATGCAATGATAGTAAAACATGTCCACAAATCTTAGTTTTCTCTTGAAGACAGATCGTTTGTATGGGAATACGCATGTTATAACAATTAGTTGGGTTAACCCTGTGTAAAAGTCGATGTAGATAAACTCAGCTGCCATCTTTTGTTGTTGCAATAGAGCCTTTGATTCTAATCCAGAAATACTTGTTACATTTTATATAAGCTTATGGGGCTTTGTCCCATAAATGTTGGTCATCCATTGTTGACAGACATAGCCCTGCAAACTTCATTTTTGCTATTTACACTTTTCTTCACCAATATTGGAACTTCTGCATGCTTTTTGAAAATGTTGATGATTTAACACTTGAGTTAAACTGTGAAGTAATGTTCTAACTTTTCATTTTACTCGTGATAGAGTGGTCCATGGATACTATTTATGAAGTTCAGATATATCCATACCTTTATTTTCAATGATATCATTAAATAATCAACTGGAAGCTTTGTGCTGGTTCTTGCATTTTCCAAAGTTTGTTTCAACATTTTTGTACATGCAGAGTCCCAAACTTCTAGTACATCCATGTCTCTACTTTTTTTGCATTCAACAAGATGCAAGACAAATTATAATATTAAAGGGGATCTGCTTGTGTGTATAATGCTTCTGCTCTTGGATACTGGATGATTTAAATGTACATGTGTCATGCCCATGGACTGAATTTCCATTCTTTACAATCGTAGACAATAGTGATTTTATTGACTCAGTTCCAAATGGTGCCTCACTGATTAACTTTGATAACAAAATTTTTAATCCCCTTGATATAAAGGGTGACGATTGTGATATTTCAGGCTTTGATCAAACTACCAGTGACTTCATGGCAAAAAGCGAATATGTAACACTTTCTAATTTTAACGACAATCTCAATTCTAAGAACAATGTAGATGTGTCAATTATTCATTGCAACATACGCAGTTTGCCATCAAATCATTGGAAATTGACAAACCTTTTAGCATCAATTGACAAGAGAATTTATATTATTGCACTTTCAGAAACTTGGCTATATAAGGATCAAGAGGACTCATTTTCTAACTTCATGAATTATCAGGGTTTTTTCAAATCTCGTACTACCAGGGGAGGGGGGACCGCTCTTTTTATTGATGGTGCACTAAAAACTAAAGAGAGATCTGACCTTAGATTTAACAATAACAACTGTAATGTCATAACTGTAGAAATTATTGTAGAGGGTGGAAAGAATATTCTAATAACTAGTATCTACAAGCCTCCTAATGTCAACATTGAAGAATTCAACAATGACCTCGATATTTATTTGTCCCTCATTTCAAAAGAAAACAACAAAGTACATTATATTGCTGGAGATTTCAACATTGACCTTTTTAAATCTTTTGAACATGACCTTACAGAAAATTTCTATAATACAATGACTGCTTACAATCTCTTACCTGTCATTTATAAAGCTACCAGAGTAACATCCACATCTGCTACCTCAATAGATAATATTTTCACTAATGACCCTAAAATTGACTTGTGTGGAATAATTTATAATGATATTTCAGATCATTTCCCAATTTTTGCTACTTCTAATAAGCCTATCAACAAAACTAAATTTATAAAAAGATCAATAAGAAAATATACAGTGGAAAATATATCAAAGTTCAAAGAACTCCTCTCACATGACACTTGGGATGATATTACTAATGTTACTAATGCAAATGATTCTTATAATAAGTTTGAAGATAAGGTGTCAAATTTCTACAATGAATGTTTCCCTTTAAAACAAGTCACAATCAAATTATATAATAATAATACGAAGCCATGGTTAACATCAGCAATACTTAAATCAATTAGAAATAAAAGCAAACTTTACAAAAAATACCTTCGAAATCCCAACGATCAAAACAAAAAGCAATATAAATCCTTTGCAAATCAGCTAAAAACCACAATAAAATTTTCACAAAAGCAGTATTACAATAACAAATTCGAACATAATCAGGGAAATATAAAGGCAAACTGGCAAATAATTAATCAGATACTTCAGAGGAAAAATAAAAATAATAATATTTCAGATTCTTTTATCCATAATAATGTTGAATTAACTGATAAACAAGAAATAGCTAACCAATTTAATAATTTTTTCGTAAAAGTGGGTGAAAAATTAGCAAGTAAAATACCAAAATCAAATAGAAATTCTTTGGACTTTATGCAATCAATAGGAAGACAAGCTCAAACTCTTTTGTTAGATAACGTTGAACCAAATGAATTGAATAAAATAATTACCAACTTAAAACCCTCTGCAGCAGGACATGATGATTTTAAACCTTTTATCATTAAAGATTGTGGATTATTATTTCACCATCCTCTTTTACATATCTTTAATCTCTCTCTTAAAAGTGGAATTTTCCCGGATCGGCTTAAAATAGCAAAAGTTATTCCTATATACAAAAAAGATGATGCACATTTTTTCACTAATTATCGCCCAATCTCAGTTTTACCCGTGTTTTCCAAGATCCTGGAAAAAATAATGCATCATAGAATTTCTACATTCATAGACTCTATCGATATTTTGTACATAAACCAATTTGGATTTAGGGAAAAAAGATCAACTTCAATGGCTGTTCTAACTTTTATTGAAAAGATTAGAAAAGCGATTGATGATGGGGAATTTACCATTGGATTGTTTCTTGATTTTTCCAAGGCCTTCGATACAATTGATCACAACATCCTATTTAGTAAACTTGAATTTTATGGCATTCGTGGTGTTGCGCTCAATTGGATCAAAAGCTATTTTACACACAGAATTCAGAAAACATTTTACAACAATACCTTATCTGAGCCTGAATTTATCACGTGTGGAATCCCTCAAGGTTCAATTCTTGGACCACTTTTCTTTATTCTGTACATAAATGACATTTACCTTTCTTCTCCACGATTGTTTTTTGTTTTATTTGCGGATGATACCAATTTATTGATAAAAGGTAAAAATCTAACTGAACTTGCTGATATTCTCAATACTGAACTAAAACTAATAGAGGAGTGGCTTATCACTAATAAATTATCCCTTAATGCGGATAAAACAAAATATATTATTTTCACCTCAAGTCAAAAAAGATATAATGCAAATAACATAAACATCTATCTTAATAAAAATAAGCTTCAGCAGGTTGATAGCATTAATTTTCTTGGCATTACAATTGATCAAAACTTAAACTGGAAACGTCATATTATGTCCGTTAATGCTAAAATCTCCAGAACCATTGGTATTCTATATAGGGTCAAACAACTGTTAAATGATAAAGCATTCTTGAGCATCTATTATTCCCTTATTTACTCTTATTTGATATATGGCAATCTTATCTGGGGTGAAGCAGGTAGTGGTTTGTTAAACTCCCTTCATATTTTGCAGAAAAAATTTACACGTATTGCAACAAACAGTAACTACAGAGCACATTCCCTTACCCTATTCAAACAACTGAACATTTTGAATATATTTGATATTAATAAGCAGTCGAAATGCATTTTCATGTACAAATGGATTAATAAACTTCATAATTATCATAAAATTTTTCCAAACCTCTTCAGTACCATCCAAGAGAGACATGCTTACAACACCCGAAATAGGGTAAACTATGACAAACCCAAAATTCGAACAAATTATGGTAAAGCCTTGATATCTTTTACTGCACCATCAATTTGGAATTCATTACCTATTGAAATAACATCATCTGGAAGTATTTTTATTATGAAAAAAGAATTGAAAAAATATTTTATCAATCATTAATATCAATTTCAGATAACCATAGTGGGCATTATATGACACATTCTTAGTCAGACATAGATAGTAGCATTCATCACACAAGCAGATCCCCAATCTGTACATTTCATGATTATAAACACGGGAATATACACGAGAAGTGTCACCCGTTTACTGTACATTTGATGTTGAAATATATATGAATAAATAAATAAATAAATAAAAAAAAAAAATAAAAAAAATTTAATGTTTAGGTCATGCCCTTATGAATAATTCAGTTTTTATGGTCATGCCCTTATGGATAATTCAATGTTTTAGGTCATGCCCTAATGCAGTATAATTCACTATTTTAGGCCATACTCTCACGCAGTATAATTCATTGTTTTAGGTCTAGTGAACATGTTTCCCTAGTAAACTGCTTTCCCTTTCTTAACTGAACACCTCTCTCTAGTGGATACCTCCAAAATTAGATTAAATGCTAGGTCATGCCCTAATGCATCATAATTTAATGTTTAAGTGCCCTTGTGAATAATTCAATTGTTTTAGGTCATGCCCTTATGGAACCACCAAGGAAGGTGAAGAAGACCTACCCATTAGTTGAAAGCAAGGAGAAATATTTAGATGAGGCTAGAACTTTTGCTTCTTCACTAGCTGAGGGACTTGATGATCCCGATGGTGAGTATTAAGTATTATCTAGTATTAAGTATTATCTAGTATTATCTTATTAAAATTTTACTCGGAATATCAGTTAGCTTCACTAATTTCTTAAGATAATCTAATGATCTTAAATAAAACTTTTATAAGAGTTTGAATTTGTGAAGAAAATATTCAAGTTCTTGCGAAGGCTAAATAGATCTGCACTAGAATGGATTATGTTTTGCAATGAAATCAGACATGTTGCATTATGGGATAATGTTTGCATGGTTTCCATGCCATCTACTACTGGAAGATTGCCAATACGTCGTCTGCTTGATAATATTGCATTATGGGATAATGTTTGCATAGTTGCCATGCCATCTACTACTGGAAGATTGCCAATATGTCGTCTGCTTGATAATATTGCATTATGGGATAATGTTTGCATGGTTGCCATGCCATCTACTACTGAAAGATTGCCAATACGTCGTCTGCTTGATAATATTGCATTATGGGATAATGTTTGCATGGTTGCCATGCCATCTACTACTGGAAGATTGCCAATATGTCGTCTGCTTAATAATATTGCATTATGGGATAATGTTTGCATGGTTGCCATGCCATCTACTACTGGAAGATTGCCAATATGTCGTCTGCTTGATAATATTGCATTATTGGATATGTGTTTCCAGCTGAAAGATTGTCATGTCCAAACTTCCATGTACAGGGATGTGGCTGTTTACAGAGATATATCATAGGAGATGGTAAGTACTATTATAACATCTTATTTTATCAATCGTATTGTTTGCGATTCACATACTTATAATCAGGAATGTTATTGTTTCCCAAAATTGCTGGTGTATGGACTATGATCAAACTGAAATAGCAATTAAATTGCAAGAAATTTTTAAAGAAAGGGATAATCTATCACTCGGTGTTATGAAATCATATGGGGATCCTTTGAGATAAATGAATTAAAGGTTGTAAAGAGGATGTAATCGTGAAAATAGTAAACAACCTTTAGGGAGATATGCTGAAATATGGTACACATCTCTCTTTAATACATGGATTGAATGAAAGGGCATGTTTTATTCACGTATTGTATTTTTTGTGATACTCCCTTGAACTGCTTGTTTTGAATTGAACAAAACATGTTTCGTGTTTGATGTAAATAATATTATAATCTATATTTCTATTCACAAGTTTGGTCTATAAAACTGGCCATTCCAGTGTTACGTTTGTATCGGCGATTTGTAGGATGGCCATTTGTACCACTGAGATATATATAATCATATGCAAATAAACTATTGTAGTGACAAAGAGCATGTAACTAAAAGTTAAACATACCCACGATAATAGTGTCCATCTGTGAATACAATTGAGAATGACTAATGAGAGCTAATAATCTACATTTAAGCTAAGATTGTCAAGCATGCTTAAATTACATTGTCATGGAGAATCCTCGGCAGCTTTGAACTAGATAATAGGTAGAACTGGTAGATTTAAAATATGATATGGCTTAAGATCGAATTGAATCGACTACAATTCGAAGCACCAGAGACAAACTAAAAGTTTAAGTCGCGGGTAATTCGAATTGCCCCTCTGATTGTTTTTTAAATGTGATAATAAACATATAGCGAGATCAATAGTGCAAGAAAACAGGCAAATAGTTCATTCATGGAACGAAGCGTGAAACTTTCCACATATTATCAGAATACCATTCCCTTTGATTTAAGAGCCAGAGCCATTTATGTGGTCTACTAGAATGATCAAAAAATAGTAAGTACCCCTCCCCCCAAATCCTGTGGGGGTGGGGAGATATAGGAATTTTTTTTTAAAAAAAAATTTCTTTGAATATGGTAATACTGCAGTTTCAGTGTGCCATTTTCATGACAAAGCAGTTTTGCAACATAACAAGATGATTTATCATCGATTTTCATCATTGTTAAAGACTAGTCATGGGCGACGCCCACTTTTCATATCTTGAACATTTAGGTTATTGAATCTATATCATGAGTTGAACAAATGAATGGACTTCAGCTTTCTGGATAACACCAGATACCTTTTTGATGTTAGGTTCTATAATTAATCTTAGAATTTGACTTCTTAAAGGCTTATAACATATCACACCCCTGTTTAGAAGAAAGAAGAAAGCAAGCAACGGATGTCCCAGATCTACAACACGTATACACTATTCTATGTACATGTACAGGGTGATCCAGAAGTAACGTCAAAGATGTTGTAATTTCAAAAGTATTCATCAGATCTTCATGAAATTTGGTATACATGTACCCACAACATTTCTGAGTTACCATCTCAAAGATTGGAATTCAATCATTTCATTGGTTGAAATTATGGTTGCTATAGTAACCCGATATCGCGTAACCCGGGGCAAATTACTTAACGTGTAATGCGTAATCTCAAAATATCAACAAGATCTGAAATTGTTATATCCTCAACATTTTATTTCACAACAATATAAATCATACTATTGCACAGTTACTAATAATAGTTCATTCTACATAATTGCCACCATTTGCAACACATTTCTCATGTCTGGATACCCATTCCTTGAACACAGAATTAAATCCATTAGAACTCATTCCTTGTAGGGCTAGTACTACGGCATTTTTCAATTCCTCACAGGATTGAAAATTATTTCCACTAAGGTTTCTTTTTAGTTCCCCATACAAATAAAAGTCACTGGGGGCAAGATCAGGTGAATAAGGGGCATGTTCAAGTTGTTGAAATCCAAGTGTTTGGACTGTGTTGCTGGTCAGGATTGCAGTGTGCGTAGGGGCATTGTCCCAATGCAAGATAAACTGCTGCAGATGTCCGGGACGCTTTTTCCTCAGGGAACGTTGAAGATCACGCTTCAGAACCTGAAAAACAAATGTTTAATGGTTGTTAAACCAGTTGTTTCATTGATTGGATTTGGATTTGAATCATGGCCATGGAGTTATAATTATATTGACAGTGAACAACATTTAAATACTTTAATTTAAAAATAAAATTCACAGTATGATGTATTATTAGAACAAATGATATCTTACCTTTGCAATGTAAACGGCATTAATTCTCTGGCCAATGGGAACAAAATGGGTTAACACCATTCCTCTAATGTCAAAGAATGTCACAACCATTTGTTTCTTTTGTGGAATTCCTGGTACTATTTTAGGCTTGGTTGGTGTTGGGGAGTTGTCATGTTTCCACGATGAACTTTGTTGCTTGGTCTCTGGGATGTAGAATGATAGCAATGATTCGTCACTCGTAATGATCTTGTTAAGAAAGTCATCTCCATCTCTCCGATATTTTGCAAGAAAGTCCCTTCAAGCCTTAACACGCCCGTCTTTCTGCTCCTGTGTCAAGTCATGCGGCACCCATTTAGCAGACACCTTCTTTAACAGACAGTTCTTTGTCAGTATCCGTTGCACAGTCCCATAGCTCAGATCGTGTTTTTCAGCCAATTCTCTGATAGAAATTTGCCTATTGTCCATAACATCAGCTTCAATTGCTTTGATGGTTTGATCATCGAATGACGACACTGGCCTGCCTCCTCGCTGCTTGTCTACCACTTCATCATATCCACTGGAATACTTGTTAAACCACCTGTAAATGTTTCTCTCAGCAATGGCAGCTTTACCATATGCCTTCTTTATCTGTCTTATAGTCTCTTTTACACCTTTCCCCAACTTTACACAGAACTTAATGTTTGTTCTTTGCTCTATTTTACTCTGACTTGGCGCCATCTTGAATTGGGTGGGTTAGTGTCCTTGGTCATGTTAGTATTTGTCATGGATGATGGAAGCAATTCAAAGAAATTGAAAGCTTTTTATGAATGCCTATTGTGACATCACAACTATTACATATTTGTTACCATGGCAACAAATATAAAAATCATAGAAAACAAACAATGAACATTTTCAAATGTTACTGACTTTTTAAATTAGAGAAATTCACAAAAACGTTATGGTTTCTCTTCAATTTGCCCCGGGTTACGCGATATCGGGTTACTATAGCAACCATAATTTCAACCAATGAAATGATTGAATTCCAATCTTTGAGATGGTAACTCAGAAATGTTGTGGGTACATGTATACCAAATTTCATGAAGATCTGATGAATACTTTTGAAATTACAATGTCTTTGACGTTACTTCTGGATCACCCTGTATGTCAAGTCTTTATATTCTCAAGAGAGCCTATGCTATATAGTGCAAGGTCTTCGTCGTCCAAAAGTATCATTTTGTTCGTTGTTCTGCAGAAATCGTGAATCTTTGTATGATGAAACAACATTATATTGCAAAAAATTTTAACTGCTCGAGCAAGTTGAAGGGTGGGTATTACAAGAGAAAATGAGGGTAGACCCCTTCCCCCAAATTATTTGGGGGGCCGAAAAGAAAATTTTTTTGTGGGCACTCTTTATGTCCAAATTACTCATAACTATGCCCAAGATAGTCAATTAATATAAGGACACCATTTATTAGGCATTTTGCAGGATATTTTGAATTAATTTGTGATTTTAAGCATTTTACTACCCTCAATTCAATTTTGAGTATATCTAATTTTAAGAATATTCCCTTATAGCTTTTGTTGTAGCGCATTAATGGCTATGAAAAAAATCGTCAACCTTGCTCAAGTATCATTTGAGAGAGTCGGAAAGTATGAAAGTGATGTGTCAATTAATATGGAGAGAAAAATCCCAACCCCCTACCCCTTCTTCAACAGTGGGGTAGGGGTCAATATGAAAAAAATATTTTGTGAGTACATTATTTATGCAAATTGTTTTTTATCCTTCCTAAGATGGTCAATTAGTATGATGTTTACTATTTATTAGACATTTTGCAGGATGTTTGGAATTAATTTGTGATTTTAAGCATTTTACTACCCCCAATTCAATTTTGAGTATATCTAATTTGAAGAACATTCCCTCATAACTTTTGTTGTAGTGCATAAATGCCTCTGAAAAAATTCCACAACCTTGTTCAAGTATCACTTGGTAGAGCCAGAAAGTATGACAGCGATGTGATGAATTAATATGGAGAGAAAAAATCCCAACAGCCCCACCCCTTCTTCAACAGTGGGGTGGGTGGTCTGTATGAAAAAATATTTTGTGAGTTCATTATTTATGAAAATTATTTTTTATCTTGCTTAAGATGGTCAATTAGTATGAAGAAATATATTAGACATTTTGCAGGATATTTTGAATTTATTTGTGATTTTAAGCTTTTTACTACCCCCCCCCCCCCCCCCCCATTCAATGTTGTGTTTACCTATTAACAAGAATATTTACTAATAGCTTATTTTGTATGACATTGATACCAATGGAAAAATTCAACAACATTGCTCATGTATCATTTTATAGATCCAGAAAGTATGGCAGTGATTTGTCAAATGATTGTGAAGAAAAATAATCACAAGAACCTCACCCCTTCTTCAACTGAGGGTAGGGGGTCATTTCAAAAAAATATTTTTCAAGTACATAATTTGTGCAAACTCCTTTTTATCATGCCTAATATTGTAAATTGATTGAAATTTCGCTATTTATTAGCATTTTGAATGATATTTTGAATTAATTTGTGATTTTAAGCCTTTTATTATCCCCCAATTCAATGTTGAGTATACCTAATTTAAAATTTTTTTTTTTTAATAATCATTTGGATGAATCGGGACAAGCTAAAAGCTTAAGCCCTCATTATGTGTCACATCTAAATATTAATGAATGATGAATTACCGTGGAATAGTCATTGTATGGATAAACTAAAAGTTTAAACCCTATAACACTTTGAACCATTTTCAAATATTTATGAAGACATTTAAAATGCTTCGTTAAAGGTGTTCTTTATGATACAAAATTGTAGACAATAGTTTTCTTGAAATTGTAAGTTATGATCGTACCAAAAATTAACCCCAGGGTCATTTTACAGCTTATGTCCTAACATGGTCTGAAGGTAATTGGCCTGATCATTGCATTTCAAAAACCTGTCAGGTTCTTTAAGCTACTCCAGCCCCATTGTGCCCTTTTATTTGTAAAAGAGAACTTCTACAAACTTTCCAATCTGAATAATGAATCTCTGCACTGTCATCTACCTATTAAAAGCTGACGTTCATTTCATAATAATGGAGACTTTAAGCTAGCGATGTTTTTCACAATGTAACCTTGAATGCAAAGTTAATGAATCACTATAGTAATATGTAAAGCGCGCATACAAAACGAGTCCTAGTTAGTCTTCTTCAGAAACCCAATTAGCTCCAGTTTCGTGTTTAGAACGGGAGATTTGCAATTTCTTACGAAATGAGCATGTTTAAAATATGTATCATAAAAAAACAGCTATATAACTATCAATGGCATATTACACGGTGATCTGTAGTGTAAGAAACGGACTAAGTTTGGTTCATTATACATTTATTTCAATTATATTGCAGTCAAAAGAGTTACACAGGTCGCTGCCTAGCGCAATGTGCATTACAGGCTAGCGTTAATCAAATTAATTGAGTGAGTTATACATACAAATGTGCTAACTAGTTGCCTACACTCAACAGTGAAAAGTAAATCAAAATAAAATAGGTTAGGTTAAGTTAAGTAAACATTGTAACTGATCGATTGTTTATGTGAGAAAACTACATGCATTTGTGTAGGCGATTTATACATACAGGTTGACGTTTCGATTTGCTATACATTGCTTAAAGTCTCCAATAACTCCATCAAAATCCCATTAAGGTAGTACAGTAACTTAAATGAGGTCTAATCTGAAGAGAAGTTTAATTCAAGATCCATGGTGGGTAGAATTTTACTCTAAGCCTAAAGTATAAAGCTTGTTAGTACACTAGCAACTTAAAACCTACTGCCAACAATGTTTATGTTCAAACCTAGGTGGTATAACTTACCATAAACTTAATTTATGAAATAAATGATGGAAAAAATGCTAAAGTGTAAACATATATTTATATACAGTATGATAATTTCATATTTGAAGTGCCATTAGATATTTCAATTTCCCAGATACAGTTCCATTTCCAATAAGTATAATTATCATGCAAGTCTTTCCTTTTTTATTTATAATGTTTGATACTGTCTGGATTCTGTTTCCGCTTCTTCGGCCTAGGACTTTTCGATTCAGTATCAGATACCCCTGGAGATGGCGCTGGAGTAGAGGCTCGTTGGGCATAGTTTGGAAGCAACTTTTTTATAAGACCATTGAAGAATTGTTCAACTTTTTTGCCACTCTTACCAACTTTAGAGTCAGGCTGAAATGGTGAAAATGTAATGATGTTATTCTACAAAACAAAATATATTTTCAATATTACTGCATTGCCTTTGTGTGAATATTACAACTGCTTCAGAATAAAATAAAGGACAGGATCTTTTTACCATTATAATTGTACATTTTAATAACTATTTCTGTAATACCAAACCAAATAGGGTATTTCCAATCTTAGTGCTAACCAGGAATACAAAAGCTGTATTATCACACTACCCTACCACGTGACCACGTTAAAAAAGGGATACAGGATACAGTTAAGTTGCTAATGGAGGACATGGGTTTATTTCCATATTTCTGAACGTAAACTACATTCTACATATAATCCCAGTGTTCTACCAGACATAAAATAGATTCGTAGAATATTGTTAGCAAAAACCCTGTATATGCGAAGATAGAGATTAGTGATGATACTTTTTAGTTAATACATTAATGTACAGGGTGCGTGTAAGTTTCACTTTGAATATGGTACTTCTTTTGACCTTGATATGCAACAAAAAACCCACTGTATAACTGTTTTTATACTTTGTGTCATTGTGTTATATGTAGATACATTTTCTAGTATGTTATTCAACTGTATTTTTGTGAATTAATTGATTTTCTAAAATTTTAAGATGAATAGAAAGTGCCAGAAATGTATCTTTACTTTGTGGTAAGGCAGAACATATTGGAAAACATCTTTCCTCTTGTCACAAAGAGGATAATGTTTGTTTTGCGATGTCTGGTGAGGAGCCTTTCATGATTGAAAGCAACTAGAGCAGATATAATCCAGAAATGTCTGATATTCAACATGTCATGTAAGACAACATCAACCTGGTAATTGTTTTCAGTGTTAAAAGTATGGATTATTAAATAAAGAGTGAAATCACCAATGTTTCCCTGTTTGAGTTTGACCTTGTTTGGGACTGAATTCAGTACTGGTTAGTGAGTACAGATCCCCTGATAATTTCTGGTATTTCAATACACACAAAAAGGACGGGTGTCATTAAGAGCCCTTTTTAGCCCCCAAAGATATCTGATAATAATGCATATCATATTGAAGAAAAATCATTTGTGCTTTATAAAAATACAATTTCAGCGAATTTTGACCTTTGATATTCACACAACAGTCATTTAAAGATCATATACCATTTTTGGTGTTTTTACAAAAAATTCTTTATTTATTGTTGTCTAAGTAAATAGTATATAAATATTAACCAATTTAAATATATTAAAATGTAATATATGAAATACTGAAGAAAAGATACAATTAAAATTATTTTCATAGAAAAGCACATAGGGCAATATTGACAAAATGCAAATGCTATTTTGGTAGGTTCTGGGCTAGCAATTGGTACATTTCAACTGTGACTGTAATGGATTACTATTGACTTTTATCAACATCACAGGGCAACTTAAATACAAGGAAAATCAAAGATTTCCTCTCATTTCTAAAACGAGGAACAAAAGCATGAATTCAAGGAAAATAAATGATGGCCTGTGCCAAAATATATAACATATGAGAAAGTTGTGGCACAGTAAAGGATGTGTATAGGATATCATATGATTTTAAATGATTTTATGTTTATCTCCGAGTTGATATCAATATCTTGCCAAGTTAGCCTAGCGAATTAGCGCAGATATTGATATCAATGAGTTGGATTAACACAATATCATGAAAATTCATAGGATGTTTTATTTTTCCCATAGTTCACCTCTAAAACTAAACAAATCATATCAAAACAACATCCATTCATTCATCCATCCCCGTGATGTCATGAAATCACTATGTAACAAAAACACATCATATTGGTGGTTATTTTCAAATCCCTGCTTAAGGGTGATATCTGTGAAATATTTTCCGTATTCCACAGATATCACTTTTTCAACGCATTTGCAAAATATCATAACTATACAGAGTTCAACTATGGGATAAAGAATAAAAAATAGGTACATAATTGAATTACCTTTCCAAAAGTATTAAATATGAGGGTTTAAAGAAAGAATATTGAATATGAGATTCAAAAAGACAAGTGGCCTCATGGCTCACATTACCCAAACCCCAGATCCTCGATGTCATATATACTTGTACTTGTATACTGTATATCAATGTTATTTACTGGGAGGATTAAATATGGAGTGTATAGCAATGGTCAATACAATATTTCCAGATGGATATTTTTTCCCTAGAAGCGGAACCCAAACTCAGTCATGACATAGAAGCTAACTTTTGCAATTAATAGAAACTTGTTTTTTAGTTTATTTTTGTGTTCTATATTTGAGATGAAATAATATGAGATTCATTTCTACAAGAGGATGGGACGAATGTGAACTTGTATATTGAACTATACTCCTTTTCTGAATAAACAGAACAACATTTTATCCAAGCCAATTAAGAAAACCAAGGCCAATGAGTGTAATTTATGCCCAGTTAAACTAACACAATAACAACTTTTTGTCTGGACTCACTTATTATGTAAGAATGAATTGTATTACTGCAGTACTGTCAACCCCCAAAGATTTTCTCGCGGGACAGATTTTTTAGACCCAGTGCCCAAAATTCGCGGGATTTTGCGGGACATCTACTAAATTCGCGGGATTTCGCGGGACATTTAAGGGATTTGCGTGATTGCGCTTATAGGCCAATTTTTTTTATCAAATTCGCGGGACCATTCGAGGGACAAACACCCTAATTGCAGGACAGTTAACAGGTTTACCAGCAAAAACTTCATAGAGGGACAGATTTTCTAGAAAAAGTGCCCTAAATTTGCGGGATTTCGCGGGACATCCACCTAAATTTGCAGGATGTCCCGGGACATTCAAGGGATTTGCGTGATTTGGACTAATGTAAAAGCGTGTAAAAGTACTTGAATCAAACTTTCAGATACTGATTAATCAAATATAATGCACCGTTACATTGTTACTTAAATAAACGTCAACATAATTTCACAAAATACGCACAGAAGTATTATTAAACTTTATTGTAATTTATCAAAAACAAAAACCATGCTTGAGGTGTGAGTATCGTAATCTAACACGAAATTCAAAAATTTTAAACAATACTTTGCACTTCTCTGCTTCTGGCGTCGTGACCAACTACTACCATACTGTAGGCATGGGCTTTCAATTGAAAGCCCATGATATAGGGGTTCGATTAATCTACATCAAATTATAGGGAATGAGGTTACTTTTCTAGATAGGGTTTGTAGAAAAAACCGGGTACCGGGTAGTAAATCCTCCATGCTGGGTTCAAACTTGGTACCCGGTCGAAAAACCGGGTACCCAAAAAACGAAATATACAACATAATTAGATCATTAGAAAACGTGTAAGATTTGTTTTGAATTTACAAAAATGTAACTTCCTTCAAAATTGAGCTAGAAGCTTCAAATAAAAAGCATTTTAAGCCTCTTTTCTTCCCCTATCATCATGGTCATATTTCCATTGGTAATGAAGGGGGAGGGGGTGCGATCGCACCATCACACCCTCTCCTGGCTACGCCAATGACATTGTAAGACGATTTGAATAACAAGACAAATCAATTTTACTCTATTTTCAATGAGTTCGTATGTTGGTACGTGAACATAACCAATAAAAATATGGTCATGACGATAGAGGAAGAAAAGAGCCTTAAAATATGCTTTTTATTTGAAGCTTCTAGCTCAATTTTGAAGGATGTTACATACATTTTTGTAAATTCAAAACAAATCTTACACGTTTTCTGATAATCTAATTATGTTATACTCGTATATTCGTATTTTTCATTTTTTGGGTACCCGTTTTTTGACCGGGTACCGGGTACCAAGTTTGAACCCAGCATGGAGGATTTACTACCCGGTACCCGGTTTTTTCTACAAACCCTTTCTAGATATCAGCGTCCATTTATTGTAACTCGCGTTTGCTAACATTTGCTCAGTTCTGAGATGAAGGCCACACGGATAGTAAAAAGGCCAACGTTGGAACTATTTGTGACCTACATCCCTATTGTCGTAATTAAAATGAAAGTTGAACCCTTCCTCTTTATTTTGATACCAAACAACAGCATAGTAGGTACTTAAAATTATGTAAACTTTACTCCTCAAAAGTGCAAAAACTTAGCTTCTTATATAAGATAAGATAATCACCATATAGGGGATTGCAACAATTTCGGAAATTCGCGGAGGTCGAAAGCCACATTTGCGGGACTTCGCGGGACATTGCGGGACACGCGAATTAGCCTAATTTTGATCGAATTCGCGGGATAATCCCGCCATTCGCGGGACACTTGACAGCTCTGTTACTGTTTACTGCATTAAATGTCAAGTATACTATCTGTATTTAATTTCAAATGCCTATCTCACTTATCGAAGGTATACAAGAAATGTTATTTTGAAACAAATTCAGCACAACCAAAACCATGTCCACATAATATGACAAATCCAAGATGGCTGCCACAATTTTAGATCCATGCACATGTGAAGAAGTTAGAAATACACATGGTCCACAAGTTCCATCCCCAATAAAATGGGAAGTTTAAGGTTTTCACACATATCAACTTTATTCCTATATACTTTATATTTGTGGTAAGGCTTGTGATCTAGGTAAACTTAGCATGTTCATGTACCTCCTATCCTCTGAAGCTAAAAACAGAAATAGTGACTTCAATTGAGAAAAATGAATCTTATGGGCTCCATATACATTCAGAGTGGCTGTCCGGCTTAAGTTAGATACTACTGATAATCTGTGATTGAAAATTATGTCAAGTTTAGTCCTCAGCCTCTCATAACGGATAACTTCGAGGTAATTGTGTTGTTACTGCAAAAACCTCTATTTCTTCATCACAAATCTACCATCTTTTGCATCTGTCAAAACCCTTCATTTCATGTTAATTTTCAGACTTTTGCTTGTGCCATCATTAAATATATATATTCAACTTGTTATTCAGAATAATTTAAGAACTTTTCATGAATTTTTTTATTTTCACACTTTTGAAAAAATGACTAAGTCAGAGAATGGCCTCTTAATGGCATGTCCCCTTTTTTTTATCACTTACTTTATTATATGTTGCACAATTTTTGAAAATAAGCTTGACATCATCAATGAAGGTTTCAACACTATCATAATGATTAAAATGACCTCTTCGCAACTTAGTTCTAATGGTGGCCAGATCCATTGGTTGTGATATAATCTTGTAGTAGTTTGGTGCCTGCAAAATATACATCAGACTAACTAATAACACAGATAATGGATTCTACTAAAAAAGGCAAAGGGATATGTTGTCAGTATAAAGTGCATTTCAAAAAAATGTAAAAAATATATTTTTTAAAATGTACAGGACACCAAATGAGGTCATCCATTAAAAATTAAATGAGGAGTAAGAAACTGCAGATTGCAAGACAATACTTACCGATCTATCTACTTGTACTGGATTATGGAAGTTAATACTCTGGTCATGACAGAACAGTTCAAGTAGGATCCTCTCACAAATCTGAAATAAACATACTTATTACTTATCTATAAATACATGCATATATTTATATAAGTCACTTAGCAGGGGTTTCACTAGAACTTAAATAAAAACAACAGGTAAAATTAATGGAAATCATATCAATGAAAACAACCGGTGAAAATCGCCTGTTGCCTGTTGCTAATGAAACCCCTGCTTATTGTACTAAATGTATAACAACATTAAAAATAATTTTGATGTTGGCAAAATGAATACAACAGGAAGATATCGCAAGGATATACTCTATAAAACCAATATGTAGAAGATATTGTGACAATATACTCTGCTTGATGACAGTCCACCCGCTATGGCTCAGTACAGTGGCAGAGTCAAGGTTACCACTATCGGCTGGCCTCGGGTTCGATTTCAGGTTCAGACAAGTTTGTGCGTTATGTAATTCTGGGTGTTTGACTGAGTGGTTCACTACTCGTATAAAAGACTGTGGTGTATACTTGTATGTCTGTGTACCTGTGCACACAAAAGAACACAGGGCTCCTCAAAGGAGGGGTTTCTGGCTCTGTCTTCGAGTGTAAAATATGTAAAATACGGAATATACCAATGAGGTATTGCTCGCCAAATATTGCGGTAACCAAGATACAATACAAGACAACAGAGAATGTTGTCTTACCTTCTGTTCTTTGTCACTGAGTCCTACAGGAGCCTTTCTCTTCATTGTGCCCTCGGTTAGCTCATACCTGGGGCTGTTGTCTGTGATCCTCAGCTCATCCTCACTACGACATAACAAGCACTGCCATGAAATATCAGGACTGCAAATATGTGTGAAGAAATAAATTGTACGAAAACACAAGGCATTAACAAAATGTCATCCCTTTCCACTTTTTACAGACACCAACCACCAAATGCCAAACACCAGCCACTGTTCTCCAAACACCAACCACCATTCATAAGACAATTTGTCACCAATATTTCACCACTTTGATGGTGACATAAAAAGATGATATTTGAATTTATTTAAAATTATCAATTATCTTACCCGGGAAATTCTGTCAGGTGTGGAACATGGCATTTTAAATGGAAGACTTTGGGGCAGGAGTCGCAACATAACAGGTCCCATCCAAAGTGACAAACAGCACAGTAATCCTCATTAGGGTCATCTGAATTCTGGCTGTGTGGTACATTCTCTTCTACATTCTGTTCTACTTTCACTTCTACAGTGAATGGAATGGTGTCAGTAGAGATATCTTCTTCCTATAATACATCATTTGGGGGCTAAAGTTTAATCATTTTTTGTATGTTACATTAATACAGGTAAAATATGATTTTAAGGATACAGCAATTAAGTGTGTAGTCATTTAAAGTTATATCTAAACAAACTGCATGTACATATGTATATGTAGTTGATTTGCATACTTTATAACTCTTGAGAAAATAAATAAAATTGGATACAATCAAGGAATATGAAACCTTTTAGAGATATATATTGTGATTAAAATAGAATAGAATGAATGTTGATCTAGTCAAATCAAACACTTTTATGACAAATAAATCAATATAGTAAGAAATACAGAAGATAATATCCCCAAATTAAACAGCTGCAGCAGTGAAACCTAATTGTGATGTCACTGCAGTATAGAAGGGACACTGTTGCTCTGTTTGAGAATCAATTTTCAAGATTGTATCTTAATTTCAAAATGGCCGCCACTTTTCCCCAAAAAATGAAATCTTTCAAATACCAGTAAACAGATATGGTTCAAATTTTATATGCTTATGCCTAGGAAAACAGTAGCCTGTTCGAGAAAGAATTTTAAAGATGGCAGCTGAATTTTAAAATGGCTGCCATTTTTTGTAAAAAAAACTTATACCAGTGAACTGAATTCAAATTTTATATGCTGCTACCGAAGGACAACTACTTGAGGAATTTTCAAGAAGGCAGCTATTTTTTTAAAATGGCCACCATTTTTTAAACAAGATGATGTCTGTTTTTCAAAATGGCCACCATTTTTAGTAAAAAATGTAACCTTTTGTAACTCAGATACCAGTGAATAGATTTGGTCTAAATTTGAGAAGCTCATGCTCTGTTCAAGATGGAATTTTCAAGATGGCCACTAATTATCAATATTTGTTTTGTTCAGTGGGATTTGCTACTCCATGTAGTTGCTGTTTTTTTTGTTACCCTCTATTACTAATAAATTTTGATTCTCACCCACACACATATTATATATGGTGTAATGTACCAAATGTTCACTTTCGTACAAGTTTGACCTACATAGTTTTGGACTTCTTTTACTTTGTAAAGATGTTGCTGAAGCACTTGCCTTATCAGTAGATGTGAGCACTCCCCCCACTTTAGGTACAACCAAAGGGCCAGGTTGACGTCTCTTACTTTGTAAAGATGTCGCTGAAGCGCTTGCCTTGTCAGTAGATGTGAGCACTTGCCCCACTTTAGGTATATTCATAGGGCCAGGTTGACGTCCCTTACTTTGTAAAGATGTCGCTGAAGCGCTTGCCTTATCAGTAAATGTGAGCACTTGCAACACTTTAGGTTCATCCAAGTGGCCAGGTTGACTTCTTTTACTTTGTAAAGATGTCGTTGAAGCGCTTGCCTTATCAGTAGATGGGAGCACTCCCCCCACTGTAGGTACATCCAAAGGGCCAGGTTGACGTCTCTTACTTTGCAAAGATGTCGCTGAAGCGCTTGCCTTGTCAGTAGATGTGAGCACTTGCAACACTTTAGGTTCATCCAAGTGGCCAGGTTGACTTCTCTTACTTTGTAAAGATGTCGTTGAAGCGCTTGCCTTATCAGTAGATGGGAGCACTCCCCCCACTGTAGGTACATCCAAAGGGCCAGGTTGACGTCTCTTACTTTGCAAAGATGTCGCTGAAGCGCTTGCCTTGTCAGTAGATGTGAGCACTTGCAACACTTTAGGTTCATCCAAGTGGCCAGGTTGACTTCTCTTACTTTGTAAAGATGTCGTTGAAGCGCTTGCCTTATCAGTAGATGTGATCAGTTGCCCCACTTTGCGTACATGCAAGTGGCTAGGTTGACGTCCCTTATTTTGTAAAGATGTCGCTGAAGCGCTTGCCTTATCAGTAGATGTGAGCACTCCCCCCACTTTAGATACATCCAAGGGGCCAGGTTGACTTCTTTTACTTTGTAAAGATGTCGCTGAAGCACTTGCCTTATCAGTAGATGTGAGCACTCCCCCCACTTTAGGTACATTCACGGGGCCAGGTTGACATCCCTTACTTTGTAAAGATGTCGCTGAAGCACTTGCCTTATCAGTAGATGTGAGCACTCCCCCCACTTTAGGTACATTCACGGGGCCAGGTTGACGTCCCTTACTTTGTAAAGATGTCGCTGAAGTGCTTGCCTTATCAGTAGATGTGAGCACTCCCCCCACTTTAGGTACATTCAAGGGGCCAGGTTGACGTCCCATACTTTGTAAAGATGTCGCTGAAGCACTTGCCCTATCAGTAGATGTGAGCATTCGCCTCGCTTTAGGTACACTCAAAGGGCCAAGTTGACTTCTTTTACTTTGTAAAGATGTCGCTGAAGTTTTGACACTTGTTTCATCATGAGATGTGAGAAATTGTCTCAGTTTAGATATGTCCAAGTGGCCAGGTTGGTATGAACCCATGTCTAGAGATTTTTCATGATGTTCAAAGTCTGCACTTAAAAGCTTTGAGCTCCAATCTTGTAGTTTTTGCTTGATATCAGCACTTGAGTTAACTATCTCAACAGGATGGCCATATTTTTGTAGTGAGGTCATGTAATGTAATGTTCTCTCAGTGTCCCCCCTCTCCAGTTCTATATCACTTCTTTGAGATTGAATCTGTTCTATTATGGTTTTGTGAGCCTTCTTGGCTTTACTTTGTAGTTTATTAAAGTATTTTTCAAGTTCTTTTATCATAGCTCTGCAATCTGATTGTATTGAACTTAGGATTTTTTCCAGTTTTTGCTGTTGAGTGTCAGTCAAATCATATGACATTTTAGCTTGATTTTCAAGGAAATCTTTCCTTTGTCCAATCGATGCAAATGCATTTTGTATTTCTTCTTCTGCCACATCTTCAATTTTTACACAGTTATGTCCATTATGATTAAAATTCCAACAATCTGTGCATACAACAGTTTTGTCTGTCTTACAGTAGAACTTCAGGGGCTGGTTGTTGTGCTCGGTACAATCAATATTCCTCTGAGCCAGATTATCTATAGCCATCTTGTAATCCTTCTCAATATCCCCTGTTAGTTTAACACACTTGTGAGAGTTCGACAATTTCATTCTGCCATGAGATTTATTGCAAGTGTCACACAAATAGTCAGCACATTCAATACATCTGGCTACAGCAATTATAAGTTCATCACCCTGTGCACAGATGTTACAGTTTATGCTAGATTTATTTAGTTGTTTCTTGGTTTTCTCCAGAACTTCAGCCATTGACTTCATGGTGAAGTTAGTCCTATATGAGTTCGCACCTCCATTTGGAATGTCTATTTCACATTTACATACTGGGCAGGGAAAGGTATTTTTTCTACTGTCCCTTTCAGCCTGCATCCATCCATCTAAACATTCTTCACAAAATGAATGTAGGCATTTTAGAGACTTTGGTGTCTTTACTGTGCCTTGACATAAAGGACATTCTAACAGTTCAGTAGATTCCTTGATAAAAGATTTAGTTTCAGCCATTTTTATAGTCTACTTATCTTAAAGCCGACTTCACTAAATATACTTCCTTCTAGCTTAGAACATAACTATTTATAGCATTGGACTCTGTAGCATTGAAAAGATACATTCAAAGGAAAATCAAAAGTTTTGGGTGTGTCGTATGCAAGATCTCAAAAACATTTCAAAAACCTTTGTGTTTAATCAGTATACTAAGAAATTTTATTCAGTTTTAAGGTTGACATTTATTACAAGTATTTCTCAGAAGTTGATATTTAAAACAGCCATCGTTTAAGTGTTGATCAATGACAGTATTTTTTACAACTTATTTAACTGTAATATTAGTACTATTTTTAAAGCACACCATTTTGAGAATGCATGTTGATTTCATTGTGGGAAAGATTGGGAATTTGGGTTATCAATTTTATTGAGTGCCACCTTTAGCATTCCTTATGTTGCTATGCAACATCACCATATTTGGATTGTGATCCATTTGTCTATAAAGATTTACTTAATATCAAACTCCAACCAGTTCATATAGAAATCATTTAAATTGTAAGTGAAGACTTACTTAGGCAGTTTTAAATTGAATAAAAGATCAGGCTGACATTTAGTACAAGTATTTCTCAGAAGCTGATATTGAAAACAGCTACAATTTTAGTGTTGATTTGCCAGTATTTTTTTACTTACTTATTAAATGGAAATAATATTATTTTTAATGCACAACATTTTTATAATATTGATTTCACTGTGGGACAGATTGGGAAATTTTTGTTATTGGTTTTATTTAGTGCCACCTGTAGCACTACTCGATCAACATTCTGAATTTTGATCAATTTGTCTATAAAGAACTACGTATCATTAAACTCCAACCAGTTCATATATAGAAATCATTTAGATGGTAAATGATAAAAATGCTACAAATGATTTAAATATTTAGAGTCATACAATTGTCAATCATTGTCATGGATTACAGTTCCAGATTTTAGAAAGATTGATAAAGAAATGAACATTTTAGATTAGAGATGTGTTTCATCCTCAGCTCTGCTAATTATGCATTGAGTGCCATATCAATTCAAAGCAACATTTTTTGCATGTTCAATTGTTTTTCCAATTTAAAGAGTTAATCATACTTGTCTGTTCAGTTCCACTGTGCATAGTCCCAATGTTTTGGGGTTGGCTTGTTTTGAATTTAGATAACTTTTAGTTGACTGGTTTTGGATTTAGATATCTTTTGGTTGACTGGTTTTGGATTTAGATATCTTTTGGTCGACTGGTTTTGGATTTAGATATCTTTTGGTTGACTGGTTTTGGATTTAGATATCTTTTGGTTGACTGGTTTTGGATTTAGATATCTTTTGGTTGACTTGTTTTGGATTTAGATATCATTTGGTTGACTGGTTTTGGATTAAGATATCTTTTGGTTGACTAGTTTTGGATTTAGATATCTTTTGGTTGACTTGTTTTGGATTTAGATATCTTTTGGTTGACTGGTTTTGGATTTAAATATCTTTTGGATGACTGGTTTTGGATTTAGATATCTTTTGGTTGACTGGTTTTGGATTTAGATATCTTTTGGTTGACTGGTTTTGGATTTAGATATCTTTTGGTTGACTTGTTTTGTTTTTGTTTCGGTAGGCGGCGGTTGGAGTCTATAACAAATTCTTAAAACTTTCAAAAACTTAACAAATACTTTCAAAATACATCTTCGGGGGAATATAGGGAATGCTTCCATCCTTCCATCTGTCTGTCTGGGCGATAACTCAAATATCATTGGCCCGATTTTGTTCATATTCTATTCATATATTGCTTTATGAGCCTCGAAGTTCTTCTCTAAAGCTGATTTTCAAACATATAATTTCATATGTATTTCATACCCAAAATTTCAGAAATGTTGCCCCTGTCTTTTATTTTATTGACCAATCCCCATCCATGTCATTTTAACAGGTCCTTTCATTACTTTACAACAGTTCAAATATTTAATTCCAAGGTTTTCAATTCTTTTGTATACTTTCTACTTACACTTCCTTTGTTTAAACCAGTTTTTTAGCTTTTCATGGTGTGATTGTTTTGTACTGTTTTTGTATTCCACATAATAGCATTCACTCACATGTAGCTGAGTTGGGGTGTTGTCCCTTTACTAGAGTTGTTGCTTGTATATAGACTGTACAGAACATGATTTTTGAAGAATTGAAATAGATTTTTTTTATTGTATTTCATATTACTTTTCCGTTGACTTTTATTTTATTGCCACCCATGGGCCTTCCCTCGCCCCGTCTATAAATTTTGAAATGTTGGCCCTCATATCTATCTATCATCTAGAATTTATAGAAATTTTATTTTTTTATTTTCAGGCGAATTGGAAGAATCAAAGACACGAGCGAGTCAATTGCTATCTCTACTGAAACATGCTAAAACACTAAGTGCTAAAAAATTCTATCCAGTCCCAGAGGTTCCTGATTTGAAAAAGAAGTAAGTAAAATATTTTTTGATATATCATACAAAGTGAAAGACTCACCATTAGATTAAGGGTTGTATTTTGATACGTTTAGCATACCTGCCAGTGAAAGGTATTGCATATTTTTAACCTTTCTCCCCGACTTTCTGGTATACTTTCTGTATATGTATGAATCATAATCAAAAAAAAAAAAATTTATATAGATGGCATATGTGTAGATTCATTCCCTTCTTTCAATTAAAAAAAATCAGTTTATTTATGTTTATCACACGCACATGTTTACCAAAGCTTTGTTGCACACATTAAACTCGGACACGATGCCTTTTATTTTTTAGGTTACTAGGTCATTTGTTACATAATTAAATTTTCCATTGTCTGTTTATGACGTCACATAAATGTATACATGCTGTTATATTTTGAAAAAGACTAAGGGATATTAGTCAAAAGTCTCAATAAATTAAAAATATTCTCTGAAGTAAAGAATTTGACTTGTTTCTGAAAATAAATACAGTCTGTGAGAATGAATACAAATATACAAAATTCAAGATGTAATTTTAGGCAACCTTATAATACAAATAGGTTTTAAGCTGATATAAAGATGGCACCATTGGTAAAATTTTATATATATTTCTATCATATTTAGCCTATGCTAACACACATGTATAATTCTTTTCTTTGTATGATTTCAGAGCGAGGCTTGTGATAGGTTACGGAAATGGTCATCGTAAGTCGAAAGAATTTGAAGAATTTGTGATCGAGAAGCGTAAATATCTGAGAGACGAGCTGAAGCTGTGTGAGAGGGCTGCTCAAAGAGTTCTAGTCTATTCCAATAACTTTTTGCACAAGAAAATGAAAACAAACAAAGAGGTGGGCTATCTGGGTTTTTTATTATGTCACCACTTCTGTGAATGGTGTTTGGTGGTTGCGGTTGCGGTTAGCATCTGCAACTAATTGCAAGTGGTGACATTTTGCATATTAATGCATTTTTTATTTATTTAACCTGAAATAAATAAATGTACCAAAAAATTGTAATCAATAGTGTTTCAATTTTTTATCTGATTAAGTCAAATGGTAAACTTCTCAGCTTTACACATTCTGACAATAAAACCAAAAATAGAATACATTCATAGATCTTCTCAGCATTAAAGCAATCAAATGGGTGCAGCACCCACCTGAGGTTTTGAAAATATTGCTTGCACCCACTGAAAATGAGAAAAATCATGAAAAATTGTCAAATTTTGATCTGAATTGTAAAAATGAGAATTTTGCACCCGCCTGAAAAAAATCCTGAGGAGATCACTGACATGACCAGATTCCTTGTTACTGCATGAATCTGCTTATGGGATCCAAAAAGAGGTACACCTGTGTTAACATAACTTTCATTGAATTGGATTAGAAGGTTTGTCATATATTTGATGGACCACACTTTTTTTTCGTAAAAATGCAAAGAAAACATCACAATTACTTATGTTTTCATCATAACTCTGGAAGTATAAGTGAGACAGTGAGGTTTTGGGTCCTCGTATAGCTAAAAAATGATGTTCTTTCTTTCTAAATAATAACTTATATTTTGTTTCCACAGCGCCCATATAGAGGTTCAAGAGTAAAGGGCAAGGCAGCACTTGGGCAGCTTAAGCCAATAGAAGACCTTATTAAACAGAAGTGCTGTGTGGACAACTGTGTTATGGTAGGTAAAGCCAATAGAAGACCTTATTAAACAGAAGTGCTATGTGGACAACTGTGTTATGGTAGGTAAAGCCAATAGAAGACCTTATTAAACACAAGTGCTATGTGGACAACTGTGTTATGGTAGGTAAAGCCAATAGAAGACCTTATTAAACAGAAGTGCTATGTGGACAACTGTGTTATGGTAGGTAAAGCCAATAGAAGACCTTATTAAACACAAGTGCTATGTGGACAACTGTGTTATGGTAGGTAAAGCCAATAGAAGACCTTATTTAACACAAGTGCTGTGTGGACAACTGTGTTATGGTAGGTAAAGCCAATAGAAGACCTTATTAAGCACAAGTGCTGTGTGGACAACTGCGTTATGGTAGGTAAAGCCAATAGAAGACCTTATTAAACACAAGTGCTGTGTGGACAACTGTGTTATGGTAGGTAAAGCCAATAGAAGACCTTATTAAGCACAAGTGCTGTGTGGACAACTGTGTTATGGTAGGTAAAGCCAATAGAAGACCTTATTAAACACAAGTGCTGTGTGGACAACTGTGTTATGTTTGGTAAAGCCAATAGAAGACCTTATTAAACACAAGTGCTGTGTGGACAACTGTGTTATGGTAGGTAAAGCCAATAGAAGACCTTATTAAACACAAGTGCTATGTGGACAACTGTGTTATGGTAGGTTAAAAGTTTCCTCCAAAAAGGATCAGTTCTAATTTTGATCATTTCTTCATCTTAAATCTACTTCACATTCCATATTTGATCAGGTATCTCAATTGTTATGAAAACGTTGACAAACTTTTGGAAAAGAATGCTTGAAACATTTTAAATACTCTATTCCATATAATACGGCTACTACTACTACAGTATCCTTAAAAAGCAAGCCTACTGTACATTGTAACCCTAATGTTAATAGGGTCCATTTCATATAAACTGTAATTAAAATGTAAAAAGTAATATGTGTACAGAAATTCAGATGTTCTTTCATTATTAATTCACGCATAACTAGGCACTGCCAAGGTGTGTCCAATTTCAGCCAATCCAAACACAGTAATTCATATAATTACAGTGCATTGAATAACCAATCACAACACCCACAGTCATTCATTTAATGGTTGTCAAGGTGACAACTGGACTCCACAGATTGAAATTGATGCTTTGCCAACTTGAACCTTGCAAAAAGTTTCATTGAAAATATGTTCTTTTGGTGAATTTGTATGTTTTAGGTAATATCATAGAAAATATTTTGCAATGTTTGAAAAGAATTTAAGCCCAAGACTCGATGCATTGTGGCTGATTCATTCCAATCAGGCGTTCTTTCCTAAACTTTGCATTCCCATTCCCATTCATGTTCTTTGAAAACAACAAGTTCAGAAAAATATGATTTTTTTTAATTGATTTTTTCCACAATGCACCGAGTCGAGGCCAGGGCTTAAATACTTAATGATTTAAATGTTTATATTTGCTCACATTTTCACGCTATTCCCCATGTTTATCTGGAGGATATTTACAGGTTTTTTGAGCTCTTTCAATATCATAGATTCCTTTCTCAGTCATCTTATTCCTGAAATATTTATCAGCACCTATATAATTTAGGTTTTGGATCATACAGTCATGTTTTATTTTCAAATCTTCTACTCTTTTCAAAATAGATTTCCTCTTAACAGAGTCACATTTTTTCTGTTTTATTGATTGAGCCATTCTGAGTTCTTTGATTTTTATGGCCATTTTGTCATGGCCAAACTTTTCAATCTTTCTCCACAGAGTTTTATTGAAATGATTGTAAATCATTGAGTCAGCTAAGTTCCATTGGATGAGGTTCTCATACTCATTAGGAGTTAAAATTGGTTTGGATTTTTTAAAGTGCCCGACATTTGCATTTTTCAAAATAACGACATCTTCAATTGTAAGATCTGAGCATTCGGTCAACAAAATCAGGCTTTCTTCCATGTGCTCAACTACTATAACCAAGTCAAACTCCTTTTCGATCTCTTCGATTTTTTCTTGTATTGCTATGGTGTTATATTGTTCCTCCTGTTTGATTCCAAAACATTGTGCAATTGGGTTACTAGGAGGCATATGGTGGATTAGTTCAAGGTGCGGCATAGTTTTAATGTTATCTAAAAAATATTTGAATTTATCAGGCTCTTTGAGATAACCTTTATAAGTGTTCTCCATTTTGTAAAAGTTATAATATGAATAGAAATGTGAAAGTGGTTCACGGATTGATGCAACGAATACACTCCCTGGGGCCATAACTTGTTTGACTTTTGCACTGTATTTCATGTGCTCATTTAGGTGTTCCCAATGTGTGTAGTTCTTACTCAAAGGTATTAAATGTTCTGGTTTGAATGGTTCGGGCCATCCCACCAAGTGTCTCTCAACACCAGAATTACTGCATGGCATTCAAACTATTTGGTCGTGTTTATCAGCGTATCTATTAAACATTGCTTGGAGTGTGGAGCTCCCCGCTTTGTTAACTTTCAGATAGAAAACACCTCTGCTTGTCTGATGTGCAGTTTTAACCTCCCGCCTTTGTTGTGGAACGACCTCTTGTTGTTTATTATCCAATGTGTTCTTATACTGTTTTTCAGGATTCATTTGCCTATCATTAATCCACTTGTTTGCAACTGGCTTTGTAAAAGCTTTGATGTCTATATTCCCCATGGATTTGTCTAAATTGATAAGGTTTACGTATACAAGTATGATTCCGAAAGCAACACTGATGACCACTGCCTTAACCTTCATTCTTACTTTTGCTATTGGCCCATGGGCTTTTACAGTAGTAGCTGAAATGTCTAAATTCCTTTTGGATCTGTCTCTGCTAGTAAGGTACACATGTATGTCTGTACACGAAAGCAAGATTCCGTATCAACACTGCCTCAATTCCCATTCTTTCTACAGATAAAACAATACATAAATAAAATAATAATTCTTTTTTGTTTATTAATAATATTAATATACAGATATAGGGGTCTGCATTTTCACTAGCGTCATTATTGTTTTATAGAAAGAACAAAGCATTATTGATTGGGATATTTTTTTCTATAATTTTGTGTAGAGATATATACCAAAATAAAACGTTTATTTTTTAGATAAAAAATATTACACAACTACACTGTTCCATTACTATTAGGGTTGGTGTCGAATTATCGAGTCATTGAAAGTGACTTTCATTATGGTTTGAAACCCCTCCCCTTAGATAACATTTGAAAATGTTGATTTTTCTTTCACTAAATATTAAAAAATCAACACTACTGTATTCGCTAACAAAACAATCATTCACTCCCATCCCACTTACAAACCTAACTTTGTCATTCAACAACAATTGATAATTTGAGACCATCCCTAAATAGACTGATTCGACCTACCCTTATAAAAAATTCAACCTTGAAAGTCCGAATTTAAACCATTTCCATCAATCATTGAATACTGATTGTTTCAACTACTAAGATCAAAGGAAAAACCATTGTACGATGATAAGCAATCATTGTACAACCATTGCGTTCAACCAAGCAAAGTCAACTCTTTTTCAACGACTGCGCAACCATTTCTATACAATCATTGTAATCTGCAACCATTGTAAACTGCAACCATTTCACATTGAAATGTAAATGGTTGCAATATGTTTTGTTCAATGATTACATAGTTGCAACCATCCTGAATTAGTATTGTTCCAAAAAAATAATCATTTTACCTGAATTAAAATTATCTTTAAGTAAGGATTTGAATCTACCTCTTTTCAACAACAGTATCTTAGGATATTTAGGATATTTTTTCTGCAAGCATACATGCATGTTTATTATAGTAAATTACTAAATTCATGTTCATACTAGTATGTTTCTTTCTCCAGTACGGATTTAAGAATGCGATACCAGACGAGTTTTCCACTCAATGGCATATGGGTTTAGGCAAATCAAAATGCTTGAACAGCCAATTAAAACGGTTGAACAACTAATTAAAACGGTTGAACAGCTAATTAAAATGGTTGAACGGCTAATTAAAATGCTTGACCAGAAATAGGGTTCATAGTCTTAGTTTCTGTTATATCTATTTTCATCTTGTGTTATACTATATATTTATTTTTATTCTCTATTTCATGCAGAGGGGGGGGGGTAAAAATTTAAAAAGTGTTTTCAGATTTTAGAGGGTTTATTTCTTTATTCAATTACTTCAATAAGTGCTGAGAAATCTCAAATAGCAAGTATATGAAACTGCAAATAATATTTTTATTTCATTTTTATTTAGTTTGTTTTACCATGGGCATTCAATAGATTGAAAGTCCATGGTTTTACTGTATTCACTAGGGCAGAGCATTTGTACTGAAATAACATGTGTTAATGATTAAAAAATTAAAACCAAAAACAGGAGGACAATATGGGAGATTTTCTTTGGCAAATTATTTATCAAGTTATGCTTCCTTTATAGCAGACTCTAATCAAACTGAGAATCTCTCTGTACTAAAGTTTGTTTTGCCTTGCCGAATTATTTTTGTTTTGTTTATGGATTAATGGATTAATAAAGTTTCTTAAGACACATCCTTCAAAGCAGACTCTAATCAAACTAGAGAGACTGAGTCTATCTGTAATCAGAGTTTTTTTAAGTTATGCCTATCGACTTAATTATTTAAAACACATCCTGTAATGTCTGATTGCATTTTCTCTATCAAATCAAAACTATCAAATCAATAAACAGATTATTTTCTTGATTGATTCCGATTTTCTTCCTTCCAGACACATCTTCCTCCCTTTATAATTGTGATGATTGCAAGGTGAAGTGTAAAATCCAAGACTTGTCACAATCAAATTTTTTCAAATGTTTTTGCAATAACTTAAAAAGTAGTGAAGGGATTTTGTAAAAAATGATAGTCATGACAGCAAGGGGATTTGCTATGCCTTAGCATTGCTGTTATCTAGATAATATACATGTGAGTGGGACAGTCACCATCCTTCAAAGTTAGATGAAAATTGGTTCAATATCTTTTCATTCACAAGACAAGTTTACTCAACTATTTCAATACTTTAAATATTTTTTTGATCAAACCATTTAAATTCTGACATGTATGCATGAAATACATACATTTGAAATATATTTTTTAAAGAGCAAGATAATTATTTTATGTTGTATTGAGATTATATTGCCATAGTTTTAAAGGGTTGCATTCGATTGAAACGGTTGCAAGAAATGCAACCAAAATTGTCAAGCGTTTACAATGGTTACATATGATTGAAACAATTTCAATGAGTTTACAACCAAAATTGTAATGGTTGCATTGTAACGGTTGGCATTGTTGCATAAATGATTGGATCAATGATTGTACAATGATTGTGCAACAGTTTAAATTCGGACTTTCAAGGTTGAATTTTTTATAAGGGTACTTTTTTTATTTTACTTACATTATTTCATGAGAAATTCTGCCTATAAACCACAATAACGACTGCGATGGATTGACCAGATTTTCAAAAGTACAGCAGAACATGAACTTCTATAAAGCACTAGAAGAGATTAAGTAGACTTAAGCCAAGAAATAGCCATATGTTTCTGTGAACAATATGTGATCCGTTATACATACATTGTACAGTGTACCTATACATTTGAAATTTTAATAGGCTCATACATGTATTCATAAAAGCATTACTAGGTTTGAATTTGTTGCATATACATTGAAATGGATGGCAATCAGATATAACACCCTGCTGCAAACTTTAGAACATTACTTTATAAATTGTAATTATCTTATAGTTATTTGGAAAAATGTTGGGTTAAATAGGGAAGCAAAATTGGTTTGTCAAGAGATAACATGCTTGAGCCTCTAATCATTCAAAAGAGTATACACAGGTATAAGTTTGATAACATATAGTATATATTGTGTAGAACTGTTTTTGTACATAGATTTATTAAAAAATACCATGCTGCATGATTTCAAATCAATAAAATACACTCAAATGTTACAGAGCAACTAAATATACAATTTACCACGTAAATTTCTATCTTGAGACATATTATCCATCTAACAACATTTCTGCAGGGAGGTTATAGAATCTAATCTACAAAAATGTATTTTGAGGCCATAGGCGTAGCCATTTTGAGGCAAGGGGTGCAAGTGCCTCACCAAAAATTTTCAGAAATATATTTTTGAGTTATTTTTTCAACTAAAACTACATGGAAGCAAACCAAAAATGAATATACTTCATTTGCCTTGACAAAATTTGGTGGCTCAAAATATTAATTTTCTTTAAAAGTTATTCTTGGGTCAGGTAGATTCCCCGTTGATCTTTTGTTATCATGAAATATCTTCTCTTGTGTTCATCCTCCGTACGCAGGGCTTCAAAATCCAGAGTTAAACAGATAATTATTCCTTAATGAGCATACTTTATTTTGGATAATTATCCCATCGAACGAAGTTCGGAGAGATATAGGGAACGCCTCCGTCAGTCTCTCCGTCCGTACGTATGTCCGTACGTCCGTCTGTCCGTCCGTCCGTCCGGGCAATAACTCAAATACCGTTGGCCCGATTTTGTATATATTTTGTACACATATACCCAATGGGGGTAGAAGTTCTGCTCGAAAACCGATTTTCAAAATGGCCGCTCATTTAAAAATGGTGGCCATTTTATTGCCGATTTTACAGTAATTTAGGTTCTGCATATAAAACTGTAATAGCAATATGTTTTAAATGTAAAAAAGTTATATAGAACATTGATTAAGCTAGAAATGCAAATATAGAAGAAATACGTGGCAGCCATCTTGAAAAATGGCTGCATTTGCACGTCATTTTACGATTTTTGCTGTCACTGGAAAAGTAGTAAAGCGATTTTGTTCATATTTGGTATTTGAATACTTTAAGCATGGTACAATGTCCAATAAAATTTTGGGTAGTATGCGGCCATTTTGAAAAATGGCTGCCATTTTTACGTGTGTTGTTTAACATTTTTTACTGTAACTCAAAAAGTAGTGTAGCGATTTTGTTCATATTTGGTATGTGAATACTTTAAGCATGGCACAATGTCTAATGACATTTTGGGTAGTAGGCGGCCATTTTGAAAAATGGCCGCCATTTTTACATGTGCTATTTTACATTTTTTACTATAACTCGAAAAGTAGTAGAGCGATTTTGTTCATATTTTATATGTGAATACTATAAGCATGGCACACTGTCGAGTGACACTTTGGGTAGTAGACGGCCATTTTAAAAAATGGCTGTCATTTTTACATTTTTCACTATAACTCGAAAAGTATTGGAGCGATTTTGTTCATATTTGATATGTGAATACTTTAAGCATGGCACATTGTCTAATAAAACTTTGGGGAGTAGTCTGCCATTTGGCCAAAATGGTCACCATTTTATGTGTGTTGTTTTACATTTTTTATTATAACTCAAAAAGTAATGGAGCGATTTTGTTCATATTTGATTTGTGAATACTCATAAGGATTGCATACTGTCTTATGACATTTTGGGTAGGAGGCGGCCATTTTAAAAAATGGCCACCATTTACATGTACGTGTGTGCGATTTTTAAAAATTTTATATAAAAGCATATTACTTCTTCTGATGACAACTTGGCTAGTGAGCAACCATTTTGAAAATGGTGGCCTTTCTTATGTGTGTTATTTTATGATATTTGCTTTATATTTCTTTGGTAAAAATGCCAGCCATTACTGTTCGATTGGATTCGCTACGCTTTGGTGTTGCCATTGTTCTGCTTATCAAACTCACCAAAAGGGTTACACCAAAATTATTATTCAGGGGGTCATTAACAGAACTTTCGCAAAGTTATGAATTCGCAAGTCAGTTTTTAATTTTACGAATTTGATAAATGTGCATTAACAGAACTTTGGTAAAGTTACGAACGATTCGCAAAATTACGAAAAAATGACGTCACATATGCTTTCGTTCGTAACTTTAATAGCACCTCAGACCCTTTCATAACTTTGCAAATGGCATATTTCTCATCCAGTTCTTATGTAAGGTATACAGGTTGGCAAAAAGAAATTGTTTTTTATATGCATGCTAAGTTTCAAGCTATTTTGATCCGTTTCAGATGACGCTAACCCACTCTTCTCTTCTTGAGGACTGGAGGCAGAGGGCGCAACAAGGTCAATACGAGATGAAGAAAGTACTCGCAGAGATGCTAACTCCCTCTGGTGGTGTGCGTGTGAACTGTTATCAGTTCATCTCTTCTGTGGTTGGATGTAGCAATACGACAATTACGAAAGTGGCCAATCATGTGAGACTAACTAGGGGAAGGCGTGAACCTCCACAACACGGACTACGCAAATATTGGGAAGCTAAGAAAAAAGCGACAAGTGGTAAAGGGACGAAACCTACAGGATCAACAGGTGATTTCCATAGTTTCGACACTTGGGTCTGTTTTTGACTCATTGTAATTTAGGATTGGCTGCAATCCTGGCTTAAACTTTCATGGACTCATTGTAATTTAGGATTGGCTGCAATCCTGGCTTAAACTTTCATGGACTCATAGTAATTTAGGATTGGCTGCAATCCTGACTTAAACCTTCATGGACTCATTGTAATTTAGGATTGGCTGCAATCCTGGCTTAAACTTTCATGGATTCATTGTAATTTAGGATTGGCTGCAATCCTGGCTTAAACTTTCAATGATTCATTGTAATTTAGGATTGGCTGCAATCCTGGCTTAAACTTTCATGGCTCGGTTTGTAGAGCATCAGGTTTTGAATCTGGAGGTCCTATGGTCCCACACAGGGCATTATTGCTCAATTGAGGATAAATCTTTGCTCTTAGGCAGTCAAAGTTGAAGTACTGTAGATTGGGTTAATTTGGCACTACTTATTTTGGCGATTTTGCCATTTTTTGCATATTGTAAATTAATGCTTTTCTATTTTGCCAAAGGAGCACAGAAAGTATCGCAACAGATTTCAGACAGTCATATATTGGATTTTGGCTATATTCGTAGAATTTGAACAACACCGGTGCAAATGTTAGGCCAATGCATTAACTCCAAGACAAGCACTCATCTGCTCATAAAGGTGATAAAATAATTTTGACCTTGAGATCGGAGACAGGAAAGGTGCAAACACCCCACCTACACGTTTTTCTGAAATGTTGTCCTGATTTTTGGCCCTTTCCAACCCTGTTTTTTCAATGTTTGATGCATTTATATGTTGCGTTTTGAGACACAGTTAACCTCTTAACCCTTTCACGACGATAGGCTCCATATGGAGCCCTATCATGTAATACCTTTCAGGACGATAGGCTCCTTTTGGCACCATTATTTTTATTTATATGCATCAATGAAATGACAATATCTCCAGTTTTATTTAGTGTTTTTCCACCAAATTTTTACAAGTTGTCCTAATGTGATAGTCCTTACAAAAAATTGTATTTCGGTGATAAAATTCACGGTATAGGTCCAGGGGCGTAGGTAATTTGCAGTTTTCCCCTAAAAACTGCTCTTAGTTATCTGTCACCAGGGCCAACATTTTCCTCTTATATTCACGTCGGGAAAGGGTTAAAAGGAAAATGGATGCAATTGGGATGAAGTGAAAAACAATATTTCCCACGTTATTTTCCCATAGGGAAAACTCATGCGATCCATTGTTTTCAGCTTAATTTTGGTCACCCATAATTGATATCTATAAAACCCCTGCCTGAATCCTATTTTCCTTTAATGAGGATAACAGTGTCGCTAAACGCAACATACTGGTGTATTAAACATTGAAAAAGCAGAGGTGGAAAGGGCTAAAAATCAGGACAACATTTCAAGAAAAATATGTTGGTGGGGTGTTTGCACATTGCCTGTCTCAAAGTCCAAATCATTTTATAATCTCTATCAGTGCTTGTCCTGGAGTTAATGCATTGGCCTAACATATGTACCTGTTCAAATCCTCAGAAAATATCCAATATCCAACATATGACTGTCTGAAATCTATTGCGATAATTTTCATGCTCCATTGCCAAATTAAAGCGGGCGCCAAATTAACACAATCTACAGGAGTCTAAATGGCATCATTAAACTGTATTTACAACCAATAGCATGGATGCTTTGTAAGCATGTTGATTGTGAACACCTTATATTACATTTTTACGTCACCACCAGAAGTGGCGACATATTGTTATCTACTAGTCTCCAATTTTTTGTGGACAGTGTTTGGCGGTCGGCATCTGTAACAAATGGTAGGTGGTAACATTTCGCATGTTAATTATTACAATCTAAATTTATGAAAAATCATACTTTGTTACTTTAAAGTGATGTCTTCACATTTTATATAATTTCACTTTCAGCCACAAAGCCGTCTAACAAACCAGACACAGTAACAACATTGACCAAAGCAAGCAAGAACAAGAAAAATCTAGTCTCTCAGAACAATGTTTTAAATCAGAAAACCACGGCTGATACGGGGGCATCTGCAACATTTACAGCTCTGCCAGGACCAGTGACATGGGATACAGTGAGTTATACATGTTAATTTAATATCACTGCGCGATTTCAGTCTTTTGACAATGATCAGAAAAAGTCTTTTATTGCAGCATGAATCTTGGACTTTATTCCTTAATGAATATTCATAAAGCCATTGTTGTTACCATGGAGACGTGACCTCATAGATATTGATCGATAGACTTTTGAATTTTATTTATATATTTTAATTAAACATCACAGCATAAATGTACAATTAATGTACAACCAATTTTCTATTTGTGAATTCTTAAATGTTTAGTTTAAAAATTCCAAGCTAACAATGGAGTTCTATCAGAATATCTCAGAAAAATGTGGTACAATTTAAAAATGTGGCTTAATTTAAAATGTGGCACAATTTTAAAACGAAAATCTAAAACAAAGGTAAACATAAATACTTACACACTACTGTACGTTGTTTTATTTTCAAGCTTCGTAATCAACAACTTCTACTACAGCTGCAAAAACAGCTGTCAAATCAACAACAGCAGATAAAATCACAGCTGCAGCTCATTGATCAACAGCTGATTGGACAACAGCTGCAGGTAGTTCACATTTTTAAAGTTTAAGGCCTCAAGCTGCTATTTACAATATACAAGGTGTCACAAAAAATACAACTGTTGGTAAGAATGTGAAGGTATCTAAAGATATATTATACAGAAAACGTAGGCGTATCCAGGAGAATTTTCACCGGAATTTTATTTATTTTTATTTATTAACATTTTTCATGTTAATGCCTTGGGTAATAAATTTTGCAGGCATTACAGCAGGGTGGCCAAATGTTGAATGCAACTGGTGTGGTAGCTAGCACATCTGGGAAGAAATCCAGGGGGACAACAAAAGCACCATGCACCATGACAACGATGCAGGTGAGCTGTCAATCACTACATATACCCCAAATCCATAATCTGAAATCACTTTACCATATGCAGGCCTATAGCCAGCTTTAATTTAGGGGGTCGGTTTTTAAAAAATTCCAAAAGGTTCTTTGACAATTTTGGACCAAATCACTTGAAAAGTCCTCAAAATGGTAAAAATAACATGATTTTGAATGATCTTTTGCCCAGTGGCTGATATGATACTGTTAGTAGTAGAATCTGCAGAACAAAATTGTGTCGATGTGTACTGTAGCTGAAATGAATGGTTCTCGATTTGTACTGTAGCTGAAATTAATGGTTCTCGATTTGTACTGTAGCTGAAATTAATGGTTCTCGATTTGTACTGTAGCTGAAATGAATGGTTCTTGATTTTTACTGTAGCTGAAATGAATGGTTCTTGATTTGTACTGTAGCTGAAATTAATGGTTCTCGATTTGTACTGTAGTTGAAATTAATGGTTCTCGATTTGTACTGTAGCTGAAATGAATGGTTCTCGATTTGTACTGTAGCTGAAATTAATGGTTCTTGATTTGTACTGTAGCTGAAATTAATGGTTCTTGATTTGTATTGTAGCTGAAATGAATGGTTCTCGATTTTTACTGTAGCTGAAATGAATGGTTCTCGATTTGTACTGTAGCTGAAATTAATGGTTCTCGATGTGTACTGTAGCTGAAATTAATGGTTCTCTATGTTAATGCTGTGGATTGGCTGATTTACAAATGTACTCACATTGTGGTCTTATGGAGTTCCACACTGTTTGGAAAAATCTTAACTGTGATTGTATTCAACCACAAATGAATGCCCAAGCACCCGCAATATTAGAGAATTTAAAAGAAAAGGGCTTCGCTTAGAATGACTCCTAACTGAAGTTGATGATTTACGTCATCATCACATCATCATCAACTCCAGTTAGAGTCATTCTAAGTGAAGCCATTTTCTTTAAAATTCTCTTATATCGTGGTTGTTTGAGCATTTATTTGTGGTTATTTAATTACCATTGTAGCTTTATTAATTTGCATGGTGAAACATTTGGAATCCAGATTCAACTTAGTTTAGCTTAAATTGGAGGTTTATTGAAAGCGAAGGAATCTCGGCAACCATCTTGAATGAAGCTAACTGCAGTTAGAGTCATCCAGCTGTGGAACAGTGAATTTTGTACTTCAAAAGCTCTACTAGTATTTATTTCTTGTGATATCATTTATTGTGTTAGAACACTTATCGTATGATTTGGAATAATATATTGAAGAAACATTTTGTCGAATATTTGTATTTTTGTGTTTCTAGTCAAATACCAGTCTATTGGAGGTGCAACCTGCTCCTTCCCCCTTCCAGCCCCAAGCGCAGTATGTTCCCGTTGTCCAGAAGCCAGCCTCCCACTTACAAAAGCAGTACCCCACCCTCAGCAACAGTATATTCAACTCAACCCAACCTCCAACTCACATGGGTAATCTATCAATAGACAATACTCCAGGCCAAGGATCTATTACCCTAGTGGAGGACGGGGAAAGTGGAGGGACGATAGAAAATATGTCGATAAATGTACATGTAGAAGATACAGCAGATCTAGCATCGCCCATACATGAGGGCTCTATTCTACCCACCAACCGAGAAAGAAAGACACATGACCAACAAACAAATGACCAACAAATTTCAGTTGAGCCAGTTTTAGTTATGGGTGAATCCACATGTGAAATGTCACAAATTATGGCCCAGCTAAATGACAGCTCAGGTCCACCGCCAAATGTTAATATAGCAGTTGTCGAAGCTGACGAGAATGAGGTGATATCTGACCCACAGGGTTTAGAAACGATATTAAGATCTCAGAATATTGCTCCAGGGACGTACACACTTTATATCCAACCCCCCGCTGATGGTGATATAGACCAAAATCTTGGCAGAGAGGTCGAGTTTGCTGGAGAAGAAACTTTAGTGGTGGCTGAAAGGAACTCTTCCAATGAGGAGGAAGTCTTGGAGATCGCTCGGGATTCACCCGATGCAACAGGATTTTCCCAAGAATTTCTCCAGCAAATTTTATTAACTCAAAATGAAAATGAGGCTGTGCAAACATTGAATGATAATCCTGTCAAACAAGGGAATTAGGATAATTAACGAGATTAATTAATTAATTAATAATTTAACTATAAATGATTGAAAACCTAGGTAAAAAATGTATTGTTTGCATACTACTTATATGTAATATTGACGTACCTTTGAGTGCCACTGTTATAAAAGTGAATGTCAAATAAAAAGTAAATAAATAAATAAATTGACAGTAGGTATTTTTCCTTTACACCACCAGGTTAATAAATCGTATCTAATAGCATGAGGCAAAGAAAAACTTAAAAACCTGAATAATAATTTTCGTGTAACCTTTTTGGTGAGTTTGATAATTATCCAAAATAAAGTACAGTTAAACTTGTATAATCCGAACGCCAGTGGGACCAGCTTAAAGCGTTCAGATTAGGAGGTGTTCACACTTCAAGGTTTTTGCATTCGCGAGATTCCAGATTCCGAAGAAATGGGAACACATTCTAGGTACATATTTATATTTCATTTGACCTCATAGCTTTATGGTAGTATTTCAGAAATTTGAAAATTCGGTTCAAATGAATCTATAGTCATGCTGGAAAGCCCTATTTAATTATAATCAAGACCATTTAAAGGGACCCAACACCTTACAAAACTTCTTAATGGAGAGGAATAAGGGAAAATGCTTGCCGGATTCTGAATCTGTATTTTTTAATGATTTTTCACCGTCTTAGAATTTCAATTTTTTTCATTTGAAAAAATGAGATTTGCATTGTTTTCCAATTAGAAAAATGAGTAAACATGAATAGCTCAAAATCTAACGGTGAGATTTTGTTTTAAAAAATCATGGATATCAAGGCTAAATATAGCTATACAGTAAACATAAAAAAGCAATGCTTGGACTCTTCATATTCACACAAAAAATTAATTAGTAAATGAGGTTTGATATTTGTGAGAATAAGTTGTACGAGGTGCAATGCTCTACAAACACCAGACTACAGGGTGGATTAGGATCAATGACACACATAAAAATTAATTTAAAAATATTTCATGATAATTATCTCAAACAAAAGCAGTTGGCGAAGGATACGTTTCATTACACTCAATAAATAGTAATCACTTTTGACTATATATATATCTCATGGGAATGTATTTCCATCTGCTCAAGATATTATATTTTAGCTTCGAAAATCACAATCGTTGGATAATACATTTGTCTCGGAATGATAGGCCACCCTGTAGCAATGTAGCTTTCACTTGAAGTTTACCCTTGAGAATAATGAACTTTCTTCCAAATTGGTCTTGCTTTTGTGGTGTATGTGGCTTTTTAGCAAATCTGCCACGCTCATTTCTTTCCAGAACCATCATCTTGTTCAAATGTATCACTATATGCGCATGTATAGACAGATGACATAGATATACATATAAATTATATATTGCACCTGTATTTACTTACATGGGAATATATTGCCTTTGGAAAAATGCAAATGCATGGACATATATTTTCATCTTATATATGACTTCAAGCTAACATATTATTTCATATTTATATTTTCATAGTTAGTTTAACATGAATAATAGATCCATGAGAACAATATTCTTTGTTTTTTTATTAAATTGATGGGTTTACTGTGAATTCAATAAATTACAATTTGCAAGTAGTCCATATACATCCTATAGTGAACCTATAAATTATTAAAAGTACAAAGTTTTATGGTCAATTCACGATAATAAGGGTTTTTTGAAGTGATTTAACTGGGTTGGACAAAAAGTTATTTTGGGGAATTAATAATATAGGCTAATTAAGGAGGCCATTACTGAAATATTGATTTTTTTCAATACCTTGAAAGGTAAGAATGATAGCAGCATAATAATTTTGTCTAAACCTATGTTTTCAGGGTTAATGAATAAGATAATGTTAAAATATACAGGAACAGCTTATTAGATATTGTGCATATATGCAAATTAGCACGTTTTATGATTGAAATATCGCATTTATTAAAAATATTTTGTATGTCAAGATTACAAAACAATGAATATAACTGACTAATCAAGGGTTTCCTTAGTGATTAATTTGGGGAAAATTAAATAAATAACCTTTCGGGAAAATCATATATGCAAATTAAGGCGGCCATTATTGAAGCATTGAATTTTTTACATTCTTTTAAAAGTAATAATGATAGCACCACAATTACTGTGTCCTTACCCATGATTTCAGGGTCAGTGAATAAGATAATGTAACAAGATACAAGAATAACTCATTATATACAATAAAAATTCGTATTAATGTGAATATGCAAATTAACATATTTTTTAATCGAAATATCACATTTATTCAAGATATTTCATTTATCAGGTTTACAGTGCAATTGAAAGCACTCACTAATTGAGGGTTTCCCTTCGTGATTTAATTTGGTTGCCAAAAATAACTTTAGGGAGAAAATTATAATTGTATTTTGGCGGCCATTATTTAAATATTGAATATCTTCCATATCTTAAAAAGTATGAAAGATAATATCAAAATAATATCAAACAACCCACGCTTTCAGGGTCAATAAATAATATAATGTAAAAAGATACTATGATAACCTATTAGATGTTGTGAATATACGCATGTATTTATGCAGAGAATCCTGATGTCATCATTGTGGATGATGCAATGTCATCTCTCAACCTAGGTGACTGTATAAGCATAGAAAGTAGAGAGTGTGGCAAACCACCAGTATGGCTCGCTACAAAATATATTCCAAGAAGAAGGGCAAGCAGCTGATCAACAAGGACCACCTATTGTTGACACAGCTGCGTATGGATGGGAAATAAAGGATGGATTCCCGATACCAGGTACTAATCCTACACTCCCCCCCCCCCCCTTCTCCTGATAATTTGATAGATGTGATCAGCTTTGGGTGCAAATGTGAACAAGGCCTCTACAAGGCCTTTAGGAGGGAAGGTTGTTGCTGTCATGGACATGGCATGTCATGTACAGTTTACTTTTTGTGTGGTAGTGGTAACGGATGTTTTAGTCCATTCACAAAAAGATGAGTTTGCTAAACAGGGTGAGCCAGATCTGGGTTTCTAGACGCCAATACTGTGACGATTTTATGAGTTTTCGAAATATTGCGGCCCTGATTTGCATAAACACAATAATTATGCTTTAAATCCTTTTCAAATGAGTTTATCTTATTCTTTAACCTTGAAAACAGGAGTTTAGTTTAGACAAAACTATTGTATATTGTAATTTTACTTTATTCGTAGTCTTGAATATTTCTGAGATAATTCAACGATTGCTGCCCTAATTTGCATAATCACAATGATTATTGATTTTATCCTTATTATCATTTTATCTTATTCTTTGACCCAGAAAACCTGGGTTTAGACACCAGTTTTGTTGTGCTACTTTGCTTAGTTTCAGACATTTTGAAGATAATCAATAATTTGATAATGGCCACGCCAGGCCACCTTAATTTGCATAATCAGAATCATTATTGTTTAAGTTTTTTTTATAATTCTATCTTATTATTTGACCCCAAAAACTGGGTTTAGACACCAGCATTGTGAGTTTTGTGCGCTTAGTTTTCGAAATACAGGGTGGTCAAAAAAACCGGCAACCCTAGTTTTTCCTAATATCTTTGTCATTCTAAGGAATAACTCCCTGATATTTTACACATTTGTACATCATTCAATTTCCTACCAACCTACTATATTTCATGACCATCGGACTGATAGTTACAATTTTACTGTATTTTAAGCATCATACCCCAGATGGCCACTTTCGGGCTATCTGAGCTGGTCTGTTATCCAAATGAACTCCATTTCCTACTTGATGCACTGGTAAACTCTAACAATTATGTATTCTTGGGGAGCCAAGCACTTTATGAAGTAGTGGAAAGGCACCTTCACACAGACAGATGCACAGTTTAGTGTGTTCTCAGAAGATAGATTTACCTTTGATGATGCTAACAGATATGCAATAACTGTCAACATCAAACTCTATTTTGTGATTCCCATGGAGTTCTTGGGGACTTTAGGTGAACCCAGGGGGGTTGTTAGGCAGCAACAGTGGTTCCAACAAGACAGAACCATACCCCACACACCCAATGATTCACAATAATGGCTTTGGGACCACTTCAATGACCACATTATCAGCAGTACAACAGACAATGATTGGGCACCCCATAGCCCAGATATGGCCCCATTTAATCTTTACCAGTGGGGATACCCCAAAGATAGAGTGTAGGGTAATAACACCAGAAAGACACTTGGCCTCACAATAAGGATCACATGTCTCGTTCAGGCCATACTTGCTGAGGAATGCAGTTAAGTCATTGACAGGTTTGGAAAACGTGTGTAGGTTTGCCTACAGCACGATATTGGAAAACTGGGGCACCTTGTTTAAAGTGCTGTAACATTGCAACTATCAGCCCAATGTTCATGAAATAATACAGTCTGGTATGAAATTGAATGGTGTACATATGTGCCAAATATCAGGGCAATATTTCCAAAAATGATAAAGATATGAGGAAAAATTAGGGTTGCCGTATTTTTTACCACCCTGTATTAGGGATAATCAATAATTCAATAATGGCCGCCCTAATTTGCATAATCATAATCAATATCTTTTTCTAATAAGGCCCAATTTATCTTAGTTCTTTTACCCTGAAAACCTAGGTTTAAGGACCAATATTGTGATGCTACTATACTTTGTCTTCGAAATATTGAAGGTAATCACTTTTTCAATAATGGCTGCCTTTACTTCGCAAAATAATAAAATAATTGTTCTAATCTTGATTATTGTAATTTCATCTTATTCCCTGACCCTGAAAACCTGGGCTTAGATACCAATATTGTGATGTTTCTGTACTTAGTTTTCTAAATATTGAAGAAAATCCCGTTTTAGAAAATGGCCGCCTTCATTTGCATATATAATTTTTTCCCCAGAGTTGCCTTTTGTCCAACCCAGTTAAATCACTTCATAAAACCCTTATGATAGTGATTACACAATAAAACATCGTACTTTTACATATTTCTACGTTCAGAAAATGACAAATGGACTATAGTGGTTTCTCTTGATTCCTTACAAATCAAAAATGCATGCACATAAGCACGGTGTTATAGCATGACAGTTACGCCACCTCTGAAAACGAGATTAGACGACTACAATCACTGATTTATCCAATAAAATGGCCGCGATGGCACAGAGAACTAAGGTTGGTGCATTATTTTCTTCTACTGTGTATCAATGAAAGGGTGAACGATTAATGTAGGCATCGCATTCGGTGATGCATTTAGTAATGTATATTTTGAACGTATTCTTTTCAAAATGCCCGGGGATAACATGCAATAAGCGAAATTCAAAACTACACAAAATTTGGTAATTTGTTTATTTTTGTCGTTAGGACATGGTCTACATTACTTCACGACCTCGGGGTAGATAGATGTAACCTACATACGATCATAAAAAGCCAATTGAGCATTGGAAACCACCTAATATGTTCTACTTAAGCCAAATTTATTGACGGTTACGCGAACCTCGTTCAAATATGTATCCCAGATTCATTGTTATTAATTTTGTCATATTCATCAGTACGTGATGTTAATTCTTCTTTTGCCTCTTCATTGCTATCTTTTTGACTTAAATTGGTTTCATAAATAAAGCAAGACACAGTTTTTTCCTTACCCTATAGAGGGTCAAACAAAAGCGTCTCTCGCGAGTCCTGAAAACAAATATACACAATTCTAATATTCCATTTCTTACCCCGGATTTTAACAATGACATGAAAAGAGGCTATCAGAACTAGCAACATTGACTTGAAAGGTGTACATGCACGTAACCGTCCGCTAAATATCTAATGTACAACTAATACAATACGTTACCGTCCATAGAATTCATACGTAGTTGTCTAACGACATTGCGTTTGAAACCTTATTTTTTACAATATGACCACGTTCCTGTTTTGGATTTGTCATTTTATGGCTTGTTTATACACAGTTTACTTACTAATAATAGTTTGAATGGCTCTGAGGCACATATACATGTACTGAGAAATCACGAGAATGGACTAAAAATTATGAACTTGGACATCTCAGTCGGTAAGTTTATAGCTTATATTCCGCTTCTAGTAAACCACCTGGCAGATTTGACCCAGTCTTTATAACCATCTATTTATACGTCACCGAACGGAACTATTTGAAAAGAAAATCTTATCTGTGAATCTTGCCTACAGGCGAGAAAGAGAACATGCTGTCTTTCCCATCCGCCATTTTTTGTTATCGTTACCGCAAAATTTTGCAAAATGCCTTGCCGTAACCGTCATGCTATAACACCGTGATAAGGTGATCTAGTATTTCAACACAGGACCCTGAAAGCTCTATTTGAGCTTGAAGTAGATGTATTCATAGTATTAATGTTTGTATTATTAATCTCTATGGTTTTTCAATAGGCTAACTCAGTCAGTGAATGCAGGATTAAAACACAACACACACGAGTAATTCACCCACCTATGTATGTTATTATTGAAAAACATTGCCATCTTTTACATCACTTCTAAATTATTTTTGTAAACATGCATTTTAAGAGGTTCATTTTTTCCAAAAAAAACTCAAAAATAAACTTCATGGAGTTCCTTATATATTTTACGTGATGAAACATGTGTTCAAGTACAATGTAACTTTGCATGAAAAATTGTAAAAAAAATGATGGACGATGGTGAAAATGACGAATGTATTTTGAAAAAGCTTGTTGATGGGTGGATTAAACATGGATTATAAGATAATCCAATTGATCTGGAAACTATTCTTTGAACTTTCCTTGAAGATTATAGATTCGCCTTTCACAAGCATTTACTTTTTACAGCCAGAAACTACTCACAAAAAAATTATCAACTGCCAAAAGTCAGTTGCGATACTTTCCCTGCCCCTTTGGCCGACAATAAAAACGCAGATACAATTTTTTTTTTACAAAATGATCTCATAAAACTACTGTTATAACAGTGACGCGAGTTATTGCAATACAGGCCATTCGAACAAATCCCAACATGGCCCGGGCCCCCCCCCCTTGGGTGGGCCCAGAAAAAAAAATGGGGCCAAAAAGGCCTTAAGGCCCCCAAAAAGTCGGCCTTTTTGGTCATTACTGAGCCTTTTAAGGCCTTATTTTTTAAATTCAGGCCAAATTTTGAAGAAAATGGGCGTCAACATTTCAAAATTTGGGCCCACGTTTTTTTCTCTGACCTGAAATTTGGCCCCCCCCCCCCCCCCCTTGTTGGTTCCCAGATCCGCCCCTGCACTTGGTTGTATGCTTTCAACTATGTAACACACTATATAAATAAAAATGAATAAAAAAAGTTCAATATGTCAAACTCTGAAACATGCGATTCCCACACTTCAAAACTGAGGTAAGATGATGATTTGAAAAGAATTCCAAATCAAAAGAATTTTATTTGGTATTTCATTTTATAATAGAGGAGTGTTCATAATGACCTCATGCACCTATATAGTTAGTTACTGAATTGTGGTTGCAAATGCAAATATTTCCGAAGAGTAATATTTATTTAATCATGACGCACACCTAAACGTCTTTTTTACTACACGAATACTCTCAATTGGTACTCAAGATATCCATTGTGCTCCGTAGACTTTAACTCTATTTGTTCTTTGTTTGAATTGAAAATGAAAAACATATATGAGTATTGATCTTTTTCAGACAGCAAAGGTAAGTTTAAAACAGAAATACTTCTTACGAATCCAAATTACACTTTAAACTTAGAATTGTGATCTACGATCTTATGGGTATGTTACAAATTTGATTAGATACATTCACTCAGCAGGCCGTTAAACAAATAATTTACTTTACAAGCGTAACCATAGGTAACTTCGATTTTAGTATGTTCAAGTTCTGTGAAAACAAAGGCAAGGTTTATGTTTTATGAACATTCCGATTTGATAGCAAACTTTATTTTTGAGTGTATTAAATCAAATAAAGCTTATTGCGTCGGGACCTGTACGTTCGCCCAATTAAAGGCAAATGTGCCGTCAATTAAGAAACTCAGTAAAAAGTTTTTCATGCAATCATAAGTTCACAGAAAATAGAATGAAAAAATAGAAAAGATCTAAAAAACAACAACTTTTAGTTCAAATTATTTAAGTCAATATAAAAATAGCTGCCATAGGATAAATATGATATCGGGCTATCATTTTAATCCACTCTTGGATATCGCCGTCTTCCACTCATTCGCTGCGCTCACTCGTGGAGATTGGCGATATCCTCTCATGGATAAAAATGGTATCCCTCAAAAATCATAGGATATCCTCTATGTATTACACTCTTTTACTAGATCACTTACATGTATAAGAATAAGACTGATTTTTATTAGTGACAGTATACCCGGAACAGGGTAGTTGTGTGATATTTTTCTGAAAAATAAACGTTTCATTATAGTTTATAGCTCTACACAAAAATTATAGAAAAAAATATCCCAATGAATAATGTTTCGTTCTTTCTATAGAACAATAATGAAGCTAGTGAAAATGCACACCCCTATATGAATATTATTAATAAAAACTCTATTGTTTTATTTATGTATTCTTTTATCTGTAGAAAGAATGGAAGTTGAGGCAGTGTTGATACAGAATCTTGCTTGCATACATACATGTATACCTTACTAGCAGAGACAGATCCAAAAGGAATTTAGACATTTCAGCTACTAAAAGCCCATGGGCCAATAGCAAAAGTAAGAATGAAAGTTAAGGCAGTGGTCACCAGTGTTGCTTTCGGAATCATAATTGTATATGTATACCTTGTCAATTTCCCAGCTTTTAAAAAGCCAGTTGCAAACACGTGGATTAATGATAGGCAAATGAATCCTGAAAAACAGTATAACAACACATTGGATAATAAACATCAAGAGGGTGTTCCACAACAAAGGCGGAAGGTTAATACAGCACATCAGACTAAAAGAGGTGTTTTCTATCTGAAAGTTAACAAAGCGGGGAGCTCCACACTCCAAGCAATGTTTAATGGATATGCTGATAAACACGACCAAATAGTTGGAATGCCATGCAGTAATTCTGGTGTTGAGAGACACTTGGTTGGATGGCCCGAACCATTTAAACCAGAACATCTCATCCCTCTGAGCAAGAACTACACATATTGGGAACATCTAAATGAGCATATAAAATACAGTTCAAAAATCAAACAAGTTATGGCCCCAGGGAGTGTATTCGTCGCATCAATCCGTGAACCATTTTCACATTTCTTTTCATATTATAACTTTTACTACATGGAGAAAACCTATGAAGGATATCTTAAAGGGCCTAATAAATTTAAATATTTTTTAGATAACATTAAAACTATGCCGCACCTTGAACTAATCCACCATATGCCTCCTAGTAACCCAATTGCACAATGTTTTGGAATCAAACAGGAGGAACTATATAATACCATAGCAATACAAGAAAAAATCGAAGAGATTGAAAAGGAGTTTGACTTAGTAATAGTAGTTGAGCACATAGAGGAGAGCCTGATTTTGTTGACCGAATGCTCGGATTTAACAATTGAAGATGTAGTTATTTTGAAAAATGCAAATGTCAGGAACCTTAAAAAATCCAAACCAATTTTAACTCCAAATGAGTACGAGAACCTCATCCAATGGAACTTAGCTGACACAATGATATACAATCATTTCAATAAAACTCTATGGGAAAAGATTGACAATTTTGGCCGTGACAAAATGGCCATAAAGATAAAAGAACTCCGAATGGCTCAATCAATAAAGCAGAAAGAATGTGACTCTGTTAAGACAAAACCTAATTTGAAAAGAATAGAAGATTTGAAAATAAAACATGACTGTATGATCCAAAACCTAGATTATATAGGTGCTGATAAATACTTCAGGAATAAGATGACTGAGAAAGGAATCTATGATATTGAAATAGCTCAAAAAACTTGTAAATATCCTCCTGGAAAACATGGGGAATAGCGTGAAAATGTGAGCAAATATAAACATTTAAAATCATTAAGTATTTAAGCCCTGGCCTGGACTCAGTGCATTGTGGACTGAATCATATTTTTCTGAAGTTGTTGTTTTCAAAGAACATGACCGCGAAGAGGGGATGCAACATTTAGGAAATAATGCCTGGTTGGAATGAATCCGCCACAATGCATCAAGTCTCGGGCTTAAATTCTTTTCACACATTGCAAAATATTTTCTATGAAATCACCTAAAAGATACAAATTCACTAAAAGAACATATTTTCAATGAAACTTTTTGCAAGGTTCAAGTTGGCAAAGCATCAATTTCAATCTGTGGAGTCCAGTTGTCAACTTGACAACCATTAAATGAATGACTGTGGTTGTTGTGATTGGTTAATCAATGCACTGCAATTAAATGAATTACTGTGTTCGGATTGGCTGAAATTGGACACATACACCTTGGCTAGTTTTGCGTGAATTAATAATGAAAGAACATCTGAATTTCTGTATCTGTACACATATTACTATTTATCCCACCGAACAAAGTTCGAGGGGGATATAGAGAAGTCGTCCGTTCGTCCGTCCGTCCGTGTGTCCGGGCGATAACTCCAATAACGGTTGACGGAATTAGTTCAAATTTTATAGGCTTATGCCTTATGAGTGTAGGACCTCTGCTATTTTTCAATTCGGCCGCTCAATTCAAAATGGCCGCCATTTTTCTTTAAAAATGTAATCGTTGATAACTCAAATACAATTTGACAGGTTTGGTTCAAATTTTATATGCTGATGCCTAGGGACAAAGGAGTTTCGCACAAAAATAGATTTTCAAGATGGCCGCTTAATTTTTAAATGGCGGCCATTTTTCGTAAAAATATGTAATCTTTGATAACTCAAATACCAGTGAACAGATTTGGTTGAAATTTTATATGATTATGCCCAGGGACACAATAGCTATGTTCAAGAAATAATTTTCAAGATGGCCGCTAAATTTCAAGATGGCGGCCAATTTTCGTAAAAAACGTAATCTTTGATAACTCATATACCAGTGAACAGATTTGGTTCAAATTTTATATGATGATGCCTTGTTCACAATAGTATAAACTAACTTTGTGCCAAATTTCATGCTTCTTTCACAAAGTGCACAAACATTTCAACATTTACACTAGCTATAATAAGCATAGTATGTTTTGTTCGGTCGGATTTGCTACTCCGTGGAGTTGCTGTTTTTCTAGTTACATTTTGATTACAGTTTATATGGATTGGACCCTATTATCATTAGGGTTACAATGTACAGTAGGCTTGCTTTTTTAAACAAACTATACGGGATAGAGTATTTAAAATGCTTCAAGCGTTCTTTTCAAAAAGTATGTCAATGTTTTCATTACAATTGAAATATCTGATCAAATATGGAAGTTGATGTAGATTTAAGATGAAGAAATGGTCAAAATTAGAACTTATCTTTTTTGGAGGAAACTCTTTGTGTCAATTTTGTTTGTAGTTTATGATGTTTTATTAGATTTCGGATGTTTTGAATCAATATTTCTTCCACACTCCCTCCATAAGTTTGGCAAACAAAAGTCCGATTTTGGGTCACTTATCAAAACCTGTCAATTAAATAAATTTATCTCTGTCATGAATCCAAATATTGTAGTTTAAGGAATAGAATTAAGATTCAAATATCGACAGGCTTTGATGTGCTATCCAGTAGAAACTTTGGGTTGCCAAACGTATGGAGGGGAGTGTAAATTGAATCTAGTTTATTGAATATGATGAGCATCTGATCATTGTGTGAATATCAATTGCATTTTGGCCAAAATATTTTTCACACTACCCTCCCCCGTCATACTGTAGCCTGTATTTATTTAAAAGCAATACAGGCTACAATGAAGTAGCAAATGGATGATGTTTGTTTATTACCATTCTTCTGAAGGTATACTAGATTTTACATATATTCCAAGTGTTCTACAATACATATACATGTACCTGTAATTACCATGGGAAATTTCATGGTTTTCCATGATTATTTCCATGGAATACCAGTATTTACCACGGAATACTGGTGGTAATTCTCATGGAAAGCATGTTTTTTTAAGGGAAAGCAGCAGGGTGTTAAATCTGATTGCAACACATTTCAATGTATATGTAACAAATTCAACCAACCATTCAAACGGTTTTATGAATACATTTATAAGCCTATTAAAATTTCTAATGTACAGGTATACTGTATGTTAACGGATCACATATTGTTCACATTAACAAATGTCTATATCTTGGCTAAGTCTACTCAATCTATGCTAGTACTTTTTAGAAGTTCATGGTCTGCTGTACTTTTAGTGAAAATCTGGTCAATCCATCGCAGTCGTTATTGTGGATATTAAACAGAATTTTTCACGAAATAATGTAAGTAAAAAAAGTAGGTCGAATCAGTCTATTTATGGATGGTGTCAAATTATCAATTGTTGTTGAATGACAAGGCTAGGTTTGTTAGTGGGATGGGAGTGAATGATGGTTTTGTTTGCGAAATCGTGTTGATTTTTTAATATTTAAGTGAAAGAAAAACCCACATTTTCAAATGTTAGCTAAGGGGAGGGGGTTCAAACCATAATGAAAGTCCCTTTCAATGCCTCTATAATTCGACACCAACCCAAATAGTAATGGAACGGTGTAGTTGTGTAATATTTTCTTAAAAATAAACTTTTTATTTTGGTATATATCTCTACACAAAAATTATAGAAAAAAATATCCCAAACAATATTGTTTGTTCTTTCTATAAAACAATAATGAAGCTAATGACCCCCACAGACCCCTATATGAATATTATCAATAAAAAAACGAGTATTTATTTATGTATTGTTTTTCTGTAGAAAGAATGGGAATTGAGGCAGTGTTGATACGGAGTCTTGCTTGCATACATACATGTATACCTTATACTTATTAGCCTTTTGCGGATTGTAGATGTAGATGTTACATTGTGGAACGCAGCCAAACGCGACAATGAATATCAACATGTTATTGCCTTCAGTGTCGTGTTTGGCTGCGTTCCTCAATGTAACCTAGCAGGCGGGATGACATATATAGAACACACTGCTAAGTAGACACACGGTAACATTTCATTATTTCGTTATTTTAACCATATGAACTTATCCAGAGAATTTGTGTTTTGATTCTAGTAGCAGATACAGATCCAAAAGGAATTTAGACATTTCAGCTACTAAAAGCCCATGGGCCAATAGCAAACGTGAGAATGGAAGTTAAGGCAGTGGTCACCAGTGTTGCTTTCGGAATCTTACTTTTATACGTATACCTTGTCAATTCAGACAAATCCATGGGGAATGTTGACATCCCAGCTTTTAAAAAGCCAGATGCAAACACGTGGATTAATGATAGGCAAATGAATCCTGAAAAACAGTATAACAACACATTGGATAATAAACAACAAGAGGGTGTTCCACAACAAAGGCGGAAGGTTAATACAGCACATCAGACTAAAAGAGGTGTTTTCTATCTGAAAGTTAACAAAGCGGGGAGCTCCACACTCCAAGCAATGTTTAATGGATATGCTGATAAACACGACCAAATAGTTGGAATGCCATGCAGTAATTCTGGTGTTGACAGACACTTGGTTGGATGGCCCGAACCATTTAAACCAGAACATCTCATCCCTCTGAGCAAGAACTACACACATTGGGAACATCTAAATGAGCATATAAAATACAGTTCAAAAATCAAACAAGTTATGGCCCCAGGGAGTGTATTCGTCGCATCAATCCGTGAACCATTTTCACATTTCTTTTCATATTATAACTTTTACTACATGGAGAAAACCTATGAAGGATATCTTAAAGGGCCTAATAAATTTAAATATTTTTTAGATAACATTAAAACTATGCCGCACCTTGAACTAATCCACCATATGCCTCCTAGTAACCCAATTGCACAATGTTTCGGAATCAAACAGGAGGAACTATATAATACCATAGCAATACAAGAAAAAATCGAAGAGATTGAAAAGGAGTTTGACTTAGTAATAGTAGTTGAGCACATAGAGGAGAGCCTGATTTTGTTGACCGAATGCTCGGATTTAACAATTGAAGATGTAGTTATTTTGAAAAATGCAAATGTCAGGAACCTTAAAAAATCCAAACCAATTTTAACTCCAAATGAGTACGAGAACCTCATCCAATGGAACTTAGCTGATTCAATGATATACAATCATTTAAATAAAACTCTATGGGAAAAGATTGACAATTTTGGCCGTGACAAAATGGCCATAAAGATAAAAGAACTCCGAATGGCTCAATCAATAAAGCAGAAAGAATGTGACTCTGTTAAGACGAAACCTAATTTGAAAAGAATAGAAGATTTGAAAATAAAACATGACTGTATGATCCAAAACCTAAATCATGTAGGTGCTGATAAATACTTCAGGAATAAGATGACTGAGAAAGGAATCTATGATATTGAAAAGGCTCAAAAAACTTGTAAATATCCTCCTGGAAAACATGGGGAATAGTATTGTAAGAGCAATATTTCTTTGTAAACAAAGCCCATTAATGCTATATCAGACTTGTACTTAAATGATTTTATGAGTCGTTTTTGATTTTTCATGATGAATGAGAAGCATTCTGGAAATTATATCATATGTGTATACAGTTATTGTATAGTTATTATAATCATATATTAGTGAATCTATAATCATTTATGATAATCTGCATTTGATTTGCTTTCACCTAAATTATATTTGAGAGCAAATAGCTGCGAGAATTTTATCTTAAAGCCTCGTGCAATAATACCTGGCACAACCCGAAACAAAACTAACAAACAACCAAACACATCCCATTGTCAAATTAACAAAACGCAACCAGGGACAGGACAACACAAAAACGAACACCACAACCTGCAGCTGATACTACAATAATGAATGTGTCAAAATATGAAATAATATTAATTATTTTAAGTGCATGATTGATGGTAAAATTAATTAACAAAATTCACAATTATTCTAAGATACAGAATGATTTAAATAAGTCATCCGATTTGAATTTCTCAAAACACAAAATATAGCAAGATAGATTTCACAATTTCTAACATTGCATACCGCAATATATAGTATAATACAAATTTACATGTACAAACTATTTTTACTCTATTCATCTTGCAACCACCAGAGCAGAAATTTCAATATTTGTGCATTACTATATTATAGGTACAATATGCAGTGTACATAACATAATAAAATGCATTTATTGAAATAAAACTGGATTTTGTTAAATGAAAATAATTTGATATCAACATAAGACCATTTGTGAATTTAACTTTCTAAATGCGTATTAGTATTACATTACATAGAATAAATTTTCCCACAATGCAACTGAATCAAATTTCTGCAATTTAATTTCGCAAACAAAGTTACAGGTCATCATACCTAACAATGGTACGTCACGGTCATAATCCTAGTGTGATTATTTGCGAGATCCACCCCTTTTACAAAATTGGCATAATACCCACTACCATCTTCGAATTCCAAGTGGTTATAACCGTTTTATTTGTTCAGAAAGACCCTCACATTAGAAATAATTTCAATGAATTAAATTAAAGGTCATTATTCGAAAAGACGCATAATCCATTTATAAAAATATCAAACAATGTTTAATTTGTATCGATGTACCAATCAATTTTAAAACAATTGCACTTACTCAAAATTAAGGATTAAGCAAGACATTTAACTGCAGTTAAATGTATGAAATTGTCATATTGTAGATGGTTCAGCTTTACATACCTTATTCTTTTGAAACATGCGGAATACTATTAATCAAAGCATGTTCTTCACACATTTTTTACGTAAGACTTTCAATTGTATTGTGCACAAATAACCCATTTAAGTGGTTGGGTATCTTTGAATTTAAAGGAGGTTATAACACAAGTTGAAGCAACTTAAACTTTGAAAATCAAGATGTCGGTTGGGTATTACACTGGCGGATCTGGGGGGGTAGGGGCCCAGAAAAAAATTTGCCCCAAAAATTTTGAGCCAAAAAAGGCCTTTAGGCCCCAATAAGTGGGCCTTTTTGGTCATAAATGGGCCGTATAAGGCCTTATTTTTTTTATTCTAGGCCAAATTTTGAAAATTTGGGCCCACTTTTGGGTTTTAGGGGCCCAAAGTTATTTTTCTCAGAATAGAAGTTTGCCCCCCCCCCTTGTTGGTTCCTAGATCTGCCCCTGTATTAGGTATGTAACATGCCTGAAAAAGATATAAGGATATCGATATAAAGACTGTGAGGTGTATTATCAGAGTTAAGAAGGCTAGTTTTGGATAAATCATGCAATATTAAAAATTATATTTTTGTCACCTCTAACTTTTGACGTAATTGTCTGTTTTCAACGAGAATATATATTAAAAGTTCATGTTCTGCTGTACTTTTAGTGAAAATCTGGTCAATCCATCTCAGTCGTTATTGTGGATATTAAAGATTCGCGCAATCTTTATCCAATCAGCGTTTGCGATGTGTATCGGCTCACGTATAAAATGCAAATCCAACTCCAAATCCATGCAGGGGTGTATGAGGTACTCGAATCGGAAAGAGTTCGTGAAATCTGAATTTACATGCACACGGTCAATGTTTACACATGTTTGGAGTTATTGAAGAAAGTGTGATATGGGGGTGGTTCCGAATTTGAAGTCATTGCTGGAAAATATGATTTTAATACGTGAAATTATATCTATAAATACAGCAATAAAAATAACAGTACATATGATTGTGTCCAGAAATGTTTGAAACCCTTACGGAATATTCTGTCTGCATTTTGTCACCATTGCTCTTTCTTCCCGCATTCTAGTGCTATTTGAATGAATATACTTATTAATGTATTTCTAACTAAAATATATCACTTTTTTATAAACCACAAACATTTAGATCATAAAAAAATTATTCAGTACTTGAGTGAGCACGATATGCAAGGGTTACTAAGTTGACACACTAAATGACCACTGATATTGAGTTAGTCCATGCACACAGCGTATTCTGCTAATACACTTTTGCTAACACCCCTCACTTTCATAGTGAAGTGACTAATTGGTTTATGTTTACGTTTTAATGTGTTTTGTGTTCCTTGGAGGGGGTTCAAATAATAATGGATGTCACTTTCAATGACTCGATAATTCGCCACCAACCCTAACAGCTGAGGCCCAGGAATACGTTAAAAATGTTTAAAATGACCGCTAGTGTACTGAGTTGTTAATGCGTGGTGTATACGTGTTTATCCGACGAATACTAAATAAATATTGGGATAACGACACAAGATAATTCTGGTATGCGTCACTAAAATCGTATCTGACTCATATGACGTCTTAAAAATCGTATCCGACTCATTTGACGTCTTAAAAATAGTATCCGTCGGATACGATTTTTCCATTAGTTTTTAACTTGGCGCCAAATAACTACTTGTCTGTCTGTTCAGTAAAAAGTTTTTCATGCAATCATAAGTTCACAGAAAATAGAATGAAAAAATAGAAAAGATCTAGAAAACAACATTAGTTCAAATTATTTTAAGTCAATATAGAAATAGCTGCCATAGGATAAATATGATATCCTATGATTTTCTCGGGCTATCATTTTTATCCACTCTTGGATATCGCCGTCTTGCACTCATTCGCTGCGCTCACTCGTGGAGATGGGCGATATCCACTCATGGATAAAAATGGTATCCCTCAAAAACCATAGGATATCCTCTATATATTACACCCTTTTACTAGATTACTTACATGTATAAGAATAAGACTGATTTTTATAAGCTTAGTGGATAAGAATAAGACTGATTTTTTTATTAGTGACAGTATACCCGGGCATCAGCCTAACAGTAATGGAACAGGGTAGTTGTGTGATATTTTTCTTTCTATAGAACAATAATGAAGCTAGTGAAAATGCACACCCCTATATGAATATTATTAATAAAAAACTCTATTGTTTTATTTATGTATTCTTTTATCTGTTGAAAGAATGGGAATTGAGGCAGTGTTGATACAGAATCTTGCTTGCATACATACATGTATACCTTACTAGCAGAGACAGATCCAAAAGGAATTTAGACATTTCAGCTACTAAAAGCCCATGGGCCAATAGCAAAAGTAAGAATGGAGGTTAAGGCAGTGGTCATCAGTGTTGCTTTCGGAATCATACTTGTATACGTATACCTTATCAATTTAGACAAATCGATGGGGAATATAGACATCCCAGCTTATACAAAGCCAGTTGCAAACAAGTGGATAAATGATAGGCAAATGAATCCTGAAAAACAGTATAACAACACATTGGATAATAAACAACAAGAGGTCGTTGCACAACAAAGGCGGAAGGTTAATACAGCACATCAGACAAGCAGAGGTGTTTTCTACCTTAAAGTTAACAAAGCGGGGAGCTCCACACTTCAAGCAATGTTTAATAAATATGCTGATAAACACGACCAAATTGTTGGAATACCATGTAGTCATTCTGCTGGTGAGAGACACTTAGTGGGATGGCCTGAACCATTCAAACCAGAACATTTAATCCCTCTGAGCAAGAACTACACATATTGGGAACATCTAAATGAGCATATAAAATAAAGTTCAAAAATCAAACAAGTTATGGCCCCAGGGAGTGTATTTGTAGCTTCCATACGTGAACCATTTTCACATTTCTATTCATATTATAACTTTTACAAAATGGAGAACACTTATATAGGTTATCTCAAAGAGCCTGATAAATTTAGATATTTTGTAGGTAATGTTAAAACTATGCCGCACCTTGAATTAATCTACCACATGCCTCCTAGTAATCCAATTGCACAATGTTTCGGAATTAAACAGGTGGAACAATATAATACCATAGCAATACAAGAAAAAATTGAAGAGATCGAAAAGGAGTTTGACTTAGTTATAGTAGTTCAGCACATAGAGGAGAGCCTGATTTTGTTGACAGAATGCTCGGATTTAACAATTGAAGATGTAGTTATTTTGAAATATGCAAATGTCAGGAACTTTAAAAAATCCAAACCAATTTTAACTCCTAATGAGTACGACAACCTCATCCAATGGAACTTAGCTGACACAATGATATACAATCATTTCAATAAAACTCTATGGGAAAAGATTGACAATTTTGGCCGTGGCAAAATGGACATAAAGATAAAAGAACTCCGAATGGCTCAATCAATAAAGCAGAAAGAATGTGACTCTGTTAAGACGAAACCTAATTTGAAAAGAATAGAAGATTTGAAAATAAAACATGACTGTATGATCCAAAACCTAAATTATATAGGTGCTGATAAATACTTCAGGAATAAGATGACTGAGAAAGGAATCTATGATATTGAAAGAGCTCAAAAAACTTGTAAATATCCTCCAGGAAAACATGGGGAATGGCGTGAAAATGTGAGCAAATATAAACATTTAAAATCATTAAATATTTAAGCCCTGGCCTGGACTCAGTGCATTGTGGACTGAATCATATTTTTCTGAAGTTGTTGTTTTCAAAGAACATGACCGTGAAGAGGGAATGCAAAGTTTAGGAAACAACGCCTGGTTGGAATGAATCAGCCACAATGCATCAAGTCTCGGGCTTAAATTCTTTTCACACATTGCAAAATATTTTCTATGAAATCACCTAAAAGATACAAATTCACGAAAAGAACATATTTTCAATGAAACTTTTTGCAAGGTTCAAGTTGGCAGAGCATCAATTTCAATCTGTGGAGTCCAGTTGTCACCTTGACAACCATTTAATGAATGACTGTGGTTGTTGTGATTGGTTAATCAATGCACTGCAATTAAATGAATTACTGTGTTCGGATTGGCTGAAATTGGACACATACACCTTGGCTAGTTTTGCGTGAATCAATAATGAAAGAACATCTGAATTTCTGTATCTGTACACATATTACTATTTATCCCACCGAACAAAGTTCGAGGGGGATACAGAGAAGCCGTCCGTCCGTCCGTCGTGTGTCCGGGCGATAACTCCAATACCGGTTGACGGATTTGGTTCAAATTTTATAGGCTTATGCCTTATGAGTGTAGGACCTCTGCTCGAGAAGGAATTTTCAATTCGGCCGCTCAATTCAAAATGGCCGCCATTTTTCTTAAAAAATGTAATCGTTGATAACTCGAATACAATTTGACAGATTTAGTTCAAATTTTATATGCTGATGCCTAGGGACAAAGGAGTTTCGCACAAAAATAGATTTTCAAGATGACCGCTTAATTTTAAAATGGCGGCCATTTTTCGTAAAAATATGTAATCGTTGATAACTCGAATACCAGTGAACAGATTTGGTTGAAATTTTATATGCTTATGCCTAGGGACACAGTAGCTCTGTTCAAGAAATTATTTTAAAGATGGCCGCTAAATTTCAAGATGGCGGCCAATTTTCGTAAAAAACGTAATCTTTGATAACTCATATACCAGTGAACAGATTTGGTTCAAATTTAATATGATGATGCCTTGTTCACAATGGTATAAACTAACTTTGTGCCAAATTTCATGCTTCTATCACAAAGTGCACAAACATTTCAACATTTACACTAGCTATGATAAGCATAATATGTTTTGTTCGGTGGGATTTGCTACTCCGTGGAGTTGCTGTTTTTCTAGTTACATTTTGATTACAGTTTATATGAAATGGACCCTATTATCATTAGGGTTACAATGTACAGTAGGCCTGCTTTTTTAAACAAACTATACGGGATAGAGTATTTAAAATGCTTCAAGCGTTTTTTTTCAAAAAGTATGTCAATGTTTTCATTACAATTGAAATATCTGATCAAATATGGAAGTTGATGTAGATTTAAGATGAAGAAATGGTCAAAATTAGAACTTATCTATTTTGGAGGAAACTCTTTGTGTCAATTTTGTTTGTAGTATATGATGTTTTATTAGATTTCGGATGTTTGAATCAATGTTTCATTCACACTCCCTCCATAAGTTTGGCAAACAAAAGTCCGATTTTGGGTTACCTATCAAAACCTGCTAATATTTGGCAATTAAATAAAATTCATCTCTGTCATGAATCCAAATATTGTAGTTTAAGGAATAGAATTAAGATTCAAATATCGACAGGCTTTGATGTGCTATCCAGTTAAAACTTTGGGTTGCCAAACGTATGGAGGGGAGTGTAAATTGAATCTAGTTTATTGAATATGATGAGCATCTGATCATCGTGTGAATATCAATTGCATTTTGGCCAAAATATTTTTCACACTACCCTCCCCCGTCATACTGTAGCCTGTATTTATTTAAAAGCAATACAGGCTACAATGAAGTAGCAAATGGATGATGTTTGTTTATTACCATTCTTCTGAAGGTATACTAGATTTTACATAATATTCCAAGTGTTCTACAATACATATACATTCATCAAGCAGTTTGCACTCTAATATTACCAGTAAAGCTATATAGACAAAGATAAAGAATACCCGCTCCATTTGCAACTTCACTGTAGCCTGTATCCCTTTTATTAATAAATACAGGCTACAGTACAGTATGGGGGTAGGGTTGTGTGTATAAAGAGAAAGCTGAAACTGACTCTGATACTGAGCAACATTTATTAATCTCTTAACTACCCGGAGTGTTGAGATTTCTCACAAAATTTTTCACGAGGATTCAAAAGGTTAACACAAAAATGTACCTGATTGGATACAATGTTATAGAAGTTGAGAGTTGATGACATCACTTCCTGCAAAAAAATCTTAAAAGATGGCGGCTCACTGGAAATAAGCACTAGATTTTTAAATGATCAATATTGACCATATTAAAACATTTTCCCATGTTTTGCTAAATATGGAAACTATATATATGATTATAGCTACCATATCAAGAGAGAAAGGGTCTGGCAAGGAATATTCCCTTAAATGAGTTAAAGTTTTCTGGTGTTTAAGTTATTGTTATAAATGTGTGATATAATATGATAATACTAAGCATATACCTCCTTATACCCGAAGCTAAACTCTTTGGGAATAATGCATACAAATGCAATATATTTGTTATAGTTAGTGACACAATTTTGGAAGAAATACAAATATGTTCGTATGTACAATTCAAGTTCTAAAGGGAAAGGACCAAAACATTGTAACAGAACACAACAACATGTAAGAATACGTCAGTCATGAGGAAAACAAAATAAATATCCCAAACCATGATCTAAATAATGTGAAAAGAAACTTGCTTATTATCTATTTACATGTTCTTATTTTGAACGATGTTCATTTAATATAAAATATTGAAAGGATTGGTATCGATATGGAGAAATGAATTCAACAATGTTTTTCTCTTAAACCAATGATTGAAAACATTTTGTAAAAAACACGATATTTTATGTAATGTTGACTGATTGACAATAATTAAATGCGAAAATTATTTAGAAATATTTTATATAACTATTCATTTTTTTGTTTTTTTAGTGCAATTGTTTTTGCTCCTTTCTACCAATTCTTGAGAATGAAATAAAATTTCTTTCCGAACCTTGTTGGAACAAAATAGCATATGCAACATGTTTTTAGACCTCTCAATGTTATAGTTATACAAAGGAATTTTGGGTTGATTTTAAAAAAGTATTCAAAAACTTAAAACAAAATCCCCCCCCCCAAATAGTTAAAAATCAAGATAAACCTTTTATTACATGAACAAGATACTTTTTTAAAATCAACCAAAATTTCCTTTGTACAATTACAATATTGAGAGACCTAAACATGTTGTGTTCATGTCGTTTTGTTCCAATGAGGTTCGGAAAGATGTTTCATTTCACTCTGGAAACATGATACTTAGAACAAAACAAGTGTTTGATGTGTTTTCTAAATCAATGTAGATGAAAGTATGTAATTTTATATATTTTTCAAATTATATTGTTACCATTTAAAATATGACCATTGAATTGACGATGTGTTAAATTTTTAGATTTTTTTTTGATGACTGGTTTAAGAGAAACGTGTGTTCAAAAAGTTCTCCATATCGATACCACTCATTTGTATCAAATATATATTTATACTTTTTTATGAAATTTCGGCGGCCATTTTTAATTGAGCTGCCATATTTAAAATCCAAGACCGGCAGGTCTTGAGAGGTCCCATGCCCGCAAGACATACATGAAATTTGAACCAAATCCGTCAAGTGGTACTTGAATTATCACCTGGACAAATGAACGGAAGGACGGATGGCTTCATTATCAATGGTTTGAATCGATGAAAACTAAAATTCGAAATTGACAATTTTCGTCAGCCATCGTGAATGCGAAGGTGACGGCAGTTACCACTTTGTTCACTGGTTGAAGTCTAGCACTGACTGTGAGTGATGTGAGTTATGAAACAGTACAATATCTGTACTTACTAAAATAAAATAACTTCCATCGCAGTGTAGCACAGATGAGATGAAATTAAACCGTTGCAATTTTAATACTTTCTATTCGGCAGCAGATTACTATGAATAATTGAAATGCATGTCGATCATTACAAAGACACTATATGCCCTCATTCGCAAAACATAGTAAGACCTGGATATCCGAACACCTCACTGTGATTACTATGAATAATTGAAATGCATGTCGATCGTTACAAATACACTATATGCCCTCATTTGCAAAACAAACTGTAGGGAAACCTGTATATCCGAACACCTCACTGTCTTATCATGTCACAACCAGAAGTGGTGACATATTGTTATAATCTCCACTTTTTATGTAGCGTTAGACTGTTGCAATTTGGCGTTCAATGTTTCGGGGGTTGGTGTTCGGATTCTGTAACAAATGACATGTTGGACGTTAATGACACGTTTTAGACTTGCTCTTCTTCATTAATTGCAATACTGTAATACCTGTATATCTGGACACCTCCGTAATCCGAACATGTCTCAACGTGAACAATTTTATCGGTCCAAATCTCCCATAGACTTAAATTTGAACACCTATTCGTTCGCTGGTCCAAATGGCGTTCAAATAAGAGAGATTTTACTGTATTTATACATATACAGTGAAACATGTTAAAAAGTCCTGTACCAATGATCTGAATGTTAAATGAAGTGGAACCCTTCCAAAGTCGAACACTATCTTGGAATAATGAAGATGTTCATATACATCGGTTTAAAAACACTGGTTTTCCATTTACAAACTTAACTTATATTACTGTTTCTTTTATCAATGAGTGGATAATATTATATTATTATTGGATATGTTTTGCAATATTAATCAGCGGAATGTTAGAATCACAGACCTAGGCTATGAAAAACACAACGTCGACTTACATATTGGATATGAATATCCTAGATGCGAGTAGAAATAATCTTGATTTATGTCATTAAATGTTCCAAATTAATGCCTTGGTCACATATGCTCCGATCCATCGGCCGGCGCCCGCCCGATTGAGTGTTTTGTTCAATATTGTATTCAATTTTGAACAAAATACTCAATCGGTCGGGCGCCGTAGAGAAAATCGGAGCCTATGTGACCAAGGCATAAGTCATATTGATGTCATATTTGGAATCTACATGTAAAATTACATCTATAAATGTGGTTTTGAAAAGAGTTTATCAACTTTGAAAATTTTATTTTCTTTGAAAATGTGACCTCTAGGTCGGGGAGGTTCCCCATGTTGTAAAATCACAAAATGGAAATATCTTTTCTTGTGTTGGGCAGATAATATTTTCTTTCACTGGACATATTTGGATTTGTATAACTATCAGATACAAAAGGGTAATATAAAAAAAGAACTAGTAAAACTGATGAATATTCAAGTTTAAGGGAATTTTGCAATACCCTGCCATGCTATTTCCCCCGAATCAGCCACCTGGTGGCGAAACTGGTAACTACCTACTCGCATCTGAGTAATGGAAGAACTTGAAGGGGGTTATGAATACAATATTACAATAATTGTTTTGCCAGTTGTAGGGCAATCAGTAATTCAGTCTTAATTCAATGGTGTGTTATATTTAAATTATATATTATATCATTTGTGATTATATACAATTACATATACTAAAACTCATTAACTTGACAAAATGGATGTAACCTTTAAACCGGATAATAACAACGCAGGATGATGAAATACTAACATCATTAAAGCGATCTTTAATACATGAACTTGGAATAGAAATGTACAGCAATATTCAGTGGCGGATCCTGAGCCTCCCTCCCCCCTCTTTATTGGGCCCAGAATTTCTTTTTAGTTTTTGCGCCTTAAAATTTTGTAGGGCCTCAAAAATCGGCCTTTTGGGCATAACTTGGTCTTTTTGGACCTTTTTGGCAAATTTTTCAAAAGATAAACTTGTCACTCCCTTGTTAATATCTGGATCCGCCACTGATATGGTAATGTATTATCTGCTAAAAAGTACCAGGATATACGTGTAATGGTAAATTACTTATTGGAAGATAGCTAGCATTTGCAGTGTGTACATTAAAACAAAATAACCTATACGTATTACCATGGAACAATGATTCATATGCAATAAGCACTTTTGTATGCATTACATTTGTGAATGAATCTATCTGAACTCGTGCAAATAATTTGGATTATTCGCCAGTCTTCTCCAGTCTTCTGGATTCCTTAAAGGTAGGCCATGCATTTTGTGACTTACGTGATATCCAAGAATCACTTTTTTAGGAGTGATTGCTTTCACTTTTGGAGTGATTGTTCCACATTTTCAAGTGATTGATTTTCAATTTTGGTGTGAATTCTTAAACTTTGGAGTATAGTTATCTAGTACATGGAGTTCTTGGGCATTCTGGGTAAAATTAGAAGTTGCCTTTTTAAAACATGTTGTTTAACATGTTCTTTGTAAGGCTGAGATAAATTAATTATTTGGCTAAATAATATGATGAATGTGTGTTGGGTAATTAACAGATAAACAATTTACTCTGGCCTTATTTAAGATAACCATAAGTTCTAATAATATAATAATAATATGAATGGAAATAAACTATTGATGTACACCATTGTTATCTACCATCATATTTATCAGCTGATTTTGAGTTGTTTTGAAAAATCACATTTGCATTAATTAATAGCTGATATTAATTAAAGGACAGTAACAGATGCTCTTTAAGATAAAATAAGACAATAAACCAATTACTGAAATTAATGACCTGAGAAAAAATTGTTTTGGTTAAGCGTGTAATCATTTTCCCATAAAGGTCAGTCAGGCGAATGTTCGGTGGAATCCGATAAGGTGCTCTTGCCCTCAATCTAGACTATCCGATCGGAAATCATTCAAGTAAATGATAGAAAAGTGTCTTTAAATACAATCTTACTCAGTCCGACAATGTTTAAAAAACAAAAATAATCCTTCTTGGTTAACGCTCAAAGCTGGATGCTTCCTACATGTCCTAGTGTAACGGGAACAGTGTGAGCGTAATCACCATGTTGGAAAACACTACAAAACGTTGACAGACTACCAAATAAAAAAACATCAACCTGTTTTTGTACGACAAAGACGACAACGCGTTTCCACCCGATTGTGGGATCACACATGCATACATAAAACTTTCCAAGTTCAAATTTTTCTCATTTCACGTATAAACATGTTCGTACATTGTACAACGCATTTTATTATCATATTTGATATGGTTTTACCAGAGTGAAATTTGTCTGAAATAAAGGATTGCATACTTTGCATACGTTTTTTGGTATAATTAATAACTTACTGAGTGGAAATCGTGGATATCGTTGAGTGGAAAAAATAGAAAAGTCAAATACCAGACCATTTTTTAACAGACAATTAACTTATAATGGCCTTACCGATTTTAGCATTTTGATTTCGCATTTCTCCAATCCCTGTGTCTTCACCCTTAAATTCAATTCATATCGATTAAGAACAAATTAAAACAAACTTTGAATCACTTTTTATAAATCAATCGCCTCCATTTTCATAATTTGAATCATTTATACGAACTGTATAGCCAATTACACATTTGCAAGCGCCTAATTGTCGTTGTTTATAATTAGTCATAAAATACAAGTAATTGAGAAAATAGGATTACTTTAGCCGCGTTCATGTTCATTCAAACAAAATATTAGAACAACTATTACGTTTCTGAGCAGTTTTGACACCTAAGCAGGGTAGCCTCGTGGCGTAGAGAGACTAGTTTGTGGGTTGAACGTCCGATGGGATACGGAGGTCCCGCGTTCGAGCCCCAGGTACGGAGTTGTTGATCATTGTCACTACGGACATCCGGTCCGAAGGTCCAACCGTTTACTGGCCCTTGGCATGGGTTGGTTCTCTGGCCGCTCTTGCCGGAGACAGATTGTGAGACTGTGGTTGGTTCCTCCACTAACGTGCTTTAGTAAACTCCGGGAGTCATACAGTATGGTAGCGGGCCCCTACCAAGGGCAGTAGTGGAACGACGCGATTCGGTCCCAGTATGGTTGCCTTGCAACTGAAGAGACTCGAGGAAATCATGCCATTCGCGGTGACCCGGAAAAGACTTTTGCTCTCTGATACAACAAACGATTTTTTATTTATTTATTGAAAATAAAATCAACATATTTAACGATCATATAAGTGGAATACGTCGTTGGTAGTCTTGTTTCTCTGTTCTTTTGTATCTATTATACTGTTGCACCATCTATGTATTACCATCAGAATTCATTGAGACGAATGTATTTCATCAATTTCTTAAATTTTAAACTGATTTTAAAGAACAGAAAGAATATTTCACTCAAACAAAATGATGAATTGACTTTCCAGGCTAAAAATTTGGATGTCACAGAATTGATAAAGCCATTTGATTACAAAAACTTCTCAACTTCAATTTATTTCTGGATCATCAAAAGCCCCAGTCCTCACCTGGCTAAAGAGACGTAACGTCCTTATAACAAAATGGATGAATTTCTATTGGAGAAAATTGTTATTTTCATCATTTTCACGAGAACGAGGTCGGTTTATATTCAAATATTTTACCCGTATTTTAATAGCAACACACAGTTATTGAAAATCTTGTCAGTCACGAGTAAATATATCCAGCAGCTCAAATAATCGAGTAATAATTCCACACTTCAGCAACAAGGATTTTTATATGACGTTAACACAACGCACCCAAGACGTTATAAAATTCGCCAGATAACGTCCTGGTAGCTGAAGTGAGGAATTCTTACTTGGATATTGGATATATGACTAGCTTTTCATTAATCTAATCTAAACGTAAGATCATCCATTTTGCATAGACACGCAACGTCTTCATAACCAGATAGGATAGGTAAAAAGATAAGTTTGCATGGTTTTGACAATGTTGGTATTAAAAGGCGTGAGGGTGATAAAAAATAGAAGTAGCCTGGCCATGCCTCTGTTTAAGTTTGGGCAAAATTTTTATTTTAACAAACTTCGAAATGTGAACACCTGCCAATCCAAACACTTTTGCGACTTTGCCCAGTCCCAGTGATGTACCTTAAACTCACTGATATTCAGCATATGTTTCTGTGATCTCCCCAGCATTAAAGCAAGATGGCGCAGCACCCACCTGAGATTTTGAAAACAGGCTTGCACCTACCTGAAAATCTACTTCCAACCACTTGAAAATGAGAAAAATCATGAAAAATTGGCATATTTTGACCAATTTTGGTCTGAATTGTGAAAATGAGAAATTTGCTCCCACTTGAGAAAAATTCCTGGGGAGATCACTGTATTTGTAATGGTAGTGAAACAATTTGAAGATTCAGCATCTTTATTACATGATAATATTTATGACTTTATTTTGCATATTAAGTTTCTCATACATGATATTAGATGATGATGAAATCCATGAATCAAACCATAAGTCTAGCACTTAAAGAATCCACTATAAGGTCCAATACTCGTTGGTTTATCCACAGGAATGATGCATTGTTTTTTGTATTTTTATAAAAATGATGCAATGTCTATGTAATGTAGATCATGTATTGCATACGGTGAGCACACTTCATCACTGTTGAAGTCAGAGGCCCTAACTCTGCATGTATCCACTGAAAGAATAAAAATAAATGTTTCTGAACATGTTTCTTCAGGTTGGTAATTAATTTTTATATCCATAACTGTTAGTGTTACTGTTTTATGCAACATTAAATTTATTGTTGTGTTTCCTCCTCAGAATTTTAAAAAACGTCAAATAATAATAAATTTAAGGTTGCGTCAAACAGTAACAGTTATGGATATAAATAAAATAAAATAAATAAATGGTTTAAAATATGGCAGCTGTGTTCAGTAGTATGTGTGCAAATGTTATTAATATTTCACGGTGTTCTAAATAATTCTTAATACTAAATAGGCCTATAATATGAAATATTTGAGGGAGAAACAAGGACGCTATGGTATTTTGCCAAAATATTATCCAAATAAAATTGTGAATTTCAACAAGGACATTGAAGTCTAATGAAAGGTTTGAAGTCTAATGAAAAAATCATTTTACTTTGATGCTTAAAATATTATTTAGACAAGGAGCTATAAAATCTTGATTCGTTCTGAATTTCTTGTTTAAAAAATCGTTGACAAAAACATTGCTTCTTATTATTTCTTCACCACTAAAAGTGCCAACTTCAAATCACAAAACCTAATTTAGATCGATGCAGAAATTAGGAAAATTGAAAGACCAAGCATTTGATCATGGTACACTGTCAAATTGATGCCATTTCATATCAAAATATCACACGCAGTTACAACACTGTAAAAGTTGAAAATGAGCTGAAACATTTTGACAATTTCAACACTGAAATCTGGTGTTGAAACAACACTATTCGGAAAGATATACTGTACTTCTACTTAATTTGGCGGCAGTTTTAATTTGGCAGATCCGCCAAATTGTTTAAGTCCACCAAATTAAGTAGCCGCAAATCCCCGGTAATTTTAGTATCATGTAAATTAGTACCATAAGTATGTTGTAATATTACAAGTCCGCCAAATCAAATAGCCGCCAAATGTTCAAAACAGCAAATCTGCCAAAATAAGTAGTGCCTTATTCAGTAGAAGTACAGTTTTGCTCAATCAACAGCTCTGGGCTGTTTCGGAACCAAACTTTGGTTTTATTTTGTCATTATGCCATCAAATTCTACAGTTCATTATAGTCAATGAAACTTAGAATCATTTGAATATACTTCAGTTTTAATACTGGCTGAAATAATGCAAAAATTTGGACTTTGGAAACATTTCGCTGACAAATTGAGCCTAAAATGGCACCAACCAAAAATCATAGCTACAAATTTCAGGTGTAGTTTCCAGAACTTTAAACCTCTTGTTCAACCTATCGCAGTTTCATTCTCATAAATACTGTGCACATGAATGAGATAAGAATAGCATGTGTACTTTTTGCGTTCTATTTCAACGACTACTAGCAGTTTAATGCATAAAGGCCAGGGTGCATGTTGTTGTTGGGAAATTTTCTGAATTTTTTCACTGAATTTTTCTTGTTTTTTATACACTTGATCAAAACATTCTTCTCACAAGTCTTTTCTAGGCACATAAGTGCACTCTTTGTGCAAACATGGAAGATATAGACAATGTGGGGAAGGAGTGATTCTTGGTTGAAAAATAACATGCGACTCAATTGAGGAATGTAGAAAAGGATGAGTCTGGGAATGAGTCTGGGTAGCGACTTAGAAAATATTGAAAATTGTAATGTCTGAAAAACCAACTCAATCACACATTTTATTAAACCTCAATATCTTATCCTTCTTCTGAGATTACAAAATATCAATTTGTATCACAATTGATGAAGAATATTGGCATCAAAGACGGTGCATATCACTTTGTCAGAATTGAAAAAAATCAATGGCAAATATTAAATGAATTATTTATACAAAAAGTTTGAAACAAATCCTCCAAAACATTGCTTACTTTCTTTGTATAGACATTGAATGTTTTTTTTGGATAAATGAATTGGTGTTTATCTGGGTAATCAAGGGATTACAGTCACTCAAAGGTACTGAGCATCCAATTTTGAAACTTCAATTGTGTTGGTGAAGTTACATATATTTCAGTTAAATTCATGCTGAGCACAACATTTTGGTTTCAATTTTATAATCTCTATGCATGACCCTGGTGATGAAGAGTCAGAATCAGTCAAAAAAGCTGAACCAGAAAACTGTGCTCATTGTGAAAACTAAAAGTGAAGCAACTTTTTTTCTGATATTTCTTACATTAAATGGCAGCCATCTTGTTTTCCCCCCTCCAAATTAAACTGGCGGGAAATTCAAAAGTTTGAAAAAAAATTAAATCCTTAAATATATTTCAAAATATGATTTTCTTTTTAATTCTTCATGGATCTTAAGTTATTTCTTCTTTGTATGTCATACAATGTTGCCATTGTTTTTTTCTATAATAATGACCCTTCTTTTAATTTGTTAAGATACTTATTCTGACTCTCAGCAGGGGGTTAATTATGCATCAAAACTCGTGAAAAAGTACATATACTTATCAAATATAACTAGGGCAGTAATAAAAACCATATTTCACATACATTTGACTGAGGGACCAAAAGGTCATATATCCGGACACATCCTTTCCCATCATGCACCCTGACCTTAAATTTCTGAACAAACAGAAATACCTTAAAACTTATTCAATCAAGATTTACTTACGGCAATTTCATCCTCATGAATACTCTGCACATAAAGAAAGAGATGAGAATACACACAAAGCCTACGGATAATAGTAAGATTCTGTTTAACTTTGGCGTAGATGGATTGTTAGTCTGGTCTAGAATAATAAATCCAAGGCCACCTAGTGTGAAGAGGAAACTGGACGCAAGGCCTTCCATAATGTACTGGCCGTTTACTCTGTATGGCATAAATGCAACCTGGAACAAAGAAAGAAAGCATGTGTACTATTTGTGTTCTATTTCAGCACATTGGCCTTACATAATGAACTGGTCATTTACTCTGTATGGCATAAATGCAACCTGGAACAAAGAAAGCATGTGTACTATTTGTGTTCTATTTCAGCACATTGGCCTTCCATAATGTACTGGCCGTTTACTCTGTATGCCATAAATCCAACCTGGAACAAAGAAAGCATGTGTACTATTTGTGTTCTATTTCAGCACATTGGCCTTCCATAATGTACTGGCCGTTTACTCTGTATGCCATAAATCCAACCTGGAACAAGGAAAGAAAGCATGTGTACTATTTGTGTTCTATTTCAGCACATTGGCCTTCCATAATGTACTGGCCGTTTACTCTGTATGCCATAAATCCAACATGGAACAAAGAAAGCATGTGTACTATTTGTGTTCTATTTCAGCACATTGGCCTTCCATAATGTACTGGCCGTTTACTCTGTATGGCATAAATGCAACCTGGAACAAGGAAAGAAAGCATGTGTACTATTTGTGTTCTATTTCAGCACATTGGCCTTCCATAATGAACTGGTCATGGCATAAATGCAACCTGGAACAAAGAAAGCATGTGTACTATTTGTGTTCTATTTCAGCACATTGGCCTTCCATAATGTACTGGCCGTTTACTCTGTATGGCATAAATGCAACCTGGAACAAAGAAAGCATGTGTACTATTTGTGTTCTATTTCAGCACATTGGCCTTCCATAATGTACTGGCCGTTTACTCTGTATGGCATGAATGCAACCTGGAACAAAGAAAGCATGTGTACTATTTGTGTTCTATTTCAGCACATTGGCCTTCCATAATGAACTGGTCATGGCATAAATGCAGCCTGGAACAAAGAAAGGATGTGTACAATTTGTGTTCTATTTCAGCACATTGGCCTCCCATAATGTACTGGCCGTTTACTCTGTACGGCATAAATGCAACCTGGAACAAAGAAAGCATGTGTACTATTTGTGTTCTATTTCAGCACATTTGCCTTCCATAATGTACTGGCGGTTTACTCTGTATGCCATAAATCCAACCTGGAACAAAGAAAGCATGTGTACTATTTGTGTTCTATTTCAGCACATTGGCCTTCCATAATGTACTGGCCGTTTACTCTGTATGGCATAAATGGACACTTCCCTTATTTAAAACCTGTATGTCCAAAAACCTCCAAGTGAATACTGCTTTCCATCTTGGAAAGTGCTTAATATTTTCAATTCAAAAACTAAAGTCTCTTCATTCTGCCGATAAACCCATACAATTGGTGGTTCAACGACATAAAAAGGATTCTTAAAGAATGAATGTATTGAGGTGTAGGTCATTTAAGTACGCAATGTGTAGTATTTTCTCCAACTTTGTAAAAAAATTGACTGACCAATGATTCGTGTGTACGACCACAAATGTAGTGGGGGTCGAAGGATGCGATAAGAATTTATCATTTTATTTTAAGAACATATAGAATCAGAATGAGAATTTGACTTACAAAACATTGAATTTGATACCTCTAAAGAGTAAATATGTTGTCAACTTGTACTTACAGGTTTACTGTTTCCCCTTTCATCTGTAGTTGATCCAATACTGGGGGGTTCAACGATCACATCATATATGATACCTGAATCAGATAAAACATAACACATTACACTTTATATAGACTAATACATAATATTTATCATGATGCAATTTAAGTATCATGTCTTCATGGGGTTTTCAACATCAAGTTCTCGCACTACTGTACGTTCCCAGGGATGTGGTCATATACAAATGTAGGTCCATGTAAGGGGGGATGAAAATTATAACACTGCCAGTACACCATGATAGCTTTAAGATTTTCGACAGCTAAAATGCCACTCGACTTTTTTGTGATTTGAATCACAGAAGGCATTCTGAAGTTTCAAATCGGCGCCATGTTTAATTTTTGGCATCCGCCTAATGTATATCACTTACCTTTAATTGATTCTTTCATAAGTTTCGTCAAAAACTCAGTTTGACCAGAGTAATCTGTCTCACTGCTCGAATTTTCTTGAAAAATGTCTATTTTCTAATCACCCGGATGTACGGTATACTTGGACTCGCCCAAAATGAGGGGTGTCAAACGCAAGATGGTAAAGATGAAGACATGTCGAAACTCTCAGAGAATCTATTCCATAATTTCAACATTGCTACGCGGTTTTACGCACGAAAAAGATAAGGTCAGGTTATTGTATATAAGACTGGACAAGTTGAAAATAAATATTCTAAATAGATGACACCCCTTTTGAAATAGATGAACTGAACCTATCACGTCACCGATTTCTTAGAAGAAATTATGTCAGAAAAACAAAAGCTCCGTAGAGAATTTTCGCTTGAAATGTTGAAAAGCAAGCCCAGTTTTCTATGGGAATATACTGTAATTAAAAGTTACGTGTACAATATTACCGAGTTCAATGGTGCATAAGTTAGTCGGTGGATCATTTTGTAAGTATGACAATGTGAATTCATGCGACTGTTACCTTGTGGAAGTTTTTTTACAAAAAAGTCGAGTGACATTTTAGATGTCGAAAATCTTAGTATTTCATCTACATGCAGATGAAATAAGGAAAATCAGATCAATTTGGTTCATAATATTCTGAAAGAAACAAATCAAACAAATGTGTGAGAATTAAGAGTTTAGATGCCTGGAGTGGATGCCACGTCGATAAAAAAAATTAAAAACTAAACATTTCAAAGAGCCGATCCAGGTGCATACGTACCTCCCGTCACTAGAAAATATGACAGTAAGATGCATCCAAACATGAACATTGCAGACGGTTGCTTTACCCATGATGGTTTCTTCAGCTTTAGGTTAGGGCACTGTAAAAAGTTAAACGGAATGCTGTAGACTGCTTCCATTTTTCTAAATTTTTAGAGAAAGACCCGGATGAAGATATCAGAGCTAGCGTAGTCTGAACAATAACTTGTTTCGTATGCAAGGTGCTCTTTTTGTTAGATCTATTTCATCGACGGACGAAAAATATTTATCTATAATGTTCCAATATTATACCTTTTTATTTAGTAAAGTCACTATGACACTATCGTCTCATTGACCATCTTAATTTTGAAAAACTCAAGTGGGGAGAAAGTTTTCCAAATAAGGTGAAGGTCATTTATAATGGCAACTATGTAAACAACGAGGAGGTTGAATTCCGTGAACTGTTTCTTATTTCACGCTAATTGCAGATGTGGAGAATATATAGGTGTTTAGATGAGATGACATCAGTTCACCCAGAATCCAAGGAGCTTCCATATTACTCCAGCACAAGTGATACAACTCCTGTAAGTTTCTTCACAATTAGCCAGATTCTAGACTAGACTAGCCTAGAGGAGAGAAAACCCTAGATCTTAGTAGAGATGACCCACTTTGAATCAGAAAATTGGGATTCGGACCATTGAGATTCGGATGATTGGGATTCCAACCAATGGGATTCAGACAAATGGGATACGGACTGATGGGGTGACCCCGATATGATGTTTTGATCGATTCAAACATATTCCTTACATCTTTCTTTAATATTGGTGGACACATGTCGCCATGGGCTTTCAATTTCTAGTTGAAAGCCCATGATTTTGCTAAAAATTAACATATTATTATTCAAAGGTTTTTAAGGTAACCGTTAACTTAATCAAAAGTACAAAAACTGGCAGCCATATATTTTTGACTAGAGTCAGTACGTCTATTTCCAAACACCCCCATCAAAAAATGTAGTTAGCTTGGTTGTACTGCACATCTATGCTATGATTCTATATATATTATGTGTATTATCCACTGTAGAATGCATTTGCAGAAAAAATTACGAAAAATTGTAAAAAATATCTGGGTTATTCCATTTTTACTACAAGGTATTTTAGGGGGGTAATTCCGAACAGGAGTTTTTTTGGGGGGTAAATCCGAACACTTGCATGGGGGTAATTCCAAACACTTAACTTAAACTTAATTGTTTTAATTATTAAATTGATGGTATATCATTATATGATACCCTTAACTTATGATACTTGATCCTGTCACCCCTGCATATCAAGAAACCCAAATTTAAATCATTTATTACTGACATCTATTTATTTAAACGCACAGAGTTTGTGGGGGTAATTCCAAACACTAGCATGGGGGTAATTCCGAACACCTAAATCATCATAATTGATTATTTTATTGTAAGATTGTTGGTATACATCATTATATTGTATCTTTCAGGCTAAAAATATTATGTAGAGGTAGTAGAGGTACTATTATTCAATTCAATGATCAACTTGCCATTATTTGGAACCCGTTCGTGTTTACCCCCCTGTTTGGATTTGGACGTATTGACTCTACATGTAAGTCACATGATTTTGTTTTCTGTTTTCCTCATATGTGAATGCATTTCCTGACTAAAGAGACATGTCAAAGAAAACCTCACTTTTAAACGCATTTTTTATAACTATGAATTGGAGGTGCATGGGTCCCCAAAGCTAGCATGAAGACCGTGAAATGAGGCTAACTTTTGAAAGTTTGAAGGAGTAGCCTCACAACAGTCAAACATTTGCAAGAATCCAAAATTTCCACAAATCATCTTACCTTATCAAGGAACATCGAGGGAGCATGAAAATGTGCTCTTCTTGCATTGTTAGAGTATGATAAAGCTCAAACCATAGTTTCTGATAAATATTTCATGTCCACCATTTTTCTTGCCGGAACTACTTCTAGACTTCCTGTAATCCTCATATAAGTTTTTGTGACTTCACTAAGTGGGATGGATTATCACTAGTATACTTTATATATAACAGTATAATAATCATCATAGCCGTAGGCAGCGGGGGTTCGGTGGGTTCGAACGAACCCCCGGTCAGGATTTCCCAAAATATAATTTTGCGGAAAAATGCTTATAACCAGAAACATTAAATCACTGTGCTGTTTGAAAACTACATAATTATATGAGCAGTAAATGAATTGATGTTTTTTTTGGTGAACACGATAGCCTTATTTTGTTAAAAACATGTCATCATGTGTGAAGTTACACTTCCCTCAAAACGGTTGGCAACCTTAGGCACGGTATGAGATTTTGGGAAGACCCCAGAGCATGAGATTTTACATTTAGAAATACCAATAATTTCGCAAAATTAACTTAAAAGCTGCTTCTTCTCGGACAAAATAGCCCATCTTGGGCAATGGCTGAATCAGTCCTTTGTAGGAATTTTGTTTTAAGCCAGTTCTGGTCCAATACGAAGTTATTGAAAGTTATTGAAAACAATGCTAAGACGTCCCATACTCCGAGTGATTTTTACAACATTGACGAGTAAATATCTGGAATAGTCGTAATATTGATGAAACACATGTTCTTTCAAATGTGTAATCTCTGTTTTGTTTAATTTCAATTAAAATTTAAAATATTTCTTGGGACGTCCCTTGGGCTGGCAAGTCCCCGAAACCAATTGCGTTAAATAATTAAAAACGTTGTGAAATGAATTATTTAAAAGCGTATATCTTTTATAAACACACGCATTTGTTCAATTTATTCATTCTTTCATTTGTTCAGTATTTATTAGGAGGCCCCATCGGGGGGCCTCCTATCAATTTTGTAGATATTATTATTATTCTTTATTATTCTTTATTATTATTATTTATTCTTCCTCCCTCTTTTTCTCCTACTTCCAACTACCTTTCAACTAGGTACTACATAGTCCTACTAGGGACCTGGGCTGAACTTGGCGGGAAAGGAATTTTTATCTAGGTCAAGGTCAAAGGTCAAAATCTAGGTCAAATCTAAGTTTTTTTCAAGTTTCTCAAATCCTGACACTACACTTAAATATTTTTGGCTGAATTTTTTCACACAGATAGATATTAGTATTCTATTAGTCTTAGCCTTTTGCCGTCTAGAGAAATTTTGCCTAGATTTTGAGATATTGAAGGTCAAAAAAGGTCAAAAAAGGTCTTTTTTCAACTTGCTTCAAATTGACCAAATTTTTTTTAAAAACTCATGTACAAGTTCTCAGGATTCCAAATCTGACCTTACTTTTGACCTTTGACCTTTGGTTGACCTTCAGTGACCTCCGAAATGTCAAAAAGTTGATTTTTCAAATCGATTTTCTGGATTCAAATTTAGGTATATTTATTCACAAAAGATCTTCTGAGGTCTAAAAAAGTAAAATTTGCAAGGTCAAAGGTCAAGGTCATCAAATGAAATCACAAACTGTGTTTTCTAAGTTTCTCAAAATTGGAGACTACAAATCAATTTTTTTTACTGAAAGTCAGAATATATATTCCTCTATAGGTTCTACACATATTAGCAATTGACTATTAATTAAAATTTTGCTCCAGTTTTGAGATATTAGAACTCAAAAACTGAAAAAAGGTCAAATTTCAAAATTTTTCAAGGTCAAATTTCAACTTGCTCTAAATTGACCAAACTTTTTTTTAAAAAGCATCTACAAGATCACAGGAACTCAAATCTGACCTTAGTTTTGAACTATGACCTTTAGTTGACCTTCAGTGACCTTCGAAAGGTCAAAAAAGTTAATTCTTCAAATTGATTTTCTGGATTCAAATTTAGGTTTCTTCAATCAGAAAAGATATACTGAGGTCTAAAAAAGTAAAACCTGTAAGGTCAAAGGTCAAGGTCATCAAACAAGATCACAAACTGTGTTTTCTATGTTTCTCAAAGTTTGTGACTACAAATCAATATTTTTGAATTAAAGTCAGGATATATATTCCTCTAAAGCTTTTACACATAATAACAATTGATTATCTATTAAAATTCTGCACCAGTTTTGAGATATTGGACCTCAAAAACTGAAAAAGGTCTAATGTTGAAATTTTTCAAGGTCAAATTTCACATTGCTTCAAAATGACCAAACTTTTTTTTAAAAATCATCTACAAGATGCCTGGAGTTTATATATGTCCTTGTATTTAAGATTTGACCTTTGGCTGACCTTTAAATGTTCAAAAAAGCCTACGGGGCCTCCGTAAGATTGCTTGCAATCTTCTAGTTTTACAATCACTTTTCCAAAGAAAAATCAATCATTGCAAAACATGATTTGTTTTTTCAGATACACCCCACTCATCTAAGAGATGGTATAGAATTCAAATTGTTATCGTTCCAGTTTAACTGCTCTCCATTTTCATGTTAATGTCATGATATGTCTAGCGAATAAATTACATAATAAAAAACATTGAAAAATCATATGGTATTAATCTTCAAATAATGAAGGCCTAATTTGTTATCAAGCCGTCTGAACTTAACAAAATACGTTTTATATTCGAACAGTCGCTTGTATTTATACATGATTTATATCCACCAAAACGTTTTTATTATCAATTGCAGTTGATCTGCTACGATCTGCTGGGGACTTACAACTTAGCTCCGTGGACGTCCAAAGAAATATTTTTAACTTTTTAAAACAAAGCATAACCGAGACCCACTTATTTGAATAATAGATATTTTCATCAGTAATACGACTATCCCGGGTAGTTTAAAAAGCCTTCGTGTAAACGTTGTGAAAAGTTATCGTAGAAGAACGATCTTTCGGAGTATAGGGCGTTTGCGTTTGATCCGAACTGGACTCCGACAAAATTCCTGAAAAATTATGATAAGCCATTGCACGAGGTGATTTATTTTGTCCTAGATGAAGTAGCTTAAGTCAGGGAATAAATTGTGCAAAATAGTTGATATCCTTGGAAACAAATCATGCTCCAGAGTCTTCCAGAAATCAGACGAAATAATGGTGGATTCGGGGCAAATCAGATTTCAGGATATGTATTCAGTAAAAGATTCACCGAAATATATTTTGATGCAGAAAATTAATTATAAGTTGTCTGACTTTTTTGCACGTTGCCTGTTTATTTTACTTTGAACATTAAAGTGAACATTAAAGTTACAAAGCTACAAGGTCATTTTTGAAAATCATTTTTACGTCCTCTGTTATTTCAATGGGAGAGGTTTCTTGATAAAGCCTATTACTTTCAGACTTTGCTTAACGTAAATAAAGGAATCGTTTTTGTTAAATAAAATTCAAATCAAATTGTCTACTTCACTTAATGAAGGTATTAAAATGAATTACATTTCCCCTCCCAAAAAACTTAAAGATGCTTTTAATACATAATCCAATGGGTTGCCAAACTTTTGGAGGGGGTGTAATTGTACATTATTTGAGGAACCCTAATGAAGTGGGGGGGGGATTTGTGAATAACATAAAAATAGAACCCCCGGTCACCAAATCCTGGCTACGCCACTGATCATGATAGATACATAATTGATGTTTTTTAAATGTAAACAATGGATACATGAGTGAGGATTATTTTGGACTAGAAAATAGTCCCAGCAAACAAAATGGTGGACATGAAATATTTAGAATTTACTTTGGTTTGAGCTTTATTATACTCTAACAATGCATGAAGTACACATTTTAATGCTCCTTCAGTGTTCCTTGGTAAGGTAAGATGATTTGTGGAAATTTTGGAGTCATACAAATGTGTCTCCATTGCAATCCTACTCCTTGAAATTTTAAAAAGTTATCCTCACTTCATGCTCTCCATGCTAGCTTTAGGGACCCATGCACCTCCAATTCATCGTTAAAAAAAATGCGTTTAAATGTGAAGCTTTCTTTGACATGTCTCTTTAGTCAGGAAATGCATTCACAAATAAGGAAAACAGAAAACAAAATCTTGTGACTTAGTCAAAAAAATATGCCTGCCATTTTTTTGTACTTTTGATTAACTGAAGCGTTACCTTAAAAAAGTTTGAATTTGAAAATTTGTTTATGTCACTCTTTTGACAAATCAGCGATGATGGGTCATCTCTCTACATTACGTTCCATTGAAGATTATGTCATCATTGAACCCTAGGGTATTCTACTATTCTCCATCTTGGGGTAACCAGATGTCAAATGCATGAACATTGTAAGCGTTCGGATCTAGGTACAGTGCACTTGCGGATCTGGGGGGGGGCAGGGGCCTGGGCCTAAAAAACATTTTGGGCCAAAAAGGCCTGAAGGCTCCAAAAAGTGGGCCTTTTGGTCATTAATGGGCCTCTTAAGGCCTTATTTCTAATTTTAGGCCAAAGTTTTGAGAAAATGGGCCTCAGAATTTCAAAATTTGGGCCCATTTTTTGGAAGTTTGGGCCCCCTTGCCCCTGCAGTGTATGGAAAGAGACAGCGAATCTATCAAACCTAAATGATTAGCATGTTCACTGCAAGCTTCCTAAGCAAACATGACATACTTTTACTAATATGATATATGTTTGGGGATTGGGGATAGCTTAGCAATTCTTATGAATTTATTGCATTTTTGCATTTTAATTAATACTTGTTTTTTTGTGTACGTAATTATCATAGACTGAGGTCGATAGTAATAATTGTTAAATAAAGATGGCATGATAATCGATCTGTGTTTATTTATAATTATAATTCTCAAAGTGAAAAAGATGATATTGGATTCTGCTGGTGCTGCCATCTTTATTTCGGCCCAGAACCTATTATAATTATATGAATGCTTTCTAATATCACTACTGCACGAGGGAAGGCTGTATGAATGTCGATAGCTCTATACCAGGCCCGTAGCCAGGATTTACCAGGGGGAGCGGTTTACCAATGGAAGAGTTTTTGCCAAGGGGGAAGCATTTTGACAATTTTGGCAAAAATCATGCGAAAAGTGCTCAGAATGGTGAAAACTGCATGATTTTGAAAGCTGCAGCCGCTCCCTCCGCTCCCCCACCCCCCTTGGCTACAGGCCTGTATACCATTGTCAATGGTTGTGGAACATGGCTATGAAACAAGATCTGCTTTTCCATGTAAAGTATAACATCGATTTCTTTATTTATATGTTGCAGATTTCCTAATGTTATGTTTGCACTTCTAAACTTCATGTTTGGTGTTGGATATTAAAAATAATGACTGCCGTGTATCCTCAATCAGTTGTTGAGGCGCCAAATTACTCAGTTGATGCTGAGCCAACACATGCTGAAGTCATTGATGAGCATAGTAGTGACTCTTCAAAGGTTTGTATTAAAGTCTAAGAATATGTGTAGCAAAGCATGAGGCAGGCAAGGCAGCTTAGCCTCACCTATAAACGTTTCAGACATTTTTAGCTCACATGGTGAGCTATTGCAATTACTCACTTGTCCGTCTGTCCGTCTGTCTCTCAACAATTGGCCAGTTTTATTTGTATGAAATAATTTTGTTACAAAAAAATTGGCAAAAATTACATCCATTTTTTTTATTTTCTGCCATTTTAGCCATCATTCACTTTTGAGCAACACCATGTGAGCCCAGTACCCACGGTACTATTTATTTTATTTCAACTAAAACTGAAGAAATGAAGCCAGGCATGAGGCAGGCTAGGCAATTGCCTCACCTAAACTCACCGCTGCTGAGATAAAACTTCCCATCATATTCTGAATATTTTATCCTTCATTGATAGATTGTTATATAACAATGTGAACTGCTTAACATGCTTTGCTTTACTAAAACATAGCGAGGAATTTTAGCCTCACCTACCTCATATTTTACCTCTGTGTCACCTACATGTAATTAAGATATTTCCTACTCATACTTTCTTCTTTTATTTAGTTATTGTATGTTGTAGTACTGGTGGTGGGTGTTGAATGATAATTAATACAGATATGTGGAGTTAAAAGTATTTGTCTGAAAACTAACTGGATATCAAAAGTTTGGATATTATTTTTAGACATCAGCACAATTAATTATATTAAAGATTGAAGCCTATGTTTCAATGAATTTGTGATGATTTAAATCATGAATATCTTGTATCAAGACTTCGAATGAGGGCAGTAGCTAGATCTGAAAGAGGGTAAATGAAGTGAAAAAATTTACTGTATATGGTATCATGCCCAGTTCTTTAACTCAAGTTGACTTTATCCTTGTGTTGTTTAGCTAAATGTTAAGAGACCACTAAGGAGGGGCTCAACATGGCAGAGGGTGAGAGACAAATGGAATCGAAAGGGTATACAGGAGATAGGTCACCAACACAAGCTCTATGACTTGACTGAGTGCATGAAGAAAGGAATCAAAGAGGCTGTAACTGGAGGACATGGGCCTAAGGTTAGTAAAGGGTGTGCCCGCTTTAATTTGGCGAATTTGGCGAAATTGAAAAATTCGCCAATATAAATCTTCGCCAAAATTTAAAATGAATCCCCGGGAATTATCTAGAGTATTTCCTCCAGTGTATTTAGGTCACTTCCGGTTTAGTTTCTTTCAAAAATATGAAAAATGTCTCTCATAAATTGGCTCAGAACTGGTCAGTCACTCATTAATATTCAGGGAAAAACTAGAAAGGAAAAGCGTGGTATAGTAGCAGCATCGATCGAGGTGCAAAATGTAAAGGATGATCGCCAGTGGTCCTCAAAAGAAAAAATGGACATAGCCAAACTTATCCATTTACATGGTAATTCGCAAACAGTGCGTAAGTTAATTTTCTTGCATATCCGCCAAATTAAATAGCCGCCAATATGCCAAAAATGGCAAAATCGCCAAATTAAGTAGCGCCAAATTAACCCAATCTACAGTATGCAATTCACAAGAAAAATAATTAATAAAATCACAACCTGACAGATACAGTATAATTAAATAAAATCACAGCTTTCAGGCCTTGCAGATAAGATTGATTATTTTGTATATTGAATTGTGATTTGCTTAAAGAAACCATGGGCTTTCAACTACTAGTTGAAAGCCCATGAAGAAACAGTTCCTTTGTGATACATTTACCATAATATGTCAGTCTGTCACACACTCTAGACTACAGCAATATTTGAAGGATTTGATATACTATACAGGGTGACACATAGAAATTCAAAGTTGAATGCTTTTTTGGGTCACCCTGTAAATTACAATATTGGAAACCTATTTTATATAGTTAGTTAGGTATAGGTACACATAGTTTGTAAGTATTTTAATGTATTTTCACAATATATTTGTTTTTCAACTGTTACCCATTTTACTTTCTCAGTTTCTTATGATATGTTAAACATAATTCAAAAAATAAAGATCTATTACTAATTTAATTATCCAACATTTATAAGGGTAACACACATTTACATTTTCCAGACCCATGTGTTTTATAAGTTCCAACAGTCTCTTATGATATATGTTTAACATAATTCAAAAAATAAAGATCTATTACTAATTTAATTATCCAACATTTATAAGGGTAACACACATTTACATGTTCCAGACCCATGTGTTTTATAAGTTCCAACAGTCTCTTATGATATATGTTTAACATAATTCAAAAAATAAAGATCTATTACTAATTTAATTATCCAACATTTATGAGGTAACATACAGTTTCATGTACCAGACCCATGTGTTTTTTAAGTTTCAACAGTCTCTTATGATATATGTTTAACATAATTCAAAAGATAAAGATCTATTACTATTTTAATTATCCAACATTTATGAGGTAAAATACAGTTACATGTTCCAGACCCATGTGTTTTTTAAGTTTCAACAGTCTCTTATGATATATGTTTAACATAATTCAAAAGATAAAGAGATTACTAATTTAATTATCCAACATTTATAGGGGTAACACACAGTTACATGTTCCAGACCCATGTGTTTTATAAGTTCCAACAGTCTCTTATGATATATGTTTAACATAATTCAAAAGATAAAGATCTATTACTAATTTAATTATCCAACATTTATGAGGTAACATACAGTTTCATGTACCAGACCCATCTGTTTTAGTTTTGAACAGTTGACCTTCTTTATTTTTTTTAGGCTGAATTAGTAGCAGATGATTACAAGCATATTCTAACAGAGACAATAAAACTTCCAAGTGGAAAGGTAATATGGCTAAGAGTCTATTAAAGGGGCAACAAGGCCTGTTGAGAGGTAATAGGGACATTTTAACTTTTACTGAACTATCATGGCAACATTTGGCTTAACGTCTTCTTTGACATACCTATTTTCTTGAAATGTATGGATAGACTAACAATTTCAGCATTAAGAAGTGTAAATTCAGTTCAAAGCTTCAAAAAGGGGAAATCCACTTTTATATTTTTAAGATCCACGATGTTTCAAGAGGAATATCAGCTAAATAACGTTTATATAGGGGGTTTCTTTGAAAATGATAATAATAAAAATAGATGTAAGTCTTGGTGAAATATCCAAACTTCAATATATTTTGACACTGGTACATGATCGTTGATCTGCACTAATTGTTGCACCTTTAATAAAGAAAATTCATCAATTAAAGACACATTTTATTGAGTCCTTAGCAGTGAATTAATTGGGTAACATACACTGTTTAGAAATTAAGAAATGATTACCATAGTTGAAACAAAGAAAAGCATTTACATCCATTTGAAAAATTAAACATTTTAAAAAATATCAACTCATAGAAATATTTATCAATAGAACAAGCAATTGATAAAAGTGAAACAGATATTAGATTTACGATGATAACCTACCATGAAAAACTCAATGCATTAAATAAATTTTCTGCAATAGAGCAAGACATGACAAATAATACATACGCATTCTGTCTCTCTACTCCTAGGTGTTCCATTTTGAAAGCTATGCAAGCAGCGTTTTTGCGACACTCAGAAGTGCCATTGGTCTATCTGAGGAGGACTTTTTACAATCCATGGCTCCTATGGCAACGTACATGCCATACTACCAGTTCATTTCCAACTCAAAAAGTGGACAGGATTTCTTTCTCACGTAAGGAACATTTTTTGAAATATTTCAAATTAAAGAAGTGAAAAGTTGATTATATGAACATAAAAATTACTGCCATAATCTTCTGCAAGTGCAGTGAAAAACACATTTTTGTGTGTCTACCAATTCTAAAGCTTTACCAATCAGACGATACCCTTTGCATTCGTTTGACTTCACTTCTTAAAAGAGAGCTTCGTCTTCACTCTTTCAAATTGAAATAAACCTGTGAACTCACCGCGCCAATCACCATATTTAATGAGAGCGCATTTGGCGTATGTTTCTTCAAGCTCGCTGATTGGTGGAAGTAAGGTCAGCGCGTAGGTCAAAAGTGATTTATTACCCAAACTACTGTCACCAGTACCCGTCGTGGGGGCGGGGCTACTAAACTGTAATATGGTCTCTACTAGGCAGAGTGTAGTTTAACTAGACTCTGCACGCAGGGTAATCAGACGACTATAATGCACTATTTCATGAAAAAATACATTTCATAATTTAGAAACAAAACTTTGCTATAGTATATATTTGAAGTAGCTAGTATTATGTACAGTAAAGATGTGACCTCTTGAAATTTAAGAGATTCAGCCATGTTTATTTGGAGTCCATGCCATGAAAAGGACAAGGCAGAAAAGCATTGAATTACAAGAGGCCACACAATTCTCGAAATCGTTGTTCCCTCTTCAAAAGAGAAGACGCGAAAATCTTTCCTTATAAGGGCAAAATATTTCCCATGATGCAGTTCGCAGAGGAACAAATTTATACTTCCTTATTTTCCCTCATAGGTTTAACATGGGGATTTTCACACCTATTTTTCAAACGATATATTCGTTCATATTCCCGTACGAGAGTACAGAAAAAATTATTAGAAACGATTGATCTCTCATTAATCTTAATATAACAGCTATTTTTTCATTGTATTAATTCATAGCGTGGTGAAAACTATGATTGAAAAGTGAGAAAATATTTCGGAAGAGAAGGTCACGTGATCAGTAGACGTGTCGCCATATTGGAAAAAACAATTCCATTCGACTTTTAATACTTTCATGCCAATCTTACCGCACTACAAACTGCGACATCGATGCAACAACTGAATAAAAGTATTCATCTTCAAATTACATTATAGAGTTACGTTGAAAATCCACAAACAACTGAGCAGTAGACCAAAGAAGATGCGTCGCTATTATCTAGGTCAATCTGTTCAGTGGTCCGAAAGCAAATCTATAGTACTCGTTTCCGAATTTTGTTGTTCATTGTACAATCTTTTATTGATTAAACTCGGTATACTGACCATTAAAGCAATGACAAAGAAGAATACTTACGATGGTGTCATTGTTTTATTCAGCGTGCGGGTGTAAAAACAAAATTGAGTAATTAGTTTGATTTAGAACTTTCGTGTCACGCAAATAGCTACGCGAAATGCATAGTGGGAAAATATTGACCAATCAAATTTTGTCCTTTTTGAGTGCTTTTTCAGTGCATATTTGCAAACGTTCTGATTCACAGAGCGAACCACGAAAAGGAGAATTGTTATTCAAACCACAATGTAAAGCATTAAATTACAAGAAGCCACACAATTGTTATTCAAACCACAATGTAAAGCACTGAATTACAAGAGACCACACAATTGTTATTTAAACCACAATGTAAAGCATTGAATTACAAAAAGCCACACAATTGTTATTCAAACCACAATGGACAACCAGTCAAGTGTAGTGTTTCTGATGTTTTATATTTTGTATTTTCCTAGTCAAATCTGTTTAGTACAGCCATATGATACAATATTAAAATAAAATTACATCAGAACAACAACAAAAAAAACCCATAGATAATGATGCAAAAACAAGTCCTTTAATATCTTATCATTATTTCAGATATGACAAAGTATATTTCATCAAGACAGAGAAGAAACACTACATAGAATTCTTCCTCAACATTTTAGGGTGAGTAGAAATTATAAATTCTCATTTATTTCTGAAAAGTATTTTATGATTGATCCAAAATGTGTTATTCTAATGTGATATTTAATGCATGACTAAACAAAGAATCAATATATAGGAAGAGATACATAAAAGTTATGATTCATAATGCCTGGGTTGAAATTTGGAGCAAATGTGACACAGGCGTTAATGTAAATCATTCCCTGCTAGTTAGATTGTGTTCTATTTTAGTGACTACCTTCATCACTTCTTGAGCTATCCACATTCTCTATTAATAAAGTTATGTTCTATTTCAGTGACTACCTCCAACACGTCTAAAGATACTCCCACTCATTACTAATAAACTTGTGTTCTATTTCAGTGACTACCTCCAACACTTCCAAAGATACCCACATTCACTGCTAATAAAGTTATGTTCTATTTCAGTGACTAACTCCAACACTTCCAAAGATACCCACATTCACTGCTAATAAAGTTATCTTCTATTTCAGTGACTACCTCCAACACTTCCAAAGATACCCACATTCACTGCTAATAAACTTGTGTTCTATTTCAGTGACTACCTCCAACACTTCAAAAGATACCCACATTCACTGCTAATAAACTTGTGTTCTATTTCAGTGACTACCTCCAACACTTCCAAAGATACCCACATTCACTGCTAATAAACTTGTGTTCTATTTCAGTGACTACCTCCAACACTTCCAAAGATACCCACATTCACTGCTAATAAAGTTATGTTCTATTTCAGTGACTAACTCCAACACTTCCAAAGATACCCACATTCACTGCTAATAAAGTTATGTTCTATTTCAGTGACTACCTCCAATACTTCCAAAGATACCCACATTCACTGCTAATAAAGTTATGTTCTATTTCAGTGACTACCTCCAACACTTCCAAAGATACCCACATTCACTGCTAATAAAGTTATCTTCTATTTCAGTGACTACCTCCAACACTTCCAAAGATACCCACATTCACTGCTGATAAAGTTATGTTCTATTTCAGTGACTACCTCCAACACTTCCAAAGATACCCACATTCACTGCTAATAAAGTTATGTTCTATTTCAGTGACTAACTCCAACACTTCCAAAGATACCCACATTCACTGCTAATAAAGTTATGTTCTATTTCAGTGACTACCTCCAATACTTCCAAAGATACCCACATTCACTGCTAATAAAGTTATGTTCTATTTCAGTGACTACCTCCAACATTTCCAAAGATACCCATATTCACTGCTAATAAACTTGTGTTCTATTTCAGTGACTACCTCCAACACTTCCAAAGATACCCACATTCACTGCTGGTGAAGTTCCTAGGACTCTATTCTGTACATATGGAGGGAAAGGCTAAGGTAAATACAATTTCATACATGTAATACCAGGCCCGTAGCTGGGGGGGGGGGGGGTTCGATGAATTCGAGCGAACCCCCGCCCTGGATTTTGGCCATTTTTGGACCAAACTTGTCACAAGTGAACCCCCCATGGAATTTTTCAAAAAGTGAACCCCCCCCCTCGATAAATCCTGGCTACTGTCCTGAATACTATTTATTGAGGCCATTATCTGACATTATAATGTTTTACAAAAGATCACCAACTTCCTTTTTTCTCCTGCTAATCAAAGATAAAGTTTAATGGAGGTTTCTGAAAGTTGAATAATTTAATTAATTCTATTTGATATCAGCCCTTGATTGATTTATTGATTTATTAACAAACCTATAAAATAAAGAGAAAATGTACAAAAATGAAAATATATACATGTATCGTGAGATCCCAGTTATGTAATCATGCCTCGACTCTCTTTTCCCTCCTCTCTGGAATTAATTTGTTAGGCCTACCAATATATTTCTTCAAAAAATAATATAAAGGGTGACATACAATATGGGCTTGATGCAAGACTTCATCACCTTTTATGTGGAAATCTTTCATTGTTATATGTAATTGCAGCGTTATTTCTTTGTGATGCCCAGTATCTTCTATCCAGAAGAGCGCATCCAGACCAGGTACGACCTGAAGGGTTGCTATGTCAACAGATACGAAAAGGTGAGAATGATTTGTAAATAATAAATATCACATTGAAAAAAGTTAAGAAAGCATGAACAATACAAAGCCAAAGGCACAACCTAAACTACTAGTGTACCTAAGGTATTTTTTCTCAATTCCGATTGTGGTGAAATTGCGAAAAAAATCATCATAAAAGTTGGCAATTAAATCCCCAAGGATAATTGTTCATTTGTATCTGGGACTCGGATGTGTTTCGTTTTGTGTCAAACATTCGTCCAGTGCCTTTGGCGATAAATGGGATACTTAGCAACATTTGTATTTTTTATACTGGCTTATAAGATCAAAAGTGACCATGTGATAGAGGTTGAGGTTCAGTGTGCCTTTGACCGAAATCTGGTAATTTAAAATCTTATGTCCAAATAATATGTTAAGTAACTTAGTTTCCAAAGCTTGAGGATTCAGGGAATAAGGAAATTTAAACTAGTGAAATCAACAAAATTTAGGAGCCGTAAAATTGTGATTTCTCAAAATTCGCAAAATTCCCCCATCCTGCATGGGGGAATCACACAAACCTTTAAGCAGTACATACAGTGTAATTGTAACATGTATAGAACTAACACCAACCCCACCTTTAACATTCAGCCTCCTGCTAAAGACAGCCATGTGATAGCAGTGCTCAAAGACCAGAACTTCCGCGATGCTCATGATGTCATAGAGCTCTCCAGCCAAAGAGATTGGTTTATAGAACAGATCCGGGTTGATTCCACGTTCCTCAGGGACCTAGGTGCAATAGACTACAGTCTCCTAGTTGGTAAACACAGTCTGCAGTCGGATGAGAAAAATGTGCATTTTGATGATGTCATCACCAGAGTAAAAAGGTAAAATATTATTTCTATCGCACAATTTGAAATTTTTCATCAGCTTTAAATTTCCCTGTTTGAAGAAATATCTAAATGAATTTAATGTTTAATCAAATATTCACTTTACCTTAAATTTCCCGGTGATAAGCCTTTTCAGCAAAAATAGGGCACCTTGAAGATTAAGGTATATTGTATATGGGTTTGTAGGTGGGCACGCAACACAATGATAAATCTACTTATCATCCCATCAAATTATTGCATATTGTGATCCTGTAATGAGACAATAATTTATTATATGTGTACAGTGATCTCCCCATGTCACTTTTACCGGGGGCTCCCCCTACTTGAAACCAAAGGCCCCCCAGTTGGCACCCAGTCGGAATCTGCACTTCAACTTCTGATTTGAAAAATGAGTGAAGTAAGCACCTACACTGAGATATTGTGAGCGTAGCGAGTGCTGATTTTTTCAGACTTGAAATCTTGCACCCAGTTGAAATTTTTTTGGGGGAGAACACTGGTGTATGTTATTAAATATTGATGTGCTTCTAATTTCCTTCAGGTCTGTTGTTGGAGGGGCGCCATCTTCAAGGGGCTCCAGTGGGGGTTCTGCAAATGGAACCTTGGAGGAGAATACCACTATCACTATAGACAACCAGGCTCAATCCACAGACAATAGCACCCCGTTACCTCAACGCTCATTTTCTCTAGTTGACACACGGTACCTAGATGGCACTAGCGCTCAGAATCGCAGACTGCTTCCTGATTGCAAGAATGCGTTACATATTATAGATGGTCCAAATCATAGATATTTTATCGGAATAATTGATTTCTTCAAGACTTTTGAATGCAAACAACAAATGGAGCAGGTTTTGAAGACTGTCATTCACTGTGGTACAGGTCATTCTACATGTAAATGTGATAAATATAGCGAGAGGTTTATAAGGTGGGTGGACGAACAGACAAAATGATTAAATTAAATCCAATTCAAGGAGGATTGGCTCCCAGGGGTCCATCTTGATATTTTGCCATATATGGAGATGTGAATTCAAATAACCACCATTTTGTTCACTTCAAAATGAGTTTTGGTCTTATTTCCAAACACAAAATTTCAAAACACAGAAGACGTGACTCAGACTGTTGATTATGAATTTATAGTCAGTTGTAATGATATTTTCATTGTTGGAAAATATTGAGTTGCGTCAGCGTGAGCCAATCCTCTCTGAGTTACACAGCAGGTGTAATTGCTTTATTATGTGCATTTTGACAAAAAAGCTTCATAGCGAAGAATTTGTGAGGTGTTTCAAAGGCACAAATATGTATTTTTATGAAGCTTTTTGACAAATTGCGAAGCAGTTTAAGCCTTCTGTGTAACAGGTACACTGTACCAATGCCTCACTGGTAGAATTGCAGTTCACAATATGCTGATAAAGAGCCCTCCTCTGGCTGGTAATGTAGTGTTGAAGTTGTAGAAGATTCTATGCAGAAAATGGAATATTCCTTAAAGATGTGGAAAATTCCATAAAGGATGAGGAAGATTCCGTAAAAGATGTGGAAGATTCCATACAAGATGTAGAAGATTCCATAAAATATGTTGAAGTATCCATGAATGATGTGGAATATTCCATAAAGATGTGGAAGATTCCATACATGATGTGGAAGATTCCATAAAGATTCCATACAAGTGTGGAAGATTCCATACAAGTTTGGAAGATTTCATACAAATGTGGAAGATTCCATACAAGTGTGGAAGATTCCATTTAACATGAGGAAGATTTCATACAAGTATGTAAGATTCCATACAGAATGTTGTGCTGTAGTCTAAATAAAAAATAATGTATTTATTTACTTATATAGTAACTGGAATATTATCCAAAGCTTGAACATGATATTGACTTTGCAATAATCCCAATAACCTGAATCTCATATGGGATAATCTTTATATACACATCTGTGATCAACTTTATGAGATTTGCTGATGTTTTGTCTTCAGGAAGACTTCTCAAACATACATTACACACTGTAAGTTAAGCCTCAGTCACATTTGCTCTACAGCAGTCCCATAGCAGCTGCTAGATGTGTCACGGATACCCGATTTTGTTCCGATCCGCGGAATTATACCCTCGGAACAGAACACGGAACACAAATTGAGATTTTCGGTTCGGTTCAGGAACAAGAACATTTTACCCTTTCACAACTTTTGGCCCTTAAATCGCCACAAAACGGCAATCTTCTTTCAATAATTTGCACCAAAAGAGGTTCATTCTTTTCACTCCTTTTCATTGAAGAGTTTTGAAGAGCTTTTCGCTACCAAATAAACCTTGAGGATCAACTTATTTTAATCTTATACACTCAGTCACTCTGTTCCGAACCATTCCGAAATTGTTCCGTTCTGAAGCAAAATGTTCTGAACCGAACCGTTCTGTTTTTTTTGTTCCGTGACATCTCTAGCAGCTGCACCCTTCACAAAATCTATATATAGAAAATCTACATCATACTTCTTATCCCTATATTTAATGCTGCATATTTCTTTTGATTTTGGGAATCTACAGCAGCCGTACTTTTGCTGTAGATCAGATGTGACTGACGCATTACAAACATATGCTACATAAGTTAGTACACTTGTATTGTATTCAAATTATTTGTATCATACAATCATACATTGTACCATACATGTTATCTCAAAAGTGTTTCTCAACATGTTGCCATTATTTGTGGGTATAATACATTGTACCATACATGTTATCTCAAAATGGTTTCTCAACATGTTGCCATTATTTGTAGGTATAATACATTGTACCATACATGTTATCTCAAAGAAGTTTCTCAACATGTTGCCATTATTTGTGGGTATAATACATTGTACCATACATGTTATCTCAAAAGGGTTTCTCAACATGTTGCCATTATTTGTACGTGTCACACATTGTACCATACATGTTATCTCAAAAGGGTTTCTCAGCATGTTGCCATTATTTGTAGGTATCATACATTGTACCATGCATGTTATCTCAAAAGGGTTTCCAGCATGTTGCCATTATTTGTAGGTATAATACATTGTACCATACATGTTATCTCAAAATGGTTTCTCAACATGTTCCCATTATTTGTAGGTATCATACATTGTACCATACATGTTATCTCAAAAGGGTTTCTCAGCATGTTGTCAAAACCCTCAACACACATATTGATGGATCATTTTGTTAGGGTGCAAACATACTATGTAACTTTTCAAAAAGCATGGTGCACCCAGATGCCCTTATTCTAGGCAGGGAGTTCACTCATACATGTCTTGATATATATCATATTGCAGTAAAATCTGAACACATCTCAGGCCCGTAGCCAGGGGATTCGGGGTGTTTGGGCGACCCCCCCCCCCCTGGCCAAAATTTCTTTCAAAATCATGCAGTTTTTCACCATTCTGACTATTTTTTGAGTGATTTTTGGCCTTTGCCAAAGTAAACCCCCCCTACAATTTTTTGGAAAAGTGAACCCCCCTAAGAAAATTCTGGCTACGGGCCTGCATCTCAAAACACGAACAACTCTCAATTTAAACACAATTTGGTCCCATTTTTAGTCAATTTCCATGTTCAAAGCCTTGAAATGGGGACACCTGCCAATCTGAACACTTTTTTCTGGTTTTAGTCATGTACAGATTTGTGATCTGAACCCCTTTCAATGGGAACACTTTTTGTCCCATTTTTAGTCAATTTCCATGTTCAAAGCCTTGAAACGGGAACACCTGCCAGTCTGAACACTTTTGGCCAGTCCCAGTGGTGTTCGGATTAGACAGGTTTTACTGTATATGTACTGTTAAGCATGATTACTCTAATAGCACTGACTAGACAATCATACACAAATCTGCTTTCTTAAGATAAGGATTGCTTCATTGATGCATCCATCCTTGCTGCAAGGGTATTTAACAAGTAAATAAGTGAATTTATGCCTTGGTCACATTTGCTCCGATTTTCACTTCAGCGCCCGGCCGATTGAGTATTTTGTTCAAAATTGAATACAATATTGAACAAAACATTCAATCGGGATCGGAGATGTGACCAAAGCACAAAGCATAAATGAAGTCCTTTGAAGAAGTATGTGTAGCTGGTTGAGCTCAAATCATCAAATCTACTAAAGTTCAGGTTGTATCAGATAATGATTATTTATATGTAATTTTCAGTGTTATTTATTTATTATTTATTATTTATTTGACAGTCACTTTTATAACAGTGGCACTCAAAGGTGCGTCAATATTACATATATGTAGTATACAAACGATACATTTTTTACTAAAATCCGTAGAGGAATATAAAACATAAGCTTTTAGTAAAATCATTAAAATAGGCTAAAATCACGCTGTGTTATGTTTCACATACACCTTTTGCAGAAATCTTTTTGTACAAACATCAAAATTCCAGCCATTGTCGTGCCCCCAAATGTTAAACACATCATCCCCAAGAATCCACTCTAATTTCATTTGTGGGGGGAAATTTAGGTACTGAGACACAACAGGAGCATCACATTTACTACTTAAATCATGTATAAATTCAGTTCTTTGTTTCTGGAAATGAGGACAGAGGAGGAAACGATGGATGGGATCATCTATTACATTTAAGTTACATAATTTACAAAAACCGTTACTTATTTTCCATCTTTTTCTGTCTTCCTCAAGGTTAAAGCAGCCTGTTCTGGCCAGAAACTTTAGTCGAGAGGTGTAAAAGTCTGTATGGTTCATGAGGTACTTCTCTTTATTTGTATTAAATTTCAAATTTTTATAGAGGTTCAAAGACTTTTTATCATTGATTGCTTCAATAAATTCAGATTTTCTTTGATCATTTGAGATTTTGAGAAATGAGTCGTACCAGTCTGCATTTTCGGATGAAATGCATCCGTCTAGACCATGGGCAGTTAATATCTTTGACACGGAATCAATATATGGCCATACTGAGCTTTTCTTTGCTTTAAAGTTAGAGAACATATCACTGTAAATATCACCTAAGATCTTACAACTTTTAGCTCTATTTTTCAAATGAATAAAATAATCTATTTTACGTTTATCTATAACATTCATAATTGGTCTCCAACCTAGGTCACCAAGTAGAGCGTCCCTAGCTGGTGTACTTTTTATATTAAATATTGCTCTTCCTACATTATACTGATATGAGTTCATAGCATTCATTCTTGTATTATTGTCAAATGAAATAACTCCACATGCATGGAGAACTGCTGGTATGAAAACATTATTATGTAAAACATCCCCAAATTTGAATCTTTCTAGATTTGAGTGTTTATTAAGGGTGCTACAGATATAGAATCTGGTCTTTCGAGCTTTCTCTTTAATAAGTGTATTAAAGTGGTCTGAGTCTTTTAGAGTATTATTTAAAATAACACCTAGATACTTATATGTTTTGGTTTCTTTTAATGATAGTTGTCCAAGTTTCCATTGATTATTTGTATTAATTTTTCTACCAATTGGCATAATCTGAGATTTCTTAGGGTCAAATTTGAATCCCCAATATTTGGCAAATGAGTAAGAAACTTTCAGCATTTCAGTAAGTTGATCTTCAGATTCAGATATCAGAACTACATCATCAGCATATAAGAGTGCAGGGACTTTGTAGTTTTTAAATGGTATTCCTAGATTATGTTCTTTAAGTCTTTCTGTCAAATCATTTATAATTAAGAGAAATAGTGTTGGGGATAGAGCACAACCTTGTCTTATTCCAAACTCTGAATCAAACATGTCACTTTCGAAGTTACCAAAAAGAACTTTATTCCTTATTCCCTCATAAAGTTTTCTCAAAATGCGCCATGGCTTACCCTTAATACCTTTTTCCCACAATTTCTTAAAAAGAAGGTCCCTACTTACTACATCAAAGGCTTTTGAAATATCAAGAAATGCTAGAAAAGTTTTCAATTTAATGTCTTTCCTTAATGCGCAAAGATTATTATTGCAACAATTACCAGTATTTAATGAATTGGTTATGTTTTTCAAAATGTCATGTGGGTAATTTACCCATTTGAATAGTATAGTTTTTTGTTAAAATTGCAATTTTACAA